TCATTACTGCCTCCAAGAAAGATAACAGGCGAGGTGTCACTGACAATCGAAGCAGAATCAACAACTTGTGTTAAAGTGGTGTTTGCTCTGACATACCCGAAAGCATCCACTTTACCACCACTGAGAGCAGTTAGTTTTATTGGTATGTCCCTACCCTGACTGTCAGAACAGAAGGTTACTTTTAGATTAGATTTTGTTTTCTGTTGTTTTGCACATTTCCTATCCGATCCTAGTTTTATGTTCTTGTGCTTGAGGTGATTTTTCTTGTGCTTGAGGTGATTTTTCTTATGTTTGTTGTTGGCTGTCTTAGTTTGGTAAGTGCTGTTTGTCGTACATTTCTCTCCATCATTGTCATCTGATAACTTCTCCAGTATTGAAAACTTATTTACTTGTTTAATGTTAGATTCTCCTCCCGCCTTCTTAACATTTTTTTCACAGTTAGTATTGCTTTGTTTCTTTTTAGTTTGTATAACTGACCATGAATTACAACCAGCTGCCACCAGATTTTCAGTGTTAGGAGACTTGTTATGTACAAAATTGCTACTTACCCCATGTGGGATATGGTTAGTTTGCGGTTTAGTCTTCATTTCAACTGCAGGATACTGTTTAAGCATTGACTTGAGAACAACCATGTCAACTTTATTGCTTTGCCCATTGTAGCTAAGGTATGCTAATAGTGCACGCTTTAATATAACTTCTGACTTACTTATCTTCACTTGTTTGAAAGTACTGTCTAGACATCGTGTGACGTCTCCATTTTCAATGGCTTTTACAAGCAGGTCAACTATTAACAGAACGTAGACACCACAGTCACTTCCATTTGTTTGCTGAGGGATGTCTATTACTTTAAAGTTTAGAGGTTTTCGAGCATTAAAATATTTATGTAATTTAAGCGACAATCGTTTTGCATGCTGAACATTTTTTTGTCCTAATGAGTTGAAGTAATAAAAGGTGTCACTACATTTTGCGTAGAACATCAGACTCCAGTGCTGACCCGCTACTTCTAAAGCTGCATCTGCATCATTTACTGGAACAATTATAAACTGTTTATCCTCCAGGTGTAAGGGATTGGCAATGTGATAAAAATCTTCTGCACATTTAATTGCCTGTGATACAGCAGGGTTTATTAAGCAAGTGTCTGAATTTATCAAGCCCTTGTGTAAGAGTGTTTTAAAGTAGAGGTCTATAGCATCGTCCGTCAGCCATTCATTGTTCAAAGTAGACTGAACTATACAGTTTTTTGAGTCAAGACTGTAATCATGAGACTTGACTTTGTCCATCTGTTGATCTTGTTTCATTTTTTCAATAGTATTTTTAAGAATTTCTCTTTCCTTATCAGCTTCTTGAGTAATATGGTCATTAATTTTTGTTAGAGAACTCAATTTGGAATCAAGCGCTTTGATCTCCAGTATTAGTTCTTCTTCTTTTTTCTTAGCATTCGTTAGAATATCCTTTAGTTGCTCTTCTTTAACCCACAACCTATCCTCAAGCTCACTTTCGAGAACAGATTTATTGAGTTTAGAGTTATGCAGCTCTTGTCTTAATTCCTCATTTTCTTGTAAAAGAGATCTGCTCATTTCCTCTTCCAAAGAAATAGATGCATTTTGTACTAGTTCCTGTGAGCATTCACTTTGTTTGCAGCTTTGACACTTCCATGAGCTCAATTCCTCACTGGATAGTTTACTCACAGTAGAATACAAAACACCAATACATTTTAGGTGAAGCCAGCTGTCACATTTTCCATTGCAGTAAATTGCACCATTTTTAACTCCTTTCCCGCATTTACCACAATAACTGTTCCTTTTTTTGACATCAACCATCTTTTATATATTCGTGCAAGTATTAAAAAGGATATTTATATATATAATAGCTTGGATGAGCATGACCAATATAATACTATATGTTGCATTGTACTGATTGTAGAAAAAATTGCATGCAAAAATCCAATGCTTTGGGGAGAATATTTATTCAATGTTTCTTTTAGAGAAACCGAACAGCTTAATGGAAACCAAGAATGACAGGAAACTCTATGTCAGCTGCAGACTAATTTGAACTGTCAGTGCTGCAGACGACTTAATGTCAGAAAACAGGCTCTAACAAAACACTATTCTCGAACCCAAAACCATGAATTGAGAAGCAATCAAATGGTTATTTAATTAATAATTTAAATTATAGATGACAAAGTTGTAACAGATATTAATTTAACAGTGTTCCATGCTACATTAAAACTTGCAGATTGATCAATTAGATTCTGACTAAAAACCAGCATGCATAACCTAGTTTTGCAGAAATGTAAGTATTTACTGTTTTTATTAAATAAAAAATCAAGTTTGTTGGTAAAATATGTTCTATAACTCACACTTAAAGATTGTATTCATACTGAGAGCTTTGATAATAGCAAAAAATACTAATTTTCAACCATAACTTGAACTTGCTAATCTAGCAATCCACACTACTTGTAAGCTTAGCAGACGACTCCTAAATACTTCCGGGAACTTTTGATACAACTCACTTACGATTTTAGACTCCCCTTCTATCACATTACAAAAAGCTTTACTCTGACCTGAGTTAGCATACACCGTGTTGCTCCTTACGTTAGGTATCTTAATTACAACCTCAAGATCTCGAATCCAATCTCTCCCCATCAAGGGATTCGCGCCCTTAGCAATCACATACAAGGTTAACTCTTTCATAACATCTCTGTACTTAACTCTTACGCTCAATTTACCAAGTGGCTTAATAGGCTGATTAGTATATGAACTTAATACTAAATTTTTACTTTGTAACTCCAATGAGCTGAAATTCTCCTTGTAACAATTTTCATTAATGACACTTACACAAGCGCCACTATCAACTTCAAAATTCAAAGACCTGTTCTCAACTTGCAAATTTACCATAATAGGCCTTACCCTATCATTTGCTACATTACTCTCATCATTATCTAAGGCAAAAAGATTAGTTAAATTATAATCACTCTCTGTAGTCTGTTCATTATGTCCATCTTCATTTTCATCAACATACTGCTGCTTACTATATTTCTTATGACTAGAATTATGAAATGTAAGTGGCTTACCCCTGTCCTGGCTTCGGCAAACCTTCGCTAAATGCCCTAGCTTTCCACATTTATTGCACTTATATGACTTGAACCTGCACAAATTGGCCCTATGCACTAGCTTTCCACAGCAAAAACACTTCACATCACTTCCACTTGACACTCTCTCCTCCCTCCTGTAGTTGGTTGACCGGCTCTGGCTCTGTTGTTGTTGTAGGTAGTGTTGACGTTGACCTCCATGACTGCCACTGCCACTGTTGTGCGCCGCCGCCGCCGGCCCCTTCCGCCCAGCGTTGTAGTGAAGTTGCGTTGTCTGCTGTTGACCCCGCGCTGTCTGCATGCCCGACATCAGCGCTGCTGCACCTCGCTCCGCCATTTCCATATTGGTTGCTATGGTTACCGCCTTTTCAAAAGTCAGCTCCGCCTCGCCGAGTAACCGTTTCTTGATGTCGTCACTCCAGATACCGCTCGCAAGCCTATCCCTCAAATAATCCGACAGATTGGTTTTAAATTCTACCGGGAGCGGCAAAATGACCTGACGGTTTTCTTTGCTGCCATGTCAAGTGAGTGATTGGCGTAGGGTGTTGGGAATAGAGGCGTTACAAAGCCAACGTGTGAACATTTTTAGTAGCCACGGAGCCGTGGGACAGCTGAGCACCATGACTTTGTAGTAGAAGTGTTTTTAAAAGTGGCAATTCCTGTGTAGCTGTTCAGTACACGTTTCAATGTGGGTCAATGAAGAAAGTCCCAACTCGAAACGCCATTTTGCTGTAGGTGGGTAACTTTAGAGCTACTAGTTTAGCATTGAAACTAAAATCTGACTACGTGGTGTGAAACTAAAGAGAGTGAGAAAGACTATGTGGCGTGATTGAAAGTGTGATTCGTCACTCATAATGACAACTTTAACCACTGTGCTTCAACTGTTGCAGTTGCACGATTGCCATTTTGTATGAATGAAAATGCAGATGGTATTTTAATACTCTTCTACTGAGCGGCCAGACAAGTGCAGAGCTGCAGCTTATTTACGTTTAGGCTGCTGAGGACTAACTTCCACAGCGTATCTCACTCTCTCGGCGCTCTCTGGTGTCCGAGCTGACATTGGACAGCCTGTTGACTTTTTTCAATGCTATACTAGTAGCTCTAAAGTTACCTACTCACAGCAAAATTTTTTTTGAGCTGGGACTTTTCCCCTTGGACCCATATTGAAAAGTGTACTAAACAGCTACACAGGAATTTCCACTTTTAAAAACACTTCTACTACAAATACATGTTTCTCAACTATCCCACGGCTCCATGGCTACTAAAAATGTTCACACGTTGGCTTTGTAATGCCCCTATTCACACCACCCTACGCCACTCATTCGCTCGACAAGGCGGCAAAGAAAACCGTCAGATCATTTTGCCGCTCCCTGTACTTAAATTTCTACTGTTGGTCGCACAATTAATTGTTCACACGCGACAGCCCTTCCGCTTGCCGGTTACGTGAATTCTCACTGCCTCGTCGCCAAATTGGAATGGCTCTTTAAGGCATCCTCGTCGCCAAATTGGAATGTCCGTAGTTTAAGAATGAAAATGGAGTAAATAAATACAAATTTTACAGTAATAAATTGCCGCTGCCGATTCGGGCGGGACTAACACGGAGATGGTCACATAACGGGAGCTGCTGGAAGACTCTGAGGAAAAGCCGGGAAAATAGGAGCGTGGTCAGGCTGTGTTGTGATTGGTCGGTTGAGGGTGGCGTGATGATCAGACCACGGCAACGGTTTATTCACTCAAACACTGCCATCATGATACATACATTGACAATAGTTATATACAGCAAGGTGTACTATATGAAATACACTACATTTTTAAACAAATTACTACTGACCAATGTATTTATCTGGTTGTTCTTAGGAACATTTTAATTATTTTTCAAGTACAATTAGTTCTGAACTGTTATTATCAGGTGATATGTTCTCCCCCCAAAGAAGGGCCTCCTCCGCCTTACTCTTCCAGAGAAACTTTGAACAGAAGTCTGCCTGAAACAGAGGCTCTCCTACAACAGCCTTCCACATCAATGCCTTCACATTCAGCCCTGCAAGGTTAGTCCATGTAACTATTAACTTTTAAACAGGTCATGTTATTTGACGGATGATTGGGACAGTTTCCCATCACAATTAGTAAAAAGAACAATTTTTCACAGTTTCACAGGGTCTGGAATTTAATTCTCAGGTGAGAAAGCACCTAAAACATAACAAGATTAGTACACTAACCCAGGAAATGTGGGAAAAGTGCAATCAAAACAAATGTCGAGTACTGTATTGTAGTCAAAACAAAAAAACAATAAAATCTTGTAAGAAAACATCAATTAATTTAAATAGAAGGCATGCAAACACAAAATAAAAATTGTGCGCTTGTGATGGAAAATCTCTGCAAAATCCTTCAAATAATCTAAACTGAACATCACAAGCTATGAGCTTCAAACAAAGGATTGTACAGGGGTTTTCTATTAAAAAATTCAACAATTATTTCTCAAAAAGAAAATCAATGTCAACCAATAGTATAAGTTAAATAAAATAGTTGTAGTATAAATAGATAGCTGCTGACTTTGCTTTATTTTTCCCTGTTGGCAAAAGTGACATTCATTCAAGTGACTAGCTGGTTTTCATGCAAGTTGGCAAGTTGTTAATTTTGTTTGGGTTTAATGTTAAATTATTTAATTAAATTTATAAACATGGTTTTGGACATTGGATACAATTTAATTGTGTAATGGATGTTGGTGAGCTGATGTACATATTTTATACAATCCAATTTTTTTCCAAGGCTTTTTCAATACTTCTTATTTCTATTGAAATCGTGTTGAATATTTTTGTACAGACGAATCTTGTCTCACTTTTCTGTAGGCTGGATGATACTTGAGGTTGTCATCATACTTGAGGATTATTTCTCTGGTGTCTTAACTAACGGTAGTTTTTCGTCATTTTCATTTGCTATGTGTTGTTTAAAGATATATTTTACAGATATTTGACTTTATTATAAGGTACTGTAACCTTAACCTCAAAATCGATGTGACCTCCATATTATCCGAGATTCTTGGTAACCGAGGTAGTCTCGGTCCCAACAACCTTGGTTAATCGGGAGTGTATTGTATATGAATACGGAGAGTCAATGTTACAGTATATGTTTCAATATATACCGTACCTCCTCCATGAATTGAATTGAATCGCAATTCAATGCATCAAATTTTTTCAATGCATTGTACACCCCTAGTAAAGGATGGGTGATAATAGATGCAACATGTTTTTGCAAAAGGTAGTACTCGGGGATTCAGTAGAAATGAGTTCAAACTGCCATAAAAACCACATGGAAAACTTTGACCAATCACAGCGCTACATCAGGTCATAATGCAACAGATATAGGGCGTTTGGGACTTCTTCCAAACAATAGTTCTAACTATTGCCACAATGGGTGCTGAGCACCGCGATCTGTTGACTGTCAACGTCAACACAATAATATTATGACCAGTCAAATAAGTGAATACAGTATCTTGTGATTAGTAGAGGTTATGTACATTGTGCCACGCCCATATTCTAGGTGTTAATTAATATATTATTGTTTCTCTAGAAGTGTTCACTGATTATAATGAATTATGAATTTTGTTATAAATATTTCTGCAAATTATGCGAGTGGTGAGGACAGTTAATTATGAATAAAACAGTTTATATCCCTCTGAACCAATATTTAAATAACTCAATTTTTTTCTTTTTTTAACCCTCCCCCGGTTTTGGTAAATTTCCAAAAAGATGTTATGCGTCCCCCACTACTTTAACCCACCATCTGCCACTGAGTAGGACTATACGTTGAGTAAGTACGCCTACCTATTTGATGATGCTACGGAAACAAACAAAATATACTTTCATGTACTGTATGTCTTTGTCAACTAGGTTTTGCAGGCGCCGAACCATAACATGTATCTTTGAGTCTTGATATTGAATTTTCAATGTGTTTCTGCCACTTAAGGTTCTTCACTGATGGTTAGACCAATATACTTTATATGGCTGTTCATGCATATAATTTTGTCTCTCAAGCAAAACTTGCCATACTAAAATGATAAGTTTATTCATTGTGTAAGATAATTTTAAAAGTGTTTTTTTATCATTTGTAATATAGTTTTAATTATTGCAGGTGAAAATGAATCCAGAGAAGGGATGCCCAACAGTAACCAGTGATCATCCAAAGCTTTACTGTATACGTTAATAGTTATTTAGTAGTAAAGACCCTTGTGATTACATATCTTAAGAGATATTTTCGATATATTATGTTTACAATATTGAACAGGTCTAGAATTTACTTTTTGAGATTGTATGTACCTAGTACAAAAATACTGCTAAGAACGTTCCTGGATTCAAATAAACTTACCTAGCAGATGTTAGGTAAATTAAGAAAGAATAAACCATCATTATTCAGTTTTACTGGTCAGTTGACACTGAATATAATTTGTTGTTACCTCAACTTTTGGTAGGATTAGCTTTATACACTATATTTTGTACAGTACCTCCTTGGGTTTTAAGAAAACATCTTCCATTCACCAAATTTATTTTTATACTAAATGAAACTCACAAAATTCTTTCTAGTCTTAATCTGAGTATGCCATACTAAACAGTAAACAGTAAACATAAGTTTTTATTTCAAAAAATCATTCCAACATAGGATTTATAAAAAATTAAGTCCTCATACATTATTATCTTCTCTTTCCAATAACCAAGGTAAGTTTTAAAGATTTTTTTTTCAAACAGTTGTTTTCTATGAAATAGTAAATCTGAGGGCTGTTTGTAATTGAAGGCCTCCATTGAGCTCCCGTCCCAGCCAAGTGAGTTAGTTCAAATCTGAAACAACCGTTTTGTTATTAATACTTCTTCATCCATTACCATTCTAGCCAGTTCACCCCCCTATACGAGGATTAGGCCTGTCAATCATCGTAGTAGCTGAAAAAAAATGAGGAAGAGCCAATGCTCTCACCAAGTATGAAACACGCTCTGTGATGAGGTTTTTCTGTAGGAAGGGAGTCAACCTCTGTTTAAATCCGTTGCCAACTAACAAATGTGTTGTAGAAAAGAGCTTTGATGTAGGAAATGTGCACAAGTGGCATAAGGAGTTCTTTGAAAGCCGTACATATCGACACACCAGCTCGGCAGCAGGTGTTTAAGTTTATCAATTTCCATTGAGACAGTGATTGTATTTAAAAAAAAAACTTTGCTAAAATGTTTAATTGTTTAAGACTACCATACAACGACATCCTTACTACAATCCTTAACATTCTTATAGAGACTTCCCTTATCAGTTCAGCAATTTCTCGTTCAGTCACACAAAATTGTCACAATATTGGTCACTGCCTCAAATGAGACCAATAAACCATATAAATTGGCCTACACAATGAAAAACATCCTACAAATGTTAACAACCTCCTATCCTTCCACCAACTACACACATTTTCTATGACACTTTACTCGGGCCGTTTTAGTAAATGGGCTCCGGGCCCAGGGGCACAAGGAAGGGAAAAATTACCCTGCAAGGAAGAGAGAAGAGGGCCCAAGTATCTCTTGGGGCCCATAGCACATCATATGCAACCGCAGGCCTGACTTTACTCGATTTACATCCGGCAACTGGTGAGAGACTTTGTCTACAGTTGACTGCTGACACCACAAATATCCAGTCACAGAATGTGAATTTTTACCTGACGGAATTGTTAGTTTTCTTTTGCAATGTTATTGAATACCATGACAAGACTAGTAATCCCATTGGGAACAGGCTAGAGGAGTATTGGGTGAAGTTGAGAACACGTCTGTGGTCTCAAATTTGAACTAACTTGCTTAGCTGTCACGGGAACCTGATGGAAATCTTAATTTACGACAACCCTCGTAGTATAATAATTTACCAAAGAAAATGCATACAGTTTATGATCAATACTAGTACACTGGCATAGGGAGTATGCATTGCAAATGATAAACCACACATTCTATCTGAATCTGTGCTGCTACAAATCAAAATTTAACTTTGTCCATCTGATCCGAATCCAAACCAAATGTACTCACCCCTAATCGTATGATTTCATTCTGTTATATAGTAATTGTGTTTATGTTTTACTGCAGTTTATAGGGACATGTTTTTTACCCTACTGTTGGATGGAATTTAACAAGGTTAATTTTGCTCGAATTATTAGAATAAGACATATTGTTGAAAATTGTACACGGTTAAATACTTACTGCAAAAAAATATTGTTCTAAGTAATCAAGAAATGTTAATACCAGTACCTCCTAAATAGTTTTACAAAATAATTAGTTCCATAAAAACAAGTTTAGTTAGAATGGCTTTATACATATGAGAACCAGATATTAAGGTATATTTGTATTGAATATATATTTTTTTAAGGTGAAAATGTATATAATTTATTTATATAAGTAGTTTAAGATTAAATTTGTTATAAAATTGAATGTCTGGTAATGTCTATACAGATTTGTTGACATTAAAATTACTGTACAGTTGTGAACATAAAATATTACTGACTTGTCATTGGACAAACACATTTTACCAGAAAAACATGCAGTAACCCTGAATCACCTCCTTCATCTCATTGCTATGCTGTCCTTTTAATTTTGTAGAGTAAACTATCATACAATTTGTATCTTATTCTTGTACACCAATATTCTGATATCAAGCATCACATTTTGATGATTCTAAATAATTTGCATTCTACTTGTTTGAAATTCACTTGTTTACACATTTTCACAATGTTGTAGTTGAATGCTCATAAAGTTATAAACGTTCAGATTTAAAATTAATAGGTACATTGGTATGCTAAAAAGATGTTTTTTCATGCACATCAGAACACATAAAAAATATCAATACAGTTTAGAGGTACTGAGGAAAACTTGAGTGTTTTTATTAAAATGTGTTACATGGTTTTGCTTTTGTACAGAGATGGGTACATGAGATATTAGACAGGTAGAAACCATGGTGGAAGGATAAAACATAGGTGTGATATTGATATTCCCGTCATAGGCTGACGTCACCCAGATTGCAAACTGAAAATCACCTGATTGTAACTGTCATATAAGTATGTAGGCCTATTTGTTTTTATTTGATTGTTATTGTTTTTAGAATTTTTCTTAATAGTGAAATGGTGTTTGCAATCTGGGTGATGTCAGCATATGACAGGAATAATACACCTATGTTTTATCCTTCCACCATTTTGTACCCACTCAGGTTTTTTAATGAACTAAATTAAATATATGTTGTTATGTTTTAGCCTTAATTTATTTATCCTCAATAAACATTTTGTTTTTGGATTTTTTTTACAGTTGAAAAAGTTAAACCATTCAAAACAGAACTTATTTACCACAGTTATAAAGTACATTATTTTGGAAAGGGTTAAAAAATCATATTAAAAATGTTATAAAAGATAAATTTTAAATACAAAATTAAATCAAATTAAGCATGTAACAATGTTCACAAATCGTGCATATCATAAATTTTCTTGCTCACTGTGTGTGGTAATTTAATACATGACATTATTTACGTAAGTTAATATCACTGAGCTATAATTATAACTGGAGTCACCACTCTGTGTTTAAAAAGCGTACCACTGTTTTTGCTGGTTTTAGCGAATTAAATAGGGAAGTATTAGCGAATTTCCCTATAGGGAAGTAGCTATTACCGTAGGTGGCATGGTAAGACCTAGGCCCGGGACCGATTTACTTTTTCATTTTAATGTCCCCAGAGGCCAAAAAAACCATTCGTTCAAATTTTTATATATGTATATAAATACTTTTAATTGAAAATAAATTCAGAAAACTGGAAATTCGCTTAGTCGGCAGGTTTGCTGCGGCGGTGATATTTTTTTCAATTTTTCATGTTGTTATGTTGGCCTATGATCGTTTGGTTGGATAGCTGTCAAATTCGAACCAAGCAGATGGGGTTATTTTTGACAAGTCCAACCAACCGAGACAGTGTGACCAACAAAACATGGCAACAAGCGGCCATCTTGATGGCATGCTTTTCTCTAATGTTCAACCAGAGAGTAGTGACTCCAGTTATAATCAATTCATCTCTATGGTTAATATGTCTCAACTCAATGTTGTTCACTCTAGATCCTGTAAAAGGTATTATTTTATGTTCAGAATTATAACAAAATAGCCTCTATTAAACAATATCCTTATGCTATGGTGCTGATAAGATTAATATAAAATCTTCTTTCTTTTTGTTTCTGATGTAAGTCTTGTTCAATACATCCCTAAAATCTACAGTTTTGTTGTTCATAAAATTAATATAACCTTTTCTTCTTAGGGTATGTCACCAAAATCAAGATACAGTAAAACCCAGATTAACTTAAATAAAGCAGACAAAGCTATTTCGGATAATCTATTTTTTTATTAATCACTGGATTTCAAAGGTCATGTCTATTCAAAAATATGTACAACAGTAGTTTTTGTATTATTTTAATTGTTGTAATCTGAAAATCTACAACCGTATACACAAAATATTAATTAAGCACATATTAGTTTAAATAATTAACTGTTTTTTCTGAACTTCTATCTTAAGCATGGTTTGAGATCCATGTCGTCGTCTGCTCCATTTCATTCTGTTGTCACACTGTGGTGGCGGACAGTACCTTGCTCATTTTTCAATTGATTAAACACTTTAAAGTTCTAATGAAGCTTTAGTCGCATTAGTTATAAATTAATAAAATGTAATTCAAAAAGTCAATGTACCTGATCAAATGTGCAATTTATTGATGGATAGCATGATGTTTTGTATAGATAAGAGCTATACAATAAAGAGCCCTTCACAGTGATATTTGGCTTAAAATGATATTTGCTCTCAAGGCGGCCCGGAAAAATCTGTTACGCCACTGTCTATGTGCCTTTTGATGTCATTGTAGTATGCCCTGCGTTCTACAGAATGCACAGTGTGCTAGTCCAGGAGGCAGTGAAGCACAAAATAATTTTGTACTTCAAAATTATTCAAATTTGCCAGCAGACGACTCTGTCACTCAATACTGCCTCAAGGTTTAAAAGCACATGGTTATCTGGACTTAGATCATTTGAGCAGATTATGATCTAGGACTTAGATCATTGTGCACAAGTATTGTCTAAATTTTGTTTTGTAATTGTATTTTTATCTGATTTGTTTAAAACGCGTAAACAAGTTTTTTATAAATTGTAATAACCTTTCAAAATAGTAAGAAAAGTAAAAACTATACTGTTGACAGTTTTACTCTGTTTTTCTTATTTTCCAAAATTACTGTTCCACTTCAATTCGCTATCGGGTCTGATGATTATTGGTTTGCTATTGGGTCTGAAGATTATTGGAGTGTCCAATCAAAATCGATCACCACTTACCATCTTTTGTATATTTACCGTCTTGTGAGTAACAGTATAAGCGTAAATATATGTTTTAAGTGTTATAAGACGTATCTTTATTTACTTTCCGTAAAGGTATACAACAATATCTCTAATTCAGTGTTTTCTCACTACTATAAATTTGGAGGTTGCTTAGCCTTTTTTGCAAATATCTTTTAAATGAGGAAATCAACCAAAGTGGAAGGTGATATTCTGAAAGAGAATAAAGTTTCCTACAATTACTATTATGTATTTTTGAAATTACTCAATAAGGGCAGCCTAAAGTTGGGTACAAATAAAAACTTGGAAACAAACCGTTTTTAAGGTAGGCCTATTCTTGTTTTTTTTTGTATTTTTTTCACCTAAAATATTTAATAAACCAAACTTTCATAATTATTTGCAAATCTACACGGATTAGGCTTTCCAACGACCCATTGATCAACAAAATAAGTCCAGTATAAGTCTATATTTATTTGTACAAAGCTTAAAAAAATATCTCTAATTCAATAGGTATTTGCTAACAACTATAAATTTGGAACCTCTTAGCTTATGCCAATAACTTTTAAATTGTCGGAAAATCAACCAAAGTGGATGTGATATTTTGAAAGAGAATAACATTTCCTACAAATTACTACTATGTATTTCTTGGAAATACTTATAGGCAGCCAAAAGTTAGCTACAAATTGAAACTTGAAAAAACAGTTTTTAATGTATTAATGTTAATTTTACTTTTTCACCCCAAATATTTTATAAAATCATACTTTAATAATTATTTGCAAATCTACGTGAGTTTGGCTTTCCAATGACCCACTAGTTAACAAAATCAGTCCAGTAGAATCTAGATTTAGTTGTACAAAGTTTAAGAAAAATTATCACTAACTCAGTATTTTCTCACTACTATAAATTCTGAGGTTGCTTAGCTCTTTTGCAAATAACTTCTTTTTTTTTTACTTTTTAGGAAATTGACCAAAGTGAAAGGTGATACTCTGAAAGGGAATACTATTTTATTTTATACAAATTGATATTGAGCATTTATTGAAAATACTTAAAAAGGTGGAAAACATGTTTTTTTTTAATTTTTCACTATAAATCATAACAAAAACAAACTTTCATAATTATTTGCAAATCTAAACGAACTAAGCTTTCCAGCAACTCATTAATTAGTAAAATTAGTCCAGTATAACTCTAGATTTAGTTGTACAAAGATTTTTAAACAGAATTATATATAAGTAGATAGATCCTGCTGATAACTGAAGTAAATCAGTGTGGTCCAAGTCTATTTCTTGACTTTCCAGTAGTTAAAGACCATCAGACAACAATGTTAAGTCAACAACAAAACAATTGAACAGTTGATATTGTCGAATAATGTTATGCATGATATTGTCTGACTGATTTAAGAATGATTCTTGCGTTTCAGTTGTTCCAATACTATTAATTAGGCTAGACGTTTTTATCCAGGCTCTACCCCGGGATTGTTTTTTTACATTACTTTCACTCCCTTTTCCAAGACTATTAGAGGTTGTGTAAATGCATAATTGCCAGGCTGAATCAATATACTGATTTTCAGCACTAAGCCGGAAGAGGAAGGGTATCTCTAATAACCTTCCTACCCTGATCAATTTTGAAAATATTTGTATATGACTATCCATTTTCACATTTAAGATAGGAATGTACTCCATGGTAATCCTCAGAGTTCTTTTTTCCAAATTCTTTCACTTTTGACCACAAAGTGCAGTTTACGTTTTATTCTAACAGAGACATGGATGCACATTTTTTCTCCTAAATAATTTGATAACAAGGATGTTTACTCCGATCTATCAGCATACAATCAATGCAACCAAACCATCAGGTTAAACATTGGTGTTTATTACGATGCTTTTTTTCACTATTCACTTGTTTTTTCAGCAACCAGATAAGCAAGACAAATATTGTAATTCAAGAGGAAAAAGTGTGGGAAAATAAATATATAAGGAAACAGATGATTAACATAACTTTTTAAGAATATTGTTTAATACATATAATTTAACACGTAAGATCTTTAAAAAAATAAAAGTAATTAGAATTAAGTAATAGCTTACTCAAAAAGAGTCCTATCCATCATATACTTACAATCTGTGTGTTAAAATATTTAAAAAGATCAGAAAAATTACAATTTTAGAGAGTTAGTTTATCTTAAACAATACTCTAAGAGATAAAACAAACAAAGATAACACTCTTAACATGAATAGCTATCACAATACAAAAAAAGATAGTGACTTACATCATAAACGTTGTCATTAAAGTATAAAAAATATCATTGCTATACTTGAAACATAGTCATAACTACTATTAAGATCACTGAAAGAGCAAAATAAAATTATAACCACTGATTAAACAACAAAGGCAAATATAAAATAATTAAAATGATCAAAGAATAATGTATTTTACATTGGACTTCAAAAATCTACAGGACAAAAATATTGCAAAATAGAGTATTTGTATTTTACAAAAGTAAATATGCTATAAGGGAGGGATAGTCTTTAATATGCCTGGACTGATTAAAAATGGCACACTATATTTATTTGTGTTACAAGTAAAATGGTTAAAATAACTAGTACAAAAACAGCGTGGATTTTCTTTTTTTGTCATACTGCTGCAAAAACGGCTATTTTAACTAAAAGCATTGCAGTGCTAAAAATATTCTTCTTAAATAATAAGATAAAAAAGGATCAGCTGCAATCAAGGTTGAACAAACCTGAGCCTGTTTGATTGGTTTTTATTTGATTCATATTCGAAAATAAATACAACAAACCTACAAAAAAAGCAAGAGTAACATATGTAACTAAATAATTGGTAAACGCCTAAGAACAACCGAGTGAAATATGTTAGCCAAGTTGAAGGTAATTTTCTTAAGAATCCCTGGAGCGTTTAACTCATAAACAATAAAAAAAAAAAAAAAAAAACACAAAGAACATATCTAATCTCACAGTTTACTAGATATTTATATTAAAATCATTCTGGTGTTTGAAAAAATATTTTGAGATGGTATACAACTCTTCAGTGGCCGTTTGAAATTAACAAAATTAACATTGCTCTTATGTTAATTTCTGGCAAATCCAAGATGGCTGTTAGCTTCCATGGACACCTTTGGAGGACAATTCGAAACTAAAAAAAAAACACATTTATAATCTGACAGTAGACCAGATATTTAAATTACAACCATTTTGGTGTTTGAAAAAATATTTTTGGACGATAAATAATTCTTCAGCAGCTGTTTGAAACTATCCAAGATGGCCGCTAGCCTCCAAGGACTCTTAAGGCTAACAAATTTTGTTCATACAAAGCGGTTAGCCAAATATTTTGTGCAGCATGACAAAAATATAATTCTTGCCCAAAATTGGCTTGGTACAAGTTTGGGAAGGTGAGTGGGGACCATTCTAACAAAACTTACTAAGGAGTAAAACTTGAGAGAATTATTCATTCAGAGGGAGAGTGAGTCTCGAATTAGCTTTTTCATTGTTGAGCCGACAGAGGTAACAGATGGGCCCGATGTCATGTACACAATCTGAAACAGAAAAATTAGCAGTTGAATACCAAACCAACTAAAATAAATTTTGTACACCTGACCTATACCGGTAGCCTAACAGAAGAAAATTAAAATTTCCACTTGTTACTGAAGTTGTTGTCAGTGTAAGTTCTCAGTTTCTCGGTCCCTACAAATGACAAGGCATTCATTTAAACGAAACCGACCGAATCCATTTAAATTCAGTTTTGTAAGTATAGAAGAAGTATAGAAATAATATAAAATCCCTCAAAAGTAAAAAATCTGCTGGCTGGGACTGTATTCCTATCGATCTGATGAAAACCGTCTCTAATTTCATAACTGATCCTTCATATCTATAATGTAAATCATTTTTTTTCAAATAAACACTTTTCCCAATAATTTAAAATATGCAGAGCTCAAGCCTCTCTTCAAGAAGGGAGAGAGACAAAGGAATGTCCCCCATTGTAAGTTTTCTCTAATTCTTACAGTTTCCGATATCCCAATGGTGGCCTCCTTGAGTTGATCACCCTGTATATACAGGATGATTAGTAACTTTTTCTAAAAATTATTACAGTTGAACCTCACTAATTCAAACCTCGATAATTCGAAAACCTCTATAATTAGAAATGTTTGTCTGTTCCCCTCAGAAAAAATCTAAAATTCGAAAAATAATATACCGATAATTCAAAATGATTTTTACTCTTAATGCAGCCACTACAATTCCAATTTGCACATGCTTGAGCCTCTACAATTCGAATTGTGTTGCCATAATTTGAATTGTTACCTTCAAAATTCGAAGTTAACCTCTACAATTCGAACTGCATTACCGTAAGCCTCTGTAATTTGAATTTAGAACAAAAATACGCCTGTTCAAACATGAACTGACGCTCTTATTGATGTTCCCACGATGTGTTCATTAGTCTCCGTTCTCTCAAACTCTCTACACTTAAAACTGGGACCTCCATAATTCAAATTTTATTTATCTGACCTCTACAATTCAATCTCTCTATATTTAAAACTTCCTATAATTCAAAATATATCGTCTTTCCTCTGAAATTCAAATTAGCGAGGTTCTACTGTATATCAGATATTTTAAAAGCATTGAAATCAATACCTTGTACAAGTAGGGCTGACAATCATGATAGGATGTGTCAAAGATGAGATCCAAGTCTGGTTGGCTTGGCATTTTCGGCACGTAGTCATGCCTGTTCATTATTTCTGCGATATAGAGAATCTTTTCAGCCAACAGCTCTCCAACCTTCTCCCTGCAAAGCTGGCGTTCTGAAACAGAAACATCAAGCTGATGTAATCAACTGGAAGATTCAACAATTTCAATGATATTTGATATTTATACCTTATATATATTCATGTTTAGAAAATTAAAATTTGCTTTGACTTGAGTTAGTATTATTATATTTAGCCTGTCAGCAAGTAGGTTTGTTAAAACATTTCCAAACACTCAAATGCAGTCTATAGTCAATTGATGAATGGCAACCATTTTATAGTCTTGATAAGCTGAGTTCGAGTTTTATAAAACACTGCTCGAAATTGTGACAATTACAATACAAGACTTCATTGGTTTAAAATTTAAAAAGGTCCTGTTAAAAATATTGCTTTAAAAGGTCTTGTAAAAATTTACACATAACAAGTCTAACAGAATTTCTACGACTTTTTTACCTGAACTAAAAATAATAAAAATTGTAACTGAGAGGATTGATTGATAAATAGCCAGCATGACAGAATTGCATATAAAATAACATTACTTAAGTGGAAAGATGTTGACAGGGTGTCCACAAAAGGTTAGTAGTACAATGTCATACATAATCCATACTGTTATTGTTCAAAGTCAGTGGCGTAACTAGTCTGACTACGCCTCGATGCAAGTATTCCCCGTGCGCCCCTATTCGTAGACTCATTCTCCCCCCCCTACAATAACCTCCAACGAAACTAACAATGATATTTCTCTGTACTTCCACACTTCCTGGTTACAATTTCACTACATACACCGTCGCACCGATGAGATCACGATAATAGTAAACAAAAAAGAGTCACGAACATTTTGTTGTGGCTGTAATGGAATAAAGTACCACAAATATTTTTTTCATTTATTTTCGGTAAGCTACAGGGAGTTTTGCTTCAACATATTTTTTTTGCTAAACATTTTCTAGAATATCATTTGTTTGCGCCCCCCAAAGGCCTGCGCCCCCTGAATTTGCATTGGTTGCATTGGCGTTAGTTACGCCACTGTTCAAAGTACTTTATCTACCTGTGTTGGTTATAAAGGCCACAAGCATAAAGTTTAGATTTTTTTACTCATGATTGCTGCCAAGCGTCTGACGCGGGGCACTGCTCTGGGAGCAGACGGGATCGCTGATGGCCAGCGTCTATTGCAGTGTTGTTTCTGTGTTCTCCCGTATACTCCATACTATACAGTGTCTTAATGTAATAGGTAACTTTTCTGCTCTTTTTATTTCACATGGAGTGTGATTGCATACTGTTTTGAAATATCTTCTTCTTCTAGCAAGTCGCAAATGAACTTAAACTGTTTCCTTTAAAAGTAAAAAAATCATTAAACAGCCTCTCGTCTGCATTAAATTGTTTTTTGAAAAGTATTTTAAAATATCCTTCCTCACTTCTCTTTTTGAAAACACTGTGAGAACACAATAGAGGTTTACTAACTAGGTCCAGAATATCCTCGTTTTCTATCTCTTCGATTAACAGGATCTTCAACACTTTGTTCTTAACACTCATAGTAAGAGCAAACTACATTTTAACACAGTCAGCAACACACTGTTGAACTGACGCGTTCTTGGACAATGGGCCTTAAAGCGATCGACCATCAGCGATCATTGCCCGGCAATCCCCGCTCTGACATGATCACTTCAGATGTGTCTTGGACAACGCACCTTTAAATCTAAATTATTGTTGACTAGCAGATACAAAAGACTCTGTTGGCCAACACACTGGCTTCTTCGTTTTCCAACATCACTCTGTGAGATTTCTTCTTATAAGGTAAACAAAGGACATTGTCTACTTGGCCAAAACATGTTAATTGATGACATAAGAGACATTATGAAAGCCTTTCTTGAGGATTCCAACAAAATGAAAGTTTATTTCCATACATGTGTGAAATTGATGCTACAAGCAACAGCGACAATGTTACGGAGTTTTGTTGTTGCAAACTTCAGTATCATTGCAACTTAACTGCCTTGTGGAACACGTTCCACAGTCGCGACGTTCCTTTGCAATCATTGTATTCTTGTAATTACCAGGCACACCTCTAGCAGCCAACGTTATGGTGGGGCTATATGGTGCACAGTATTAGGCTGTCACCATTCATTAATGGAAGACAAAATTTGAATCAGCCATGATATTTTGACATATCATGCAGTTATATCAGGTAGTTAGTTCTAGGGACCAAGATAAAAATTCAAGCTAAATAAGTTTTAAAATTCAGAAAGTTTTTATTAATTATATTCCACTGTACATGATCCAAATTGACTAGGTATTGTGCTTAAATACCTCATCTTCAATGCAATTACTGTGTAATAATAATACAAACAATGTAGGCTTACAAGTATTTTATTGTATGTACATTAATTATTAATGAGGTAATATGACTAAAATTGGCATATGAAAAATACTTTTACTACATTTCTATGAGAACTTGAAGCAATTTGGCTTAGATTAATGATTGTCCAGCTAGATCCCTCTTTCATGGTATTTCTATGACATCATGAGTACATATCAATGTACAGGCTGACATTTTTAAGTGGTATCAAAGATAAAATATTGTCTGTTGCATTTTTTGTGTGTATAAAACAATTATGGTATGGCTATCAAATTCAAATTTATATATGAGAGAATGTATTATGAAATGTTTATATTAAATTAAAATATAAAATAATGAGTTTAATTGCTCAGTTTGATTTTTAGTATAGTAGTTACTGGGTCTAAGACAAAGTTATATGTGCATAGTTATAGTATTTATAAGACTGAGAGAAACATTCAACACACAACATTCAACATCTTATGTGGTAGGATAAATTATTAACTGTCAATGAATAGAGATAGACGCACCATGTTCATTGTTGAGTTTGATGAGCTCCAAACGGACGTTCCACACTTCCCAGGGGATGCATTCTGGAGTGAATGGCCAAATGTTCTTCTTTTTCTGGAAGAACTCGAGTGAAATTTGACCAGAGCCTGGACCATCAGTGCCTCGCAACACCTCTGAGAAGATGGAGATCTCACGCTTCAAGTTCCTATCAAGGCTAACTGAGGAGCAGCAGACCTGCAGATTTATCAGTGCATAATTAGACATTAGTAAAGACGGGAACGAGGAATTGGTTAACTCCGGATCTTATGACCTCTTGTTAAATTCCTATCTCCAAATTTGGTGGCTGAGCAGAACTCACTAAATTGTTCGGTAGCTTTACTGTGATATGCTACAAGTAACGGTTTTTTGAAATAATCAAATTTAAAAATACCCCCGCCGCAGCAAACCTGCAGACTAAGCGAATTTCCATTTGCCTAATTGGATTTACACTAAAATTTCTCCTTAAAAATATCACATTTATTCCCTATTTAAATAACATTAGTTTAACATGTACTTAGGTTTGCTGCAACAGGGAGGGTAAAAAGGCGTTTTTTTTTTTATGTTAATAGTATGTTAGTATAAAATGAATGCATTTTCCAAATTTGATCAAAATATGATCATAAACAAGCAAACTAAAACAGTTTACTTATTCTCCATAAAAATAACATGGGAATTTTAAATTTACAGTTTTTTGGAATTTTCTACGTAACCATTAGGCGCATAATAACGCTTCAATATACTAAATTATTTTTTTTTTAAAGCTCTACAAAATGGTTTGGAAAGAAATTACTAAATTTTAAGTTTTTAGGGTCAAAAATGGGAAAAACCAATTTTTGCCCCATAAAACCACCCATAAATCCCTGTTTCCATAGACTATAGAAGGATTTATGGGGACTAAGTCTGATCATGCTGGTTCGCGAACTCATTCGAATAAACGTAGGTTTACATGTATGTACCAAATTTCATCAAAATCGGATGATTTTTGCTCGAGTTATCGCGCTAACGGAAACGGACACATATATTAATATATATATAGCCTATATAATAATATTTATATATTTATGAATTTGAACTTCTAGGATGGTGTTTTTGGTCTCTAGGGACCTCAAAACGAAAAAGTAAATTGGTACCGGGTCCAGGTCTTACCACGAGTACTACGGTAATAGCTTAATCCCTATAGGGGAAATTTGCTAAAAAAGATTTTTGAAAATTTGCAAATGCCCATTTTTCAAAATTTTCAAATAGCCACATATGTCAAGTGGCACATCATTTTATAGGTTTTTTAATTCTTAACAACTTTGTAATTTACACTTACTTCGTATCTCTTTTAGTTTTTGTGTAAATAACCAAAAACCTAATTTTCCCATATCAAATGCATGTTATTTTGGTTTAACCCTAAATTAAATGGGGCCTTTAGTTTCAAACCCAAATAACATGCATTTGATAAGGGAAAATTAATAGCTTGATATGGGAAATGTTATAGCTTACAATAAGTCATCTAATCAGTTCCTGACTTGTCGTGCACGCTCCCATATAGGTGCCACCCTGACAACATGCCATCACTTCAAACACGTGGTTATCGCTGAGAACTAGCCTCTCAACTTCTTCTTTATGGTAGGTAGCGGGTTGTCACGATGGAAAATAGTCACCATTGTACTGTTGGCAACACTGGTGCGGCCTAAACCGGATCACTAGTTATATCGGCTCCCGGATTTATCAGTGTTTAGACTATTAATTGACTTATTTGTGCCTAATGTTTACCTTAAACCAGTTTGTATTATATCCATGCTCATTTAGATCACATAAATTCAAGTGGAAATTATTTCAATTATCGTCTGTCGTCAGTTTAAAATCGGTCGCTGCTCAGTCTGCTCTCTCTCGGTTCTGCTCGCACAGGCATTTCGTACTGCACGTGTTTCTGAGGAGTTGGAATACTGAACTTGAGTGTGTCAAACTGTCTTCTAGTGGTGTGTTTTGTGCTACGGGTGCTAATGAATGAATCTAAAATTTATCAGTTCTTCACGCCGGTGTCGAGAAGTGTGAAACCAGCGGTCAAACGAAACCGTCCATCATCCACATCGCCACCTACTGTACACGACACTTGTCACAGACGTGGTTGGTGGTGATGAAACCCTGGGTAACCTTACCCGCAGACAATTACTGGATGATATTAGTACTCTATTAGATAGCAAACTTTCTAATTTAGTCTCTAAATTAGCTTCTAAAGACGATGTGACTAACCTCTCATATCAAGTTATTAGCCTATCGGAGGAAAATAAAAGTTTGAGAGAGGAAATCGAGGCTCTCAGAGCCCCAGAAAAGACAGTAGTAAATAAACTTGTTGATTTAGAAAGTCGTTCTCGCTGCAATGATTTAATATTTAAAGGGTTTAGGAGTTTAGAGAAGTCTTAGATAAGTTCTGTAGGGAGGTTATGGGGGCAGAGGGCAATCTGTGGATAAATAGGGTGCATCTTCTTGGCAAAAAAGGGTCGACAATTAACGCACACTTTGATGTCTGTCATTTATCGATTGCATTTGTAAAATATTTGTAAGTTTAATGAACCATAGATTGAATGAGTGGGTTGAAAAACGTAAACTTTTAACAGAATTCCAAGCAGGGTTTAGACAAGGTTATTCAACAGTGGATAATATCTTTAATCTTTATTCTATTTTAAGTTTTCAGCTTAATGTGAAGAGGGGAAAAGTGTTTGCATTTTTTGTGGGTTTTTCGTCGGCTTTCAACACAATAGATAGGAATGCTTTGATTTTTAAATTATCGTGCCTAGTTGTGTCGACGAAAATGATTGAGGTAGTAAAAAATATGTATACTGGCACAGTTTCAAGTGTTTGGTGTAACGAGGGGGTTACTGTACCTTTCAGCACAAATGTGGGTTTGAGGCAAGGTTGTATTAGCTCTCTGATTGCATTCAGTTTAGTTATAAATGACATGCCTGATTTTGTTGGGGGAGGTTTTCATTGTGCAGGCAGAATAATCAGTATGTTGATGTACGCAGACGATATAGTATTTTTGGCTCCTACGGCAACCTGTCTACAGTTGATGATTTCAAATTTAGAAAAATATTGTGATAGGCCTAATTAGAATTTAAAAGTCAATCCAACAAAATTTATTCACATTAGGTCAAAATGAAAATTATTTAAAGAAAATAATGTTCAAAATGGCAGATGAACAGATCGTTTGCCTAGAGTTTTATAGAAGGCTAGAAAACTTGGTTGTCAAGTGCTATTGTGCATGCCCCGTTCGAACCATCCCCGCTTACAGCTAACAAATAATCAACTTGGCAATTCTTTCAGCTTGCAGCATAGCTTACTGCAACCGAGCCGGCTACACGCTAGGTGCGACTGTGTACGTGCCCGTAACAACGCGTGCTTTAATTCTACATTGCAGTAAGAGAGTAAGCGACCGGCTAAGTAACCAGCCACCTGTGCAGGTGTCACTGTATTTTTACCCTAAAGAATGGTTGTTTATTATACTGGCACAGTAATCCCAAAGTGTAAAGGAGTGCACATAATTCTTGATTTATTTCTCTCTATACTTGGAAAATAATAATAAACACATTACAGATTGTATACTTACATATGTGAAGTCAATAAAATCACAGTCGACATCTGAATACCCTATAGTGCCAACAGAGTAATTGCCTTCTTCTTTATAACGGAATTTGCCAAGTGTACGATGAAATAATACTGTGTGAAATATGCTGGCAACTGCTTCATCCACTTGGTGACCCTCTACTGTCTGTAGAAAATAATTTAATGAAAATAAACTGAAAAAAAAACTAAACCATACCATTTGAAAACCAACATTTAAAACAATAAATAAAAACATAAGGCCAGAACTTTAAGGAAACATCGAATAAAAATATGATAGGCCTGCAACATTTAGAGTGTATTAGATGTGTTAGTAGTGCAAGTAAGTTTATAGTAATATCATTGATGAAAACAACTACCGATATAAAAAAAAATAGCCTAATCAAACCCCTTTTGCCGCCACGGTCTGATATAACAGACGCTAAGACATAATATTTATTTACTGGCCAGCAGGATGTCCAAATACAAAAAAATAACCTAGATCAGACAATTTGTCATGGATAGAAACATAGAATACATGCAGAAACACACTTTGCTTCCCTTTTGAGTTACGTGTTTTGTAAGTCTGTGTTGAAAAAAGTGACATTGTAAACACAGGAGTGCCTTTCAAGGTTATTATCAGTGTGTTTCTCAAGTTTTAATATGTTTAACAGGTATTTTTGTTTTTAATATGAATAAATTTCCTCCGGATATAAATCACCAGTCAGAGAATTACAATTTTTGATTAGTTAGTAGCTGACGGTATTGATGGTGAGTTAGGTGACGGTTTCGTCAATGAAATTGAATCGTCGTCCCGAGAACCTCCTCCCTCATCTTCTGACAAAAATTAGTCTGATCCTGATCATTCTCTTTTTTTCTTTATTTGGGGACGATACAGATGATGACCCTGACCAAGTTACATTCCCTCTACAGTATGAGATTTCCCATAGAAAATTTACTAGTGTAGGCCTAATGAAATATTTTTGTCTATTTTAATAAATACAGGGTGTTTTTAAAAGAATGCCAGGATACCAAATGGTCGTTGCTCGGGGACTATTCAAGATAATTAAACGATTTAAACGTCAAACTGAAGGGTAAAGAATAAAGTTTTTTTCTCACTCTTTCATACAATTCGGAATGAATTAATAAAATTCAGATTTTCATCAATCTTATATGAGCGTAAAACTGGCAAAGCCCTCACGCTTAGGGCGATCAGGGGGTTTATCTGATGTCTTAACTGAATCTTTTTCGGCACAAAAACTCTATCTTTTATAGATAACATCATAAAGTGACCAATTTAGGTTTGTCACACTGAAGACTTCGTCGGGCAATTGATTCTTTCGGGCTTCTCATGCAGAATTGTCAGATTTCTTCGACTAGGCTATATCATCGCTTGTTTTTAGCTGGCCAGGTAAATGTCTTTTCAAAACACTTCGGTGCCACGAAACTCATTAAACCAGCTTCAAGTTTCTTTATCTTCAAATAGATTTAAATTTAGTTTAATTTAGCAATAGATACAAACTCTGCGAACTACAGATTACATTCTGTGCCTTCTGTTGCGCCGTAAAAACGTCGTACTTTGGCGACTGGCGTCAGGCGTATTAGTCACAATAGCGGTCTATCACCCCGGACCTGTTTTACGCATGCCAAGGTCAAAGTTTCCTCCCTTGCTAGAAGGGAAACAAAACTTAGTTACTTTAGCTTCAATTTTATGTACCTTATGTACCAATGTTTAGTTACCTTGAATAGCATCCAAGCAATTACCATTTAAAATCCCGGTATTCTTTTGAAAACACTCTGTACATAGGCTATGATCTCACAACAACAAAAACAAATCAATTAATTTTTACGTGTTCGAGAAGTGAGTGACAGAGTGACTATGTCACTACGACTATGTAGGCCTACGACTGTACACCTAAGTTATGCAGTCGTTAAACATATTTTATTCACTGAAATAGGTGTAGGCCCTATGACTATCCATATGATAGGCTATTGTATCTCATTCGAAAGCTCATGAAATTCTGTGTTGTGGTATTTAATGGTTTTAGATAGCACAACTGGTGCTGAAGTTATCAGCTGTTATTTTTCGTAAATATTTATCGGGGTAACTAACTTCAATTTCTGTTGACCAACGCTAAACAAGTTGAGTTTTGGTGTATTTTCACTAACAAGATGTGACTTAATGGAAGGGTCTTAATCAAAAGGGACTCACTGGGAGATACCTATTATTGACAGATATCGCTTTTGTGTTGTTTTAGTATATCTTAACCATACTGACTCTTTCATTAGCCTAATTATTTACAAGCTAAGCCAAGGTTAGTATATCATGCATTAATACGAAATAAATTAACCTTGTCAAATAAGTAAACTTAATATAATTCATTGAGGACTAGGCTAAGCTAGGTTGAGGAATCAGGATAAGTTAGGCCATGTTATTAATATATTTGATTTATAAAGAATACAGCTACTGTTAAAATTGCTTTCTTCAAAGAAGTCTTACCAAGTCAAATGTTTGAGATCGAGCATTCATGTTTATTACTCCTATCCATGGTCAAATTATGAACAAGATATATCATGACTTGAGCATTTTCTGTTATCAAACATATGAAACTATGAGTGCTTCCGACGTAACTTGAAATCATACATCCACAATAAGCACAACATTAAGGTCACACAATCATGTATTGTAAAAAAGAGTCGCGTATTTATAAAGTAAGAATACTGTGACCAAAATATTTACTACTCAACAACAGTTACAGATCTTTAACTAACTTATACCTATTTCATTTCTCATTTCATTTTTCTTTCTCTGTTTCTCTCTCACTGTCTCACTTTTGACAATAAAAATTAATTATCAGTTTCGCCAACACTCTAAACAGATTTTCTTCAGATTTAACATCATACAATATGGTATGAATTTCATAGTCAGTCGCTATGCCACATTTCTACGATTGTTATGAAACAATTTAAATTTTCCATGATAAGCTATGCCACATTTATACGATTATAATATAAAATATGGAACAAATTTTAAATATCTGCTATGCCATTATAAGGTATGACACCCTACCAAAAAAAATTACCGTCGTGAAGTTAGCGGCTCTTTTCATCGGAGCTTTTTCGGATTGTAATAGATATGGGTTGGTACGCCTGCGGACGCCACAAACGTGTTTTGCAGGGATGTCGGAAAAGCAATTCAATGACAATACGGTGCGAAATGATGGTTTTACATTTATATAATGTCAATTATACCTTGATAAAACGTGTAGACACGTTAAAACTAATTAATTGACGTATTATAAAAGGCATATTTGAGACCGTACTGTACATTATACGTAGCTATCTATGGCTTAACAAAACGTGATCAAATAAGACTCCGAACATAAAAAAGGGCATAATCTTTTTCCTAAGCCAATCACATCAACTTTGAGCTATTCTAATGGTAATATACAATGTGTAGAATACTCAATATAAATATGATTGAGGCAGTCTAGTAAATTACGAAGCTATAAGGCAAAATCTATATGGTTGATATAAGAATTTGCGTAAGGAAAAAGTGTACAAACTTTTTCCTAAGCCCATCACATCAACTTTGAGGTATTCTAATGGTAATATACAATGTGTAGAATAATCAGTATGAGTATGATTGAGGCAGTCCCCTAAATTACCAAGTTATATGGCAAAATGTATATGGTTGATAGGAACCATATACGTTTTGCCTTATAACTTGGTAATTTAGGGGACTGCCTCAATCATACTCATACTGATTATTCTACACATTGTATAATACCATTCGAATACCTCAAAGTTGATGTGATGGGCTTAGGAAAAAGTTTGTAAACTTTTCCCTTACGCAAATTCTTATATCAACCATATAGATTTTGCCTTATAGCTTCGTAATTTACTGGACTGCCTCAATCATATTTATACTGAGTATTCTTCACATTGTATATTACTATTAGAATAGCTCAACGTTGATGTGATGGGCTTAGGAAAAAGATTATGCCCTTTTTTATGTTCGGAGTTTTAATTCTACGTATAATGTACAGTACGGTCTCAAATATGCTTTTTAAAATACGTTAATTAATTAGTTTTAACGTGTATACACGTTTTATCAAGGTATAACTGACATTATATAAATGTAAATCCATAATTTCGCAACGTATTGGTATTGAATTGCGTTTCCGAGATCCCCGCAAAACACGCTTGTGGCGTCCGCAGGCGTACCAACCCATATCTATTACAATCCGAAAAAGCGCCGATGAAAAGAGCCGCTAACTTCACGACGGTCTAATACCCGGCTGTTCAGTCTTATCTTGTCAAACATTACCTAACCTAAAACCTAAAGACCTAACTGAACTGTCAAAAAATAACAAATTACCAAATACCAAATACGAGAACAGATCAACATAACATTGATGTCATTGTTGATTGTTTTTGTTTTGATTTTCTAAGTAGAAATATAAAACAATGTTGCTTTCCATTTTGCAGTTAATTTCTTCTTCACAATGCTAGTTAGATGAATAGTAATGCCTTAGTTAAAAGTATAAAGTATTTATTCTCTTATACCGATTAGTTTTAAGTTTAAGAGGAACTTACTGTACTGTAAATTTAGTTGTCTTAACCTAGGTCTATTTCTGGCAGTTCAAAACAATTCTTCTTTTCTCCTTTAAAAAATAAATAGCAACTATTTCAATGTTTACATTATCATTTTTATTTGTCATCTTAAGCATACCAAGTAGGCCTAACATTTATATTTTCCATTAAGTTAGAATTTTTATCTTGTCAATTATTTCAATGCCTATCTTTAAACCTAATAGGCCCTAGTCTATATTTTTGTTGTCCCTAGTCAAATAAAATGTTATAACTTAGGCCCTACTGTAAGCTACGTTTTTCTAGTGCATAATAGCCTATATTACTTTTCGATAGAAAAATGGATCATGCAAATAACCATCATGTTTCAACATTGCTTCAACTGATTACTGCTGTCAAAACAATGAAATTTCAGGGTAAGTACAGTACATAAGTAGTATAACGTATTAAATAGCATTTATGGTATGGGGTACAGTTTCTTAACTGGGCTATGCTAATATCGATTGAAACTATCGATTCGAAAATTAAACCTTCATGCGATTCAAACAAATTAGACTAAATAGCCTAGCAAATTTATTTTTAGCATTTGCAATATAGCAATCCCGAAAACTAGTTTAAGAGCACATTGGTTTATTCGATCAAATCGTTATCTGGTCAGAGCTCGAGTCCCGAGGTGGCCGGATTAGGGAGGCTACTTGTAACAGCTATTGTAGTAGGCGCTAAGCGGTACCCTAGGGTAAGTTACTAATCAATGCCAAAAAGGTTTTTCTACAGGTTTAGTTTGAAATAAAAAGAAATCAAAAATGAAATGAAGTGAAAAATTCTTTATTTTACCAGTCAAAGTTAGGGCCACATGCCCCTTTGTAATACTGAGCTTATACTACTTAAATGTTATATTGAATTTTTTGCCTTACCTACCTAAATTAGACTATTTTAAGCACTTTTTACCTTTGACACTTTTGGGGGAAACTCACCCTGAAAACCGAGAAAAATGCTAGAAATCGGCGCCTATTCTATGCTCCTGATAGTGAATGGTAGAGAGTTCCAAAGGCGACATGCTGTTACTGTATAGGCTATGATCTATTAAAAACTGTTGTCTTATGGTGAGGAATTTGGAGAGTTGATGAGCCAGAGCGGGTAACCACCTCCCCAAAAATTGTTCGTGAGATAATTTGGAATTTTGAGATTGATGGCCGAATGAGTTAGCCTATATTAATAATGGGTATTTCTCTAATGTCGGACAGTTTTAAAAGAGAAGAATTTATATAATACGGTGTGACGTGATCCTCTCGTCGAAGATCATATACAAATCTTATACAGTAATTTCGAGCTTGTTGCAATTTTGTTGCCAAAGCCACGGTATTACAGTAATTGAAGTGGGGAAACACTAGTGACTTGATCAGTAAGAGTCTAATGTGAAATGGTTAAAAGTCTTTGCATCTTCTTCAGTGTGTGGACAGCGGCAAACACCCTTTTACAGGTGTTAACCACTGTGTCAGTCCAGTCTAGTGTATTGTCAGACCAAGACTTTTAACTTTGTCTTAGTATGGCAATACAGTACCGTTCACAGTGATGTGAGGTAAAAAATTTTGGTCAAGTCGGTTTAGTTGTCGTGAGTGGCCAATGATGATTGGTTTGGTTTTGTCAGGGTTAAGTTTTAGTCCATTCTTTGCTGCCCACCCCACAATTCTGTTGATGTCGTCGTTCATTGATGTAATTGTTTCATTCACCACACTGACTTTGAAGTGAGTGTAGATTTCTAAGTAATCAGCGTAAGAATGAAACTGAACTGATGTCGTTTATGTATATAGTAAAAAGTTAAGGGCCATGTATTGATCCTTGAGGAACACCACAAGGTATCTGCCTCCAGTCAGACATAGTTTTGTCATGACACACACACTGCTTTTGGCCAGGAAGATATATGATCTCAGCCAGGATAATGAAATATTAGAAAAACCTATATTTTGAGTTTTGTAAGAAGAATTTCATGATTTACTGTACCCGAAAGCCTTGCTAAAATAAAATATCATGGATACAATCCCAAAACCTAGTTTTGGCTATTGCCGGTAATATTGGCAATAGGTCAGTGGAAGCGTGTCGCAACTCCACTAGCCAGCATAATCTTGCAGTGTACTTGGGTTTTGTTGAGTGTCACAAAGTATTGGGTACATTGGTTGCTACATCGCGTTTGTTTTTTTTTGGTCGTGGCATGGAATGTGTGGCCTAATTGTTGTTAACAAGAGGTGTCATTATTCCGTGTGACGTGTAGTTGTAGGACCACCAAACCTAGAGACAGTTGGTCAGTTGGGTTACCAGATCTGTGAGCCGCGGTTACGCACTATCTTTCCCTCCCCACGGGTGTTTGGATGGGTGGGCAAATCCGCTTACCAAATTACTTATATATATATATATATATATTGGCAATTGATAGTAACTCATTATAAATAACTTTGTTCTTTTACAATAATAAACTAAGCGTCAAATCCTCAACTCGGCCGTCGATCATTGAGCTTTCCGCCCTTATCGTGCGTGGTCGCCACATAAGCTACCACCCTAGACCATTTTAGCTCTAAGAACCTAGTTCCTGATTTACTTTTGTACCAGCGATAGTATTAATCCTATATTTGAATTCCTCTTGTCTGAAATAACTAAGTTAATAATAACATGAAGGGTTTTTTTATGTACGGTATTAGTTTCAGATGTGAATTGTAGACTTATGTGAATGATGTATTTCCATAATAATTCTTTGCAAAATGTATATCATACTGAGTCTATGAAATATTGCTAACCCTACACATTTAAATTTGTAGGTTTCGTACAAAAGATTAAGCAATGAAGGAAAACATCTAATAGATAGATTCAGTCACTATGGTCGTAAGGAAAGAAGAGAGGGGTTCGAGGGGTTCTGAAATGTTTACTTCAGGTAAGCTTAACACATTGACACTGAAGAAGTAGGCCTAATGTCGTTTTATACAAAGTATTAGAATATAGACATAACAAAATTTATTTAAAAAATTGGAGTCTTTGTAAAATCACTAAAATCAGAAAAGGTTAGGCTACTTTTAACTTTCTTCCTTAACACTTTTCATTGGTTAACAAATTTGTATGTTTTAGCGAATTTCCCTATAGGGAAGTACCTAGCTATTACCGTAGGTGGCACGGTAAGACCTAGACCCGTGACCGATTTATTTTTCATTTTGATGTCCCTAGAGGCCAAAAACACTGTTCAAATTTGTATATACGTATTGTTCTTGAGGATTTCCTGAGAGAGTTATGAAAAAAGAAACATGAAACAGTGTGAATTTTCGTTTAATACAAACATTTTCAAGCAGAGAGAAATTAATGAAAAATGTAAAAATGAACAAAACAAATAAATATGAACAGTTGACAAATAGTTGAATTTTGAGAACATATGATTGAGTACAGATCAAAGAATGAAAAAAAATCAGCCTAAAAGAAAATTAAAATTCAGCTGAGTTGAATCACTTTTTTACTATCTTAAATTTAAACCAGAGGGGAACTTTGTTTTAAGTACCAACTGGTGAGCCAATTCATAATTTCTTAAGACCAGTTGGTTGCATTTTGGGTTTAGATTTGGGTTTACTTTGTGAAGGGCTTTAAGGTTATTGCAGCCTTCAAAATTTTGGTTGTGGTGAGCGGCATGATTATAGATTGGTTTTATTTTGTCTTCATGTACTACATCAAAACGATGGCCTGTCGTTCGAATTCTTATTCTATTCGAATTCTATTCTTTTGGACAATGTTTACATGACAGTTGATAAATCACATTGTGAATTTCACAAGTTGATCTACCAACAATCGGATAAACCTTGTTTGTAACTTTGCTATCGAATTCAGTTGTACTACTCATAATTTTGCAAATACCACATCGGGGCTTGTGACATGGCTCACAGCCGTGTTTAGAACTGTTCAAAGGCCGAGAATTTTGAAATTTGGTCTCACCAACATATTTTTTAAAGCTTTGTGGCCTAAATAACACAAGGTGGTCTGGAAAATAAATTTTCAGTACTGAGGGAAGATTTCAAAATATTGAATGCTACTCTCATTACAGTGTGTTATTTTTTGTAGCCCAGGATAGTATTGAGTAATACATTTAGGGTCACTTAAAAAACTATTATCTTGGTTGAGATTTTTGGGTTTTTTTTTATTTGATTGAATATTAGTTTTTGAGGATAGCCTCTTCCAATGAAAGCAGAATTCAATTTAGTGATATATTTTTCAAAATCAGATTTTTCACTGCAGAATGTTTTAGCACAAATTGATAAGCTTTTTACATTTATTTTACATTTAAGCTATTGACATTTAGCTTTTAACATTTACAAGAAGTGTTTATTTATCTAACTGTTATTAACAGCGTGAGTATTCCCATTAGTTACACCTTTTAGTTTAGTGTTTCAACTCATAAAAAATTATGACTGTTATTAGTATTAAAATAACTTATGTAATACCGCTAGTAGGTAAAAAGAGCTTACAAAGCTTCGTTCCAATATCTCAAGCCATTTCAATATGGCAGCCATTAAAAATCTTTATTGCCAAATTTCATGAAAACTGTAAATATTAAGAAAATTGTTTTTCAGATCAAAAAGATAGAGAATTTAAATCCAAATCAAATGAGCCCTTGTTTGTTAAAATCAGATGACAAACAACTTACTAGTAGGCAGTGGCGGTTCTAGGACCTTGTCAAGGGGTGGGCTACCGGGGGGCTTGGGGGGTGTGGAGCACCCCACAATAAAGCAGGGGGGTCCGGGGAAAATTTTGAATTTTCAAAGCCGTTTGGTGATTGTTTAAAGCCATTTTTAACACCTAAAACCGTTCCCAATTGTCCATAAACTCCCATTTCACCTGTTGTTTGTCATGAGCAAATAGACATAAAAAAAAAAATTAAACTATGACGATTGCATTCATGAATTTCAAAACACACTATAGACTACGGCCATATCATCCTGAAAGCCATTGGGTGACTTTCTACAGCCAGTTTTAATGTCTAGAACTGTGTGCAAAACCTCCCATTTATTTCTCATGAATAAATAGACATTTTTAAAACTAACTATGACGATTGCATTTATAAATCTCAAAACATATTGTAGGCTACGGCCATATTTCCCTAACAGCTGTTTACTAACTTTCTAAAGCCATTATTAATGTCTATATCTGTGTCCAACTGTCCAAAAACCTCCCATTTCACCTGTTATTTTTGTCTTTGTCATGAGCAAGTAGACATTTTAAAAATCAAACTATGACGAACTTGCATTCATGAATTTCAAAACATAGGCCTACTGTAGATTACGAAGCCATATCTTCTAAAAGCAGTTTAATGACTTTATAAAGCCATTTCTAACGTCTAGAACTATGCCCCATTGTCCTAAAACCTCCCATTTCACCTGTTATATGTCATGAAAGCAAGTAGACACGTTTTTTAACCTTATACATTTTTCTCCATTTCATAGATCTGTCACAATTGTATAGTATCGAATTCAGTAATAGCATTGACTATATAAACTTTAACACTAGTGTTTATACAGTATATTCGATGGTAATAGACTAATGGTGCTACCGCTGAGATTGCTGATTGATGCCTGCGGTAAGTTAGTGGCTAGCAGACAATTTGAAAACTAACTATGGAACATCAGGAAATCACCTGTTTCTCCATCCTCGCTCGCGCGCTCGGCACTTGCCTTTGCCCTAGCGTGTCAACAGCTGACTGCTGTAAAAATTGGATGATGCGTACAACTTTCCATAGCGTAATATTGTTTTATTCGTTGTGCTATATTGTCCACAAAGTTTATCTATGTGGAACTTAATACTACTCCTGCCATCACTTATTAAGTAAAATAAAAACTACAATGATGTCTGTTTTATGAAATTGCGTGTTTTAAGGACGAAATGTAGGTTTAAATTTATTTTTCCAAGGTCCAAGGGGGGGGGCTTTAGCTCCTGTAGCCCCCCCCCCTTGGAACCGCCACTGCTAGTAGGTAAAAAGAGCTTACAAAGTTTCGTTCCAATATTTCAAGCCGTTTCAATATGGCAGCCATTTAAAATCTTTACTGCCAAATTTCATGAAAACTGTAAATATTAAGAAAATTGTTTTTCAGATCAAAAAGATAAAGAATTTAAATCCAAATCAAATGACGCCTTGTTTGTTAAAATCGGATGGCAAACAACCGAGTTATCAGTTTTCTTCTACATTCGGTTACGCAATTTAATAGGACTTCCATATTGTTTATTATTTGTTAATGTACAGAGCAATATGGTAGCGGTTTGGATCTATTGACATCAAAAGTAGGGATTTGAAAGTAATTAGATTTTATACCTTTCAATCAGTTTATCTTTTTAAATTAAATCATAGAGTTGCCGTATTTTTAAACATACATTAGCACCATTTATTCACTGTAATAGCTGCCTTGGTCACATTTTCTTCCCGTTGCGAGGCACGGGTACGGCAGCTCGTAATATAGTACAGTAATGTCCATGATATAGCTAAAACGTATTGTTTAAAATGTGAGTGTGACAGCTGAAAATAAGTGAAGTAAAAAATAAGTTTTGGTTAAATCCATCAAATTGTAATTGAATTAGTAAATACTAGTGCACCTGTTGCTCGAAATTGAGCAATAATTATCAACTACCGGTATTATAGAAGTTATTTTAAAACTAATAACAGTCATAATTTTCGATGAGTTGAAACACCAAACTAAAAGCTGTAACTAATGGGAATACTCACGCTGTTAATAACAGTTAGATAAATAAAGACTTCTTGTAAATATTTTATGATTTTTCAGAAGCTGAACATGTTTTTTAGTGTTTTCAATAAATGATTCCCAATTCTGACTTACCCATACCTGCATAAAGTTGTCCATGTATACCCTGTCCCAGACCACCCGGCCGGCTTCTATAGCTCCAATATGAAAGCAAATAGAAACCTAATTGAAATTGGAACCCCCTATTTTGACCCCAAGGAATTCAGCAAAATAATTTTTAAACCCAAAAAGGCAGATTTTAAGGGTAGGGGTGGTTTTTGGGAGGTCCCCCACATGTTAAGGGAGTCGTGTTATACGTCATTTTAAAGGTCTTTCCAGTCCTGAGTATTTTAGTGGAAAAAGTTTTAAATTATTACTATCCCTATTTACAGGGTGTTAAAAAACGTACAAAAAATATAACTTAACTACTTTTCACTGCAAAGAGGTGAAATTTCCCGGGGTGTTAAATTTTGATTACACTTTAACTGCTAAATGAACTTAAAAAAAAAACTCCGGTTTCAATCCTTGTCCTAACTTTTAGCGAATTTCCCTATAGGGAAGTAGCTATTACCGTAGGTGGCATGGTAAGACCTAGGCCCGGACCGATTTACTGTTTCATTTACTAAAAAAACACACTTTGTTAGTTTCCTTTTAGCATCAAACCTAGGTGCTCGTTAAACCTAATGTTATTTAAATATATTTAATTGAAAATCAGTCAAGACAATGGGAATTCGCTTAGTCTGTAGGTTTGCTGCGGCAGAGGTATTTTTACATTACTTCAGGCTGAGCCTAGAGGGTCATTAAATCCTGTCAATCACCAATGGATTTTATCCAATCGGTAATGCTGGGACCTTCTAGGCTTAGCCTAATGTGAAAACGGTTCTAGGCTGTATCTTAGGAAAAGAGAAAAAATCTGCATACAGTAGAACCTCTTTAATGTGAAACCCCGTAATCCGAACACCCCATTGCTGTACTCTATACACAGTACAGTAAGTTCTATATTGTATACTGTATTTAATGTACAGTACTGTTTATTCACTATCTTTACTACTGTATTAAATAAACACTGTATTTTACTTTATAAAGCATTTGTTGACTTTTCCTGTAACAATTACGATCTATTTTAGCTATTGTTATCTAAAGACACAATATGTTCTTTAATCTGAACTATTCAATAGTCTGAACTACCCCCGGTCCCAATTAGTTTGGATTAAAGAGGTTCGTTCTACTGTACCTCAACGAGGTCAATCATGAGAGGGTGTGTTTTTAGTCACATCTAAAACCACAATACTTTCAATATTTTAATTTACTAACTTGTTAAAATTGTTTTAGAAGTACCTGCTAGTGTATTCCTCGTCCTCACTTCTGTCATGGTTGCCGTCTGCTTTCACAATGCTACCGATGGAACCTTTGTGTTTGATGACTCAGAAGCCGTAGTCAACAATTATGATATACAACTCTCAACTCCCGTCTCTCAGATATTCTCCAATGACTTTTGGGGTACTCCCATCATACATAATAGTAGTCACAAGTCGTACCGCCCCATCACAATTTTATCCTTTAGGTAATAAAATTTAATCAAAAGTCAATTTCATATATCTGATATATATATTTATTATCTGATAATATATTTGATTTTGCAAAATATCATAGAACAGAACACGTCCCAACTCATTTTGAGAGCTAAAACGGCTAAATTAAAACCATGGATTACAAATGGTCTTCTTACTTCTATCCGCAATCGAGATAAATTAAGTAAGAGAGTTAAGCAAAACCCATTCAACACACAGCTTCGTGCTAGATATGTCAGATACCGTAACTCATTGAAATCCTTACTAAAACGTGCAAAAAATGATTATTATAAAAATAAATTAGACGAATCTCAGGGAAATCCACGAAAATTCTGGGAAATTGTTAATGATGTAGCGGGACGTCCTGCTGGCAAGTCCAAATTTCCGTTGGAAGTTTTCCATGTGAACCGGGATACTGCCCCCACCAACGATATTAAACACATTTGTGATAATTTCAACGAATACTATGCCTCTGTTGGATCTCAGCTAGCCGGAGCGCTGCAGCCCGCCGGCCCCTTGGAGGTCGACGACGCTGACCACGCCACCGATTCCCAGTTCTCACTAAGGCCTGTCACCGTTGAGGAGCTTTTAAAAGTATTAGAGCCAACTCTGCACAGGGATGGGATGGCGTTCCCTCAAAATTTATAAAAAATAATGTAGACTCTCTCATTTTTCCAATATTATACATAATTAACCTTAGTATACGGGAAGGGAAGTTCCCAGAAGTGTTTAAAATTACAAAAGTCATACCTGTTTATAAGTCTGGCCAAAAAAAACCTAACAATAAATTACAGACCAATTTCATTAATTTGCACAGTATCTAAAATTCTTGAAAAATGTGTAAAACTTCAGCTATCGGATTACCTTGAACAAGAGAAAATTATATGTGACAGAACCGTAGTACATCACACTCATTATTTGATATAACCAAATTTATTTCTGAAGAAATAAATAACAAGAAGCGTGTATTGGTAACATTCCTAGATTTGGCTAAAGCATTTGATTCCATTAACAGACAATATCTAATTTCTAAATTGAGACTATTTGGCATCGGTGGTCATTCATTAAACTGGTTTATCAGTTATTTAGAAAATCGTTTACAATATGTGTCCATCAATGGTGTTGATAGTGATAAAACTAGCATTGACTATGGAGTGGTCCAAGGTAGTACACTCGGGCCCCTCCTATTCTTGATATGTATTAATAACCTTTCAAAAGTCAGAATTAAAGGGAAAGTTTTTTTGTTTGCTGACGACACGGCCATAGTATCGTCTGGACGCACGTGGGACGAGGCATATGAACAAGCATCTACAGACATTTATAAAGTTAAACGATGGTTAGACCAAAACACGTTAACCCTTAACATAAGTAAAACAAAAAGTTTACCAATATTTTTTAAGAGTGAAAGTGACCCCAGCCCGAGGCAACTATTTCTTCATACATGCGGCGACTTTCGGTCAGCGGCTTGTACTTGTGACGTTATAGAGCGGGTAGAGAAGTACACGTACCTAGGCATTATAATTCATCAAAAGTTTAGTTGGGCTCACCACATTCATTATCTCAAACAACGACTTAGAAAGCTTATATATGCATTTTCTCAACTTGCTGGAGTGCTGACCACGGATTACTGTAGGACAGTTTACTATGCTTACGTGCAGTCTTTGCTTCAATATGGTATATTGGCGTGGGGCGGTGTCTCGGCCTTTATGCTTGAGCCTCTGGCTGTTGCGCAGAGGTCATTAATCAAAACCATCCTTAGCAAACCATCGAGATATCCAACAGAGGATCTGTACTCAGATTTTCGTGTTCATGATATACGACAGTTATTTGTAAAAACTCTTTTAGTCTTTATTAGGTCAAACAAAAACATAATTTTTACCAATTTGCAGCATAACTATCCCACAAGACATAGAATCAACTTTGGTTACCAATTTCCTAGATTAAATATAACCTCGTTAAAAAGTAACCCATTTTTATCGCCCATATCTTATATCGCAATCTTCCGCCACAAATCCTGCAGTATGAGGAGAGCAGTGTCCCGGTGTACAAAAGAAAGGTGAGTACTTGGCTTGCCAGCATTGGCCGGACGGCTACGGAGGCGCTGGTAAAATCCCCATATAATTAGGCTCATTAGAAAGAAGAAAAAAAACGTAAACATCTTAGTAATCTGCTGAGACCCTTTCATTGTAGCTATTGTAGCTTCTAGTTGCTTATTTAATCTTTGGTTACATTAGAAAATTCTACTCTAAATTAATTTTGTGTTATTGTGCCCTAATTTTGTACATATTAACTTTTAAATTATGTTTTTATGTAATATATAATTATTTTTAAGAAATGTAGTAAATGTTTCAATTAGACAATAAAAATCACTGTTTATCCACAATATACCAGATAGCAGATTTAGAACTCTTTTTCCGCACACGGGCTTATGCCTATGCGGAAAAATATATTTCTTTATCTGTTTATTGTATTAATTAAATTTTGGAAATAAACAATTTAACTTTGACTTTGATATATCGTGATTTGTTACCGGTACAGTACTATGAATTTCAGTTAACCCTTAAACGTGCGCGCGGGGGTATGACATACCCCTACGTACAATAATTTTGTCATAACTTTACAAGTATGGTGGCAACCCTGGTGAGCATAACAGTAGCTGCCTAAAATAGCATATGCTATCATCTGGCCGTAGGGTGCTATTAGTCTTGCCTGAGTCATTGACCTGTTATCACCACCCTGGGTCTGGCATACCCCCACACACATGCCTGTGTTACCAGTACTGTGTTCATTGGGGGGTCTAGTCTCTACCCCTGTTTAGTATGAATTACTTTATAAATTTATTATTTATAATTTTGATAGTATTGAAAGTTCGCCAAAAAAAACTTAGTATCTGTCGACAAATTGGATTGAAAGCCCCACCCCAAGTTAATATCCCTCCCTCTATTATGGACTGAGCATAAACGTTTGGTAGGCATTTTCTAACTGAGAAATTTCTGAAAACACCCAAACTTGAGCGCCGAAACACAAAATAGTTCTAAAAATAGATTCAAACACAATATTTTAATTTGCAGCGGAACCTTGTTGTTGTCTTCCAGCCTTTGCCATACTTAATTAATTGCTTAATTAGTTAGCCTCTTCTTCTCTATGAAATGGTTTTCCCATTACATTGTCGTTGTAAAGAACATTCCCAAATATATATAACTATTTACCACTTGAACATGTTTGCCCTTATACCACATCTATCATGTCCGAACAATCTACCACCTTTCCTGAAAACCATTATTTTGGATTTCGACAGATTTTCTGTAAGGTACCAATTTGCTAATTATAATTTCGTAACGCTGTTGCTGTGGGGCCAGCAATAAAATGTCTTCTGCGTACATCAAAAAATTTACAAATTCTACCTTGACTCTTTAGGTAGTATTTGGTTTAACTAAAGGGTAATTTAAACTAAGAAGCATTACCAATTAATAACCAATAAAAGGTAGTAAACATGACACAATAGGTAGATTATTACTAATACAGTATTTGTAATTTACTTTAAGTAAGCTAATTTACCAAAAAATTACAACCCTGACGTAGTTTTGGTTTCAGATTGAATGTTTGGGCAGCAGGGGGTGAACTTGTGGCTTCACAGTTTCGTACAGTTAACGTTCTGCTTTATGGTTTTGTCTGCTGCTTGGCTTTCTATGTTTTAAAATCCATTTGTGATGAGTATCCTCATGCAGCAGTTCCACATATGGCTGCTCTTTTGTTCACGGTTCATCCCGTTCATACAGAGGCTGTAAGTATTAATTGATGAAATCATAGTTTATTGATTCATTTCTTATTTTGCTCTAGAAATATCTTCTTCTAAAACTAAAATCCTCAGCTTAAGTAGTGTTTTGATTATTCAAACTAAACTAGCAACGGTAAGGTCGGATAAGCCGAAAGGTTGGATGACAAATTATGAATCCATTAAATAAACCAAAAATTGTGACAGTAAAAACACCAATACTGTTACTGTTGAAATATCAGATAAAGTGATACTCATCCATTCAGCTACAGTTCACACCAGTTTGCACCATAATTTAAGATGAGAGTGTGTAGTAGCAGAGAGATATACAAATATGAGGAGTTAACAAACTGTGAGTAGCAGAACAGTACAGTCAAATGAAGTGCCTAAAGCCTCATGCGAGTACAGTCAGGTGCGGCAATTAATCTTACTTAACGTACCGGAAATATCATGTGATTTTATGCTAAAATCCTACAGTCTGTAGGTTTCAGTTTCTATAGTTTGATATTGCTATTTATTGTATGTTCCGTCTTTTGAGATTTTTATTGTCTTTTATGAGTTATTTCTTATTTTTGTTGTTGGCTACTGAATAGTTAATTGTTGTTTTCTATAATTTCCACTTTTCTATTCTTTTTTTGTTAACTTATTTCAGTAGGTAGCTAGTTGATGAATGTTGTATCTCCATTGTTTTCTAGTCTGAAAAAAAGGTCTTTGTAAAAAAAAATAAATGATTAATGCATACTGGAGTCCATTGTAGTCTAGACGCAACTTCCGCATTCTCAACACGGGTCCGCTTGTCGAGTTCAATGTTTTTATCGCCGTATATGTGTGCGCACTATGTGTTTATTATTCGTCGTGTGTTTGTGTAAATGTAAAAAAACTGTTACTGACGACCTTCATATGAAGTAATTCATCCTTGTACTCACCTGATGATGACCTCCTAGTAGGTTGAAACTAGTTGTGGAGACAACAATTGGATTGCATGAATAAGGTATTTAAACCACTATCATAGTTATTATTCGCAATCCGGAGGCTACCCACACCATAATAGGCCTTATTAATATTTTTTTTATACTGATGTTTTTATTAATGCTTTTTAATAAAAGATTTTAAATATTTTTGTCTATTTTTATTATTTTGTATTTAACTAGTCTGTCATAAATCAGTAGGTATTTAAAAATGTAAAAAAAATCATGTTAATATGTGGAACGTGCATTTCCCGTTGTGTATGAGAAGGGAAATCCTGTCTCGATCTCGTCTTTAAATTTTATGAGAAATAAAAAATACCGTCTTGTCTCGTCTCAAACTAAAAATCTAATCTCGTCCATCCCTACTAGAAAGTAACAGACGTTTTGAAATAAACCATATGCAATGTGAAAAAAATATAAATTTGTATTATATTCATTTTGAAGCTAAACCCTTAGGCAATTTTTCTACACAATCCCCATTTAAATTAAGGCTTTTTTCATAAAGCGTTTTTTAATGCCTTCATTGTAGAAATCTGCTGTCTGCGAGTTCAGCCACTGATTTACACCGGCATGGAGTTCAGTGTCAGTATTAAAGCGTTCTTTAGCGAGCCATGTCTTTGTTGCTGGGAAAAGATTGTAGTTGCTCGGCGCCAAATCCGGGTTGTACGGCGGATTATTAAAAACATCCCATCCAAAACCATCCAATAGCTCTTAGGTCAATTTGGCAGTGTGTGGACGGGTGTTATCATGGGAAAAACACAAATATTCATTGCTAAGTTATCCACAACGCTTGTTTTGGATCGCACGTCTTAATTTTCAAAATGTTTCGCAATACCTCTCTTAGTTGATTGTTTGGCCTTGTTCAAGAAAATTCACGAAAATCACCCCTGAGCATCCCATAACATAATAGCCATGATTTTTCTTGCTGATAGCGTCTGCAAACACTTAATTGGTTTCTTGGGGGAATGTGTGTGACCCCATTCCATCAACCACCGTTTTGTTTCACAGTTGAGGTGCTTTACCCAAACTCGTTACCAGTTAGGATAGGATCAATAATATGGTTTCCACTTTTGTTATATCTTCCAGAAATGTCAGTGCTGCAGCAACTCTTTGTTTTGTGAGGTCTTCCATTAAGCCTATGTCCCACGACGCGTTGCGCGGCGCTCCACGCGACGGTGAAAATGCGCGGGCTGAAGCGTCTGTGCGCGTTTAGGTCCGCGCAAGACCTGTCCCACGGCGCGTGTTGCGCCGCGACACTTGCGGTCTAGAGGCCGTAGTGGATAGTGTTAAAACCTCATAGAGACCTCCGTGCTACACTGTATTTGTAAAGATCTGTGTGATTGTATGATGAGTGATTCGGAAAGTGACTGTGAATTAGCGTGCGCCGCAGCTTGTTATCTATTGTTGAGTGGCGAATATTTGAAGTTAAAATTGAATTTAAAGAAAAAAGAGAGGCGTTGGTGGATGGATGCATACAACAAAAGTTTCGCACCAACAGTTGCTGAATAACTGCAAGTTCAACGTGACACCTGTTCACCCGGTGGAAAAACGTCTCGTACTGGCCCAGGGCATCCACGCTCCAACCCGCGCCTTTGATGTTTACCGACAACTCACGGGAACGGACGCGCAATCCCGCTTCGCGCCACTCTTGCGCGTTGCACCACGCGCTTACCCTGTCCCACGACGCGAGGCGTGGCACTCCTCGCGCCGTGCGCGCCGCGCAACGCTCCGTTGGACATAGGCTTTAGAAATTTTGTAACCCACCTGGCACAAAATTTGTGATATCCAAGTATACCAACCACTATTTTAAGAACTAAACTTAGTAAAGTTTGAGGGAAATGTTCTGAAAGTTCCGTAATCGTAAAGCCACGATTTCACAGATATGTTCATTGATTTTCACTATCAATTCATCAGTCGCAAGCCAAGGCCTACCACTGCGATCCTTGTCACATTGCCTTTTTTTAAATCAATTGCACTGCCTTACTCGGCTTTCACTCATTATTCTTTGGCGGTACACATCACAAATCTGGTGATAAATTTCAATCATTCCAATAATTATTTGCTAATAAAACCTGTATTATAGCACCCACTTCACAACTGGCGTGATTTCCAATTGTAGCACTCATTTCAAAACCCTACTGCATACATGGTACAGAAGAAGAAACGATGCTCTAGCTACCACTGCTGGTAGCCTACTGAGTTTAGGAACATTCTGATGCCAAGATTGCGGTTCTAGCCCCTCCCACTGCTGTTCTAGGCCAAAACGTCTGTCACTTTCTGGGTAGCCCTTGAACTTTCTAGAAGAAAGTTAACTAACTCAAAAAAAGAAAAAAAATACTACAAAATTCACACAAATATTATTCAGGATCCATTGGATTTACTGGTTTGTTTGTAAGATGCAATTCATAGCTCGTTCGTAGGTAATTCAAATTGATTGACAATTCTATCTTAATTTGTAGGCATGAAGTTTTAGCTGTGTAGACATGTATATAGATTTAGAATATTAACCCTCTAATCCCAAAAAGTTTATATGCATATCGCTCACCTAGAGTAACATAACCAAACCTTTACTTACGACCATAAATGCAAGTAACCCATAAAACAGGCTGAAAACTGCACCCAGCATACTGCAACATTTGAGTTAAGTTTAGAAATACAGTAGAACCCCTGATAATTGACCTCAGTTTTTCTGGTCCTCAATTTGTCTGGCCATTTCTGTGGAAGAAATCATGTAGGTACAACCTACAGATTTACAGACACAGTTGCAAGCACAAGTCTCCGTGACAGGCAAAGAATTAAAATAATAGTGGAACTGATAACTGGCCATGGGCGATTCAGGAAACATTTACAACGGATGGGCTTGTTTGATGGTGAACCAATTTGTAGGCACTGCGGTAGGTCAGAGAAGACAGCCGATCACCTGCTCTTTGATTGTGAAAAGCTCTCTGATGCTAGAGGGATAACTCTTGGAAATTTGGTAAGAGGTAGATAACTTCTCGAGGAGGAATTAATTGGAAGACTGGCTTTCATCGGATGCCTGAATCTGTAGGGTCTATCAATAAAACAGCTGTCTGGGGTGCACAATAATTCAACTTTTCGGATGAAGTGCTTTATGGTCTTGGCCTGCCCCTGATAGATAAGATAAGCACTAGTCTCCGTGACTTGTACGTTTTCATGATGTCTCTGATTGTTTATATTTTAAGATGTTCACTACTCAGTTTAGCTAGTAGGTCTAACCTCTAAACAGTTGTTTGATTATTTCCAGTGCGGCTAGTAAAGCAGAGCACAGTAATGTTTTGTTTTGTAAAAAACTTGACCAGAAATTTCAGCAGACAATTACAGATTATTTTAAGGCCTAATAGTCTTTAAACTAAAGCCAATTTCTGTGAGTAATTTTGACCTCCACCTTTATTTAGTACTTCTTTATTTTATCTTGCTTCATAATCCACAGTATTTGATATGTTAGTTACAAAATCACTTTTTAGCGAATTTCCCTATAGGGAAGTAGCTATTACCGTAGGTGGCACGGTAAGACCTAGACCCGGGACCGATTTACTTTTTCATTTTGATGTCCCCAGAGGCCAAAAACACCATTCGTTCAAATTTTTATATATGTATATATATATAGACTTATATATATATATATATATATATATATATATATATATATATATATATATATATACGTCCGTGAACGCGATAACTTGAGTAATTTTTGTCCGATTTTGATGAAATTTGGTTTAAAGGTGTAAAGCGGGATAAACTTGAATGAGTTCGCGAACCAGCACGATCGGACCATGGGAACGGGGCTTTACGGGGGGTTTTATGGGGTAAAAATTGGTTTTTCTCACTTTTGACCCTCAAAACACAAAATTTCCCGATTTCTCTTTGGACTTTTTTAAAGAGCTTAAAAAAACAAATAATTTAGTATATAAAAGTATTTTTGTTCGATTATTAGTAACGGAGAAAATTTAAAAAATTGTAAATTTAAAATTCCCATGTTATTCTTATGGAGAATACTGTCAAATGTTGTAGTTTGCTTGTTTATGGATATATTTTGATCAAACTTGGCAAATTTATTTATTTTGTACTAAGCTATCAATATTTTACTCAAAAACACACTTTATTAGTTTCCTTGTAGCAGCAAACCTAGGTACTCGTTAAACCTAATGTTATAAAATATATTTAACTGAAAATCAATTCAGACAAATGGAAATTCGCTTAGTCGGCAGGTTTGCTGCGGCGGGGGTATATATATATATATATAGACTTATATATATATATATATATATATACGTCCGTGAACGCGATAACTTGAGTAATTTTTGTCCGATTTTGATGAAATTTGGTTTAAAGGTGTAAAGCGGGATAAACTTGAATGAGTTCGCGAACCAGCACGATCAGACCATGGGAACGGGGCTTTATGGGGGGTTTTATGGGGTAAAAATTGGTTTTTCTCACTTTTGACCCTCAAAACACAAAATTTCCCAATTTCTCTTTAGACCTTTTTAAAGAGCTTAAAAAAACAAATAATTTAGTATATAAAAGTATTTTTGTTCGATTATTAGTAACGGAGAAAATTAAAAAAATTGTAAATTTAAAATTCCCATGTTATTCTTATGGAGAATATTGTCAAATGCTGTAGTTTGCTTGTTTATGAATATATTTTGATCAAACTTGGCAAATTTATTTATTTTGTACTAAGCTATCAATATTTTACTCAAAAACATACTTTATTAGTTTCCTTGAGGCAGCAAACCTAGGTAATCGTTAAACCTAATGTTATTAAAATGTATTTAACTGAAAATCAATTCAGACAAATGGAAATTCGCTTAGTCGGCAGGTTTGCTGCGGCGGGGGTATTTCTATCCTGTAATTACATTTTCTCTTTGTTTTACCAATATATGAAAAAAATTATCTACAAGATTACAAACTAAAAATTGTCAAACTCTACTTTTGACTACATTTATTAATTACAAATTATTATCAGGTATGAATTTTTTTTAATACTGGTTGGTTTATCCGGCCAAATCATTATCCGACCAGGGGCTTATATCCTGTGGTGGCCGGATATGAGAGGTTCTACTGTACTTCTCTTGGAGTTTGGGTCTACCAGTATTTTTAGCATCTTAAGACGGTGACACACTATCGATCTTTTCCCCGATCGAGACCCCGAACCGAGCAGGGAGAAGGGAGCAGGTTCGATAGTGTGTCTGGTGTACAGCGATCCAGACATCAGAGCGAGCAGGGAGATGAGTGCTCTGGAGTCGGTTTTTTGGTGAAAGATCAAAGAAGAGACCTGTCCGATGTATGGAGTGATATGGTATATTTTTGCCACGTACGCTGTCGCACCGAGCAGCCGCCTGCGCTAGCGTTGATGGTTCTAATTTAATATGACAATTAGGGCCTACCCTATTTAATTGGTAAAATAAATAAATTTAGGGTCGTTGTTATATTATTATAGGCCTTATGATGTTATTTTTGGGTATGTTTGGTCAAGGTTGAAAATGTATTTTACAAGCTGAAACCTTTAAATCAATGATGCCAATAAAATAAAATCAAATCAAAATAGCATTTATTTCGCAAAAAACTGACATATTCCATTATTCTTGTGTTCTCTGAAAAAATATTTACAATATTATTTAGCTTTCTAAATTATACCAAATTTTCTGGAAAAGCTTTTTAAAGTAAGCGGAATAATCCCCCACAAAGGAGAATTTACTCCTGTGTGTGAGGGTTTATATTTTTTTAAAGATTTTTGAAAGGATGAAAAAAAGGATTTTTGAACGGGTTAAAGTTTAAAGTTGCGCTTGAGGACTGAGCGATTGGTTTTGCTGATATTTAACTCCCTTCTCCCTGCTCGGTTTGGGTTCTTGATTGGGGAAAAGATTGATAGTGTGTCAACGCCTTTAGACCAATAGATCTAATCAATGGCCGAGGATTTAAATCCTGATTTGGTAAACTCATGTACTTGTCTACAGCCGAACTTTGGTGATAGTGGCCCACTTAAAATTGCTCAGATAGAAGTTGCACCTATTACAATCAGACACCTTAAGACATTTTGCTACTTTTACCTATCCTGTGTGTGTGTGTGTGTGTGTGTGTGTCCACTGTAAATTACTAGATTTTTGTGTTTGTAAGGCGAGAGAAATTGTTTCATCACTGATATAATCAAAATAATGAAAAATCCTTAGCTCAAAGGGCTAAAGAGCGTTAAAATAACTTGTGATAGAATATGATTGTTAACAGATTGCTCCAGCTGTTGGCAGAGCTGATCTTCTTTGTGCTGCATTGTTTTTCTCGGCATTCCTTGTCTACAACTGTTCCCTGAATGGGAAACATCATCCTGTGTTGAGATTATTTTGTATCCTATTGACCATCAACTTAGCAGCAGTGTCTATGTTTGCAAAAGAACAAGGCATCACTGTTTTGGTGAGTATTGCCACATTTGCTTGTACATAAGTGATACTGTAGTTTAAAGAATTTTGATGGCTTAAAAATAAAAAATAAAAAGAAAGGAATAAGTTAACACAAGTACAGTAGGGAGAATAGAAGAAGAAAAAAATAATAGGAAATAAAGGTTTGCAAATCGGTTAATGAGTTGGTGGCAACTGGCAATGTTAGTGAACAACTGTTGAACTAAAATTGTGATATCAAGTTTCAGATGAATAGATTTTAAGTCATTAGAAGGATTGTTTGTGGACTTCTTTATTACTTGTGCTTGTTGTATTGATGCTTTTAAACAACAGCCCTATGTTATTTAAAATATGGTTTTTATAAAATAAATATTTTTCTATTTGAGATGAATGATGAAAGGCAGCTATATTCCGGACCGTTTGGGTACTTTTAATGTAATGAAACCTCTTTGAAAAAAAAATTATTAGGCTAAGCGCACACAAGTGATTTTTTGATCGGCCAATTAAAAAACTGCAGCCAACAATAAATCGCCCTTGATTTATATCTAGGCGCACTCGTGGCAATTTTTTTAGTCTAGAAATGGATTTTTTCGAGTGCGTTAGCTATCCTAAAATGGACTTTGTTGAATTAACCTGGGTTTGTGCTCTAATTATACCAAAGAAAAAAGAAGACAACGTAAATATTGAGTACATCCGATAGTAATTTAGAGACCAATTATTCTAATTAATTCTATTTAACTTTAATTTAATTCTTCTTAAATAATTTAATTTAAATTTAAATGTAATACTGTGGCCTTTTTTATTTCAGTTATAGACAGTTCTGTATCAAACTCTGCCACAGCCATGAAAAAAATAGCAAAGAAAAAACACAACTCACACTGACTCCTGTGGAGAACAATAAGCTACTGGCCGATTTTTTAGTCGACCGTGTGTGCGGATAGGTAACAATCTGTACGTTACAGTTTTTCGGCCGACAATCGCCTCACCTACGAATCTGCAGCATTTTGCAGATTTTAAAATCGGCGCAATTTTCAATCGCCTGTGTGCGCACTTCCATTCTAATACATGATGTACAGATTGACCAATGAAATAATCGCTTGTGTGCGCCTAGCCTTAGTGTATTCTAAATAAAACAAAATTTTAAAAATCAGTAATCTACAGAGGCTTACCAACCTGTGCAACAAATTATATTCAATCTGTTTTGTGTATTATACCCTTTAAGTGGTACTATTCTAGTGGTTTTTAAACATTTTTTCAGGCGCTCTGCTCCTTGTATGATGTTTTGAACTCATACAAAGTTCATCCCAGGAATCTATTTAACTATGAAACATGGATCTCCCCAAAAACTAAATGGTTTCTTATTCGACAAAGTTTACTGCTGTTTTCTACTATGATATTCCTTTTATTTCGCTGGTGGATTATGGGAGGAACAGAACCAGTATTTCAAAAGGCTGATAATCCTGCGTCTTTTCATGATAATGCGGTAATCAGGGTATGTATGTAGTCAATGAAATATAGATAGTTATGATGTAAAATTGCATGTTCAAGCCATAAGTTTGTATTAATATACATCATTCATTGCTTGAATAAATTATATTAAAGTATTAAATACCAAAATGGGTACAGTACATATAAAATATTAATAAGTTAAAATATTAAATATTATACTTATAGGATTGTCATTAATAATATTGCATCTTACTTAAATATTGTTGAGGGAATTGACTAGTCCACAGTTGTCAGCCGTATAGGCATCACAACTACACTCTAACAATAATTTTTTAGACCAGGTATAAACAAAGTAAATGAACCTATTATTTTTCATTTGAACATAGGACTGTACGGACAGCCTAAAAATAAAATAGATGGAACTTTTGTTTGAAACTTTTAATTTAAAGCCAAAATGCATATGTATTTGTGAGCACTGGCTAAAAAATGGCAGTTGTGGATTGCTTAATTAACTCAATAACTATAAATTAGCTAGTAATTTAACTCGTAAAAAAAATAAGAGGTGGGGGATTTTTTTGTAATTTAAAAACAGACTCCATATCTGAACTCCCTCTCCAAAGTTCAACACCATACTGCATTGAAGTAGCGAGCAGTGATAACAATCAATCTTGTCTGTAAGTCAGTAATTATTTGCAGAACAAACATTTGAAAACAAAGAGAATTTAACTTTTTGATCAAATTATGTTTTCCAGTTTAATTTGTCATCAACCTCGAGACCCAAGAAGTTTGTTGACTTAACAATATAATAACAATAGGCAAAGGATCATCATTGAATATTATGTGATTAAGATTTTATTCTTGTCTTCGCGTAGTGCTGAAGTTGATTACATTATTTTTGCTACTATTTAATTTAAGACCACTGGCCTTGAACCACACTTGCAAATCACTTAGGGATTTCTGAATAATTTGCTATAAATCTAAAACGTTGTTTGATTTTGTAACGTAATTTTCCTGGCGGACGACAAGTGGGAAATTACGCCACCGGTAATAAAACGAAGATCCCAGGATTCGCCCTAGTCTGGTCGCGGGGAGTTTCCCAAGAGTCGATAGCGATTCGGATAGCCTAAATTTGATAGCCCCGGTTGTCAGAGCTCGAGACGAACGTTGCGGGTTACTAAACACCCTACTCGAAATCACCACTCTAGCCTAGGGCTTGTGGGGAAATAAATAATTTTGACTTGACTCTGTGGGCAAATATCTAAATGACACACTAATAGCTAACTCAACGAATCAACAAGTAAGCTAAATAGTCACTCCGCTTACCTACGGAGTTAAATCGTCAACCTGTAACAAACAAGGTTAGTACAAGATAGGCCTAACCTAGCCTAACTCCCACAGAGTCCAAATTTACTAAAACAAGAAAACAAGTTGGCTTAAATTGTACAAGTGAGACACGAAACGAGAGAAAACTGAAACTAAAAATAAAACTGCTCCTGGAGTGAAAAAAACGAATAACTAAAACTTTAACTTCCTCACGTGTTCAACTTAGGCCAACTTCGACAGAACTTGTCCAGCAGAAACCTGTCTGCTGGAACAAACTTTGGGACGTTAAAAGGAACTTTGAAACAGATTTATTTCTTAAAAGAAATTCCCAAAATAAACTTCAAGACGTAATCGAAACAGTGAGTCACCAACTACAATGCTTTACTCAATTTGTTGGTTACAATATCGTAGGGCTAGGGCTGGGAAGCAGACCTAGCCTTCGAGTTTCGACAAAGTTTGCCGAAACACAACTGGCAGAGAGATATTCAAAAACTTAGTTGTTTATTACACAACTTACCAAACGACGAACGAAGTGTAAAGGACGTACACCCTCAAGCTTTCAGAGCTCGCAAAACGTAACGGATTAAATACGAAGAACTTGAACAAAATCTCTTCAAAACCAAAAACGAAGACGAACGATCGAACTAGCGAAATGCCGGGAATACCAATAACAAATCTCTTCCCTTCTCAGAAACGAGACGAAGGTTAAAACGCTCCCTGATTGGTCGGCACAAACAGAGTCAGCTGAGTCCCGTGCTGGCGAAGGCAGGCGCATGAAAGCTTCAACATGCTTACAGCCGCGTACCGCTCAAAAGGTGGCCCGCTGCTCCTCTTTTCTCCCGTAGCCCGCCCTCAGACGCAGTCGAACAGCCAAACAACCAAACTGACACCAACGTCGTCTGGGATCTTGGAATTTGAGGTTAGGTACGATGTCAGTTTAGCGTCGCGACTAGGGCACAACAACAGCTTACCTTCAGCTGTTTAAGTTTTGTGGCTTAGCCATTATTTTACCCCCTACACATTTGACCCGTTACAATTTAAGAATAGCTGTGGCATCATCTGCATACAGAAGTTTTTTGAAATCCAAATTTTGTGCTAAATCGTTTATATAAAAAACAGAATAGACCCAAGAATTGAACCCTGGGGCTCGTCCCGCGTTCCTTTTCTCCATTCAGATTTAAAGACCATATCATTCTTTTTAACACGTACGCTACTGCAATAGTACCATTCATATAGACCAGCGAAGCAAATCAGGGGTGCCCATCCCCCCTAAGGCTTATGACGTGAATCCCCCCCCAACAGTGGTCAGGACATAATTCCCCAAATCAGTCGTAAAGCTCTAGGTCCAACCGGAAAGTGTCACTTTACCATACCCGTTCAGTAGTTCATTTTGCATGTACATTTACCCACTTACAAGTTACCATTGATTATTGAAATGGAAAAAAACAGTTACAAACACAATTGGCTAAATAAACTAAAACATACCTAGCATAACATTTTCAATTGATAATAGAAATTAGAGTTTCCGTTTTTCATTTCCATATTTGGTTTTTGAAATATTGACATTTTAGATAAAATTATTGTAATATTTCATCAAGAAAGCTTGATAACAGAAAACTTATTGCGGCATTTAGTTCAGCATAAAAAAGTAGTTCAAAATGATGGGTCACAACACCACCTTCATATTAAAAATAATTTATCACATTTCAAAATGGCAGATCCAATATGGCGGCCGAAAAAAATACATCCGTCATAACCAAGTGAAAATAGGTCGACAATGAATTGTGGTATTTACTTATCTTTATCTAGCACTATTTTGAGATTTTGGTCTTAGTTTGTAAATGTACAATGTTAAAATGGGCTAAAAATAAAGTTATAAAAAGTTCTCATAACTTTAGAATGGATCAAGATTTTTTTAAACAGATTGCAGCATCGTATTCAGCGTAAAAATCTAGTTAGAAACGATGGGTCACAACCCTACCTTTACATTTGAAAAAAACTTTGTATTCAATATGGCGGATCCAATATGGCGGCCAAAAATTTATACCCAGTCAAAACGAAGTACTTACTACTCTACAATGATCTGACGTGGTGCGAAGTTCATATCTTAAGAAATGTAGAAAAAAGTAGGGGGGTACCTACTCATTTAAAACTCACCCTGTATATATTTATTATGTGTAAACTATTTATAATGCATGATTTGTACTGACATTTGAAATATTCATTGCTGATATTCAGCCTCTGTATTATGAATTTTTGTGATGAATAAATTGATTTGAATTGAATAATATCACGAACACCGCTGTTGGAATTAAAGGTATTTATCTCAAAGGTTTCAAACCTTTTGTTAAATTAAAAGATAGTCATTTACAACTGAGTTATTTCTAAATCCTAAAGAGAATCTCATTTATTTCAATATCAGTGAATTGAATGCATGTGAACATGTATTAAATTTGTTCCATAAATGTAACATAAATAAATATTTTTTATAACTTGAAGAGCGGTTGGACAGAACAAAATATCAGATTAAATGTCCGTAATGCTTTTTTTGCTATATTATTTTTTTGTAACAGTAAAAGATATTTGTAGACAGATATTGAACAAGATTGAATTAAACACAGGACACAAAAAGAACTGAGATCAGTATTATGGAATTGACATAAGCTAGCTGTAGCTAGTTCAATGTGGTTAGCTACAAAAGGCTCATATTATTGTAATGTGGACATTTTGTTAAGAAAAAAAGTCTTATAAAAAATAATGATGATATTCCTTAGTCCATGCAAGGAAAGTTATTATCCATATAAGGAAAGATCTAGTTACTAAATAAACTATCCAATTTGTCATATACAAACTCAGGATAGTTTTAACTTTTCTATGTTTGGAATTTTATTTTTCTTCAACATAATGCTCTGTCATAATATCTTAAGAATTAAGTTAAAAAATGGCACATTAGCCTGACCACGACCTTGTCAATAACCTCGTACTTGTACAGTACACCATGCAACCAGAGCACAACCACGACCACGACAACTAGTTTGATGCCTTCAGTGAGAAGATGTATGTTGAATACTTGGCTATTATAGTGCATTAGTGTCGTAGGCATATTAAGTGAAAGCGCTATTGGGTGTACCCGATGTTATCTGTCAGATCCAGAAAAGGGCAATTCGCAAAATTGTATGCTGACCAACGTCAATATGAAGATAAATAGATGTACCTCTCTTTAATAGTCATAATCAGGTCAGAGTGAAGTTAATGGCAGTGCGTTACATGCAATTATAATTTTAATTTATTATATTTTTGGCTGCAACGTCCAGTATTAAGTTGGGCCCGATCAAACTCTGAGGTCTCTGCTCGTCCGACCAATAAATAAGTAACATTTTGTCTAGTGCATGCTGTTCCACTTACGTCCATTGTAAAACTGGCAGTATGAGACAAGTCGTGGTTGACTGGTTGTGTTCATTGTCATGGTCAAGCAAGTGAGCCATTCCTCTACTCTACTCTAATGGGGACCCATCTGATAGTACACCCCAGTAAAAATAGGTATACGAAACTATGAGTGTGTGTGTATTGTAAGTGTAAGGGAATCACATAATCTTTAAGAGCTCACAACCGTAGTTGATTTGTTCATGTGTTCTGTTGTAGGGTATAAATTACATTTACATTTACACACTGAATGTGTGGTTGCTGTTATGCCCTGAGTGGTTGTGCTATGATTGGTCCATGGGATGTGTACCACTTATTGACTCGCTTTATGACATTAGAGTCCTCTTTGCCGTCACTTTTGTCGCTGTGTTCGGCTGTCTAGTGATATCATTACTGACACAATCCTGCACACAGGCTAGGTTAGTCTTTTTCAAGTTTACATGTTAGTTTAAACATCCTAACATCTATAATTTTGTTATTATTTTTGGTAGAATTGCTGTAGAAAACAAAGGCTGGATTATACACTAGCCAAATGCTATGAGAAATTGTTTTTGACCTTTTCCATGTCAAAGCTAGCTATGATTTATTTTTGTTTCACTATAAAACAATGATTAACCATCACTCTGTTAGCCAATGATCTCCTTTCTGTCTCGAGCCAGATATGAACTTTTTAAGTGTCTACTTTGACCATTCTATGGTATCCATTATGATGGGAGAATACTCGTATAGTCCTTATAATTTAACTTCTGTAGATTTGAATGGCTTTATTTTGTGCAATATGACTCTTTTCCACCCAATACATTTTCTCTGATTTTCCTGTTGATGATGTAAGTATTTATTTGCTGAACATATTTTCTGTCAATATTATAGTGTGTTTCAAATCAAATCATCTTTATTTCATGGACACAATTTGTATAGTGAATAATAAAATAGTGTATAGGATGTGTCTACAATATAATACATCTTAAGACTAATCTAAGGTTGAGGTAAAACTCTTCTATTTTATAAAAATAGTTTTTTGTAGAATTCTCTTGATGGCTCCTTTAAAAACATTGAATGGTAACTCTTTAACTCTAACTGGTAACTTATTGTACAATTTGGTAGCGGTATATTTAAAGCTAGCTTGAGTGGTGGCATACAATTTCGTGTGGCATAGTTGTGCACATTCTTATTACAAAGCAAAATATCACAGTTATTTTTAATATACAGGGTGTCCCGGAACTGTCTACCAATATTTTAGGGCATTGCTTCTGGGTAAGAAACATACCTAAATATCATATTTAAATTGTCCGGAAGTCCTTAGTTACTCACACAGCCGCCATTTTGTTTTTTTAAGTTATTATTTTTTTTCTAAAGTAAGGTTAAACATACGAAATGGAAACTTTGCACAAACATTTATGACAACTAGACAAAGCCACCAAAAAAATTGAAGATTTTTCAAATTCATAAAACAAAATGGCGGCCATTTAAAATTTTGTTTCTTAAATAACTCAAAAACCGTTGATTTTACCAAAATTTTACAAGAATAACTTTTTTAAGGCAATGTTATTACAAATCGATTGACACCTTATTCTTTAAGATCAGACGAGTATTAACCGCTTTCAGCATGCGCTGCAACTAACCTCCAGCGGTCACGTATCACTAAAACTACCATATCTCAGTTAATACTCGTCCGATCTTAAAGAATAAGGTGTCAATCGATTGCCCTAAAATATTGGTAGAGAGTTCCGGGACACCCTGTATAAAAGACATTGAAAGATATAAATCTATACAGGGTGATTGATATAAGTGTGCCAGCCGTTTTATTCGAAAACCATAAGAGATATCAAAAAAAGTTAAAAGGTAAGTCCCTTGGACTTTCTTTTAAAAAAATTGCAGTAAAGTCAAAAAAATTATTTTAGCCGCCATTTTTCCAATATGGCCGCCAACTTTGATTTTTCTTATGGAACACCCTGTATTTTATGATGTATTCTGATAGAAAATGTAATTTTAAGACGATTTTATTCTTTAATTTTTTTCATAAACCTAACCGTTTCAAAGATATGGTTTAAGTTGTGAAATTTTGAATGGTTTTCGAATAAAACATCTGGCATGCTTGCTTAGGGCCTTTATCAAAACTCTTTCTCATGCAGAAATTTCAAACCTTTAACCATTCTTATCTTTGAAACGGTTAGGTTTATGAAAAAAATCACAAGAATAAAATCGTAATTACATTTTCTACCAGAATACATCATAAAATACAGGGTGTTCCGTAAGAAAAATCAAAGTTGGCGGCCATATTGGAAAAATGGCGGCTAAAATAATTTTTTTTTACTTGACTACAATCTTTTTAATAAAAAATACAAGGCACTTACCATTAAACTTTTTTTGATATCTCTTATAGTTTTTGAATAAAACGGCTGGCACGCTTATATCAATCACCCTGTATATATATATAGATTTAAACTATCTTGCAACCTGTTTTTGTAGTGCAGAAAACAATACTTAAAGTTGCTTTTAAAAAACACTTTAGATATTCAACTGACGATCTTTTTGTAGAATCGGGAGTTTTGACAGTCAGGCAGTTATTTTTAAAATTTATTTTAGTTCACATGTACAAAAACTTTGATAATATTTTTTTAAAAATTACTCATCCCCACAATACGCGCTTTTCTCGAAATGTTGGTGTGAGTGTTCCACAAACTTTCAAATCATTTTCAAATACGAATTGCTTTCACTTAACCCAAATCATTTATCTTAACATGTGTAACAGATATCAAAATGTCAACATTCTAAATTCACCCTCTCTCTCTCTATTTAAGAAGCATGTTGTGGGGTGGCTTGTAGCATGGCGGAAGTAAATAAGGTGTGCTACTCAGCCGGACGAGTTTGAGACCGTTCTGCGCATCGCGACGTGACGTCACCTTGGGGGCAAACCGCTTTGCGCGCGTATATAGCTCAGCGTGACACTGCTCTATTAACATCAACATTTTGAACTGTTAGAATTGAGGAAAAATTATGAAACTTGACATGGACATCAATTATAAGTGGACGATGCGTGTTGTGAAAAAATAGTTTGTAATTGTTAAAAACTTAAGCGTGAAATCACTCTTTATACTTGGCCTTTCTCAAAACTAAACATGCAAAAGTTAGTCGGCTACCAAATCACGTACTATTTGGTTATAAGGATTTGACCAGCGGGAAAGTTTTAGATAAAGATCCAAATTTAACTTTCCTTCAAACTATATACCATTAGAGGCGTTATTTCCCGAGATATGCTAAGTTATATGAGCGCGTGATCGGAGCGCGTCGAGTCAGTTGCCAAGTATTAATCACACATTGCCTTGCCATCCAACAAATAATGTAGTTTCATGAATATAGTATCATTGATATTTTTATTCCTGTATTTATATTTTTATGTGAAAAATTGTTGTTCTGTTGACTTCAGTGTGTTTTTCCCCGTTTGAATATGGGTTATTTCGTAATAGTTCACAGAGAATATATAATATTGTCTGCTCGGCGAATAGGGTTAACGTTGCCAAATTGCATTTAAAGTATTGCAAATCGTTGTTGATTAGTTAAAACCAAAGTTTGCAAATAGTGGTTTAAATAATAAATGATCTTTAACGCAAAGGGATGTATTTAACGTAGTATATAAAATAAAATGTACTCTGTTAAAAAATAAGTTGGTGATCAACATTGTATTTATAATCAGGTTAAAATATAAAATTGTTTCACTCTTGCAATACCATGATAATAAAATGTGATATTCCAGGTTAATTCGACAGCTAGGATCCTATTTTACTGGGGTTGTTATCTATGTCGCAACTTTGGCTCGAGTGCGGGGGTGTGTGCGGAGGATGATCACGTGTTGTTTGTTTTGTTTTCGTTTCTGTGTTCACCGCGAGTTGCAGTAGATGTCAGTATTCCATAGGGCACACATCTTTCTACAAAAATGCCCCATTGTGCAGTGTACGGTTGTTGTAATAGTTCGAAAAATAAGAAAACGCAACCAAACGTGCGATATTTTAGTTTTCCGGTACTTTCCTGTTAAAGGGAACATTCATTATTATCGATGATTTTTTCGATATATCGACATTTTTGTTTCCGATAAGATCTATTACAAATTGACAACAACAACTAACTGATCTTGTTTAGGCTAAAATAGTCTATATGGATTAAGAAATGAAACTGTTCTAAGCTAACCTAACATAACCAACCAAACTTGCTGTACCATTTAAAACTTCCGTTTGGGTTTGATAATAGAAAAGGCAAGTTAAACACGGAATTTTTAAATGTTACAGCAAGTTTGGTTAGTTATGTTAAGTTATTTTTTTTAGAACAGTTTCATATACTGAACAATATTTATCGTAGTTGTCAGCTGATATGTTTCAATTTGTTAATATCGATACTGTATATCGAAAAAAAATCATCGATAATAATGAATGTTCCCTTTAACAGGAAAGTACCAGTTTTCCTTAACAAATCAACAGGAGGCTAAGACAATGCAATTTTGCTGGTGGCGAAAAAAGAAAATTTCTAAAGAAACTTAAAAAAGTTTAGAAAATCCAAAGGTGATGAAATGTTTAATTTTTTAGATGTTTACTTTCAGGTCGTAAATATTTTTATAAGATTGCAAAATGTAATAAGCTATGTTTTTGGTTAAGGATGTTATTCATTTCCGATCCTATAAATTTTATGGCAACTGTTATCAAAGAGAGTTAATTTGTATAAAAACGAAGATGTTGCAACGCATTTTAATGTAAAACTTATTATATCTGTCACATGTTAATATTACATATTTAATTTAAAATGCAGAATACAAAGTATATCCTTATAACATGTAGCTACAGTGTTTTGGATAATAAATGCGTGGCCTTATTATCCAATAAACGGTGGCATCGGCTTAGCGCGCGCTCCGATGCCGCTTGATATAATTCTTCGTAGCTAAAAAAGTAATTCTTTTATCGAAATCCAACCGATACTACAGTTAAATTAAAACCTTTCCCTAAAACTTTCCCGCAGGTCTCATAAACCTGACCAAATAATACGTGATTTGGTAGCCGACTAACTTTTTTGTGTTAGTATGAAAAAGTTTGAAGTTTGATCGGTGGTTGAATGGTTTTTAATTCAAATAAATTAATAAAATTTAAATCATAAGCATCCTATGTTAATAGTCCAAGACTATGCAAAGTTTCAGGAATTTTTATCGGTTCTTACTATTAAAAATTACAATTTTATTAGAGCGGCGTCACTGCTCGATATGGTTGCGAGGCATGTTTGCCCCCAAGGTGACGTCACGATACCCCTCCCCCGCACCGCCTGCAGCCGGCTACGATGCGCAGTAGCACACCTTATTTACTTCCACCATGGCTTGTAGGACTGAGTTCAGAGGACACCGAGGCCGTTATCGCGTTGGGCGGACCTAACCGTTGACCCTACACAATCACTGATACACCACTTTCACTGACTGACACCCCACCCCAGAGTTATACACCCAGTTAGAGTTGTTTTTTACACCACACCCCACCTCTCCTCTTCAATCTTCACCAGATTTTTATAAATTACCTCTGTTTGCACAAAGAGTTTTTTTCCGTCAATTTTTTCCAGAACACTAAAAATTCATTTTCAAGCAAGACAAATAAAAAAAAGTTTAAATTATAAAATTTTTTTCTCCTATATATTTTTTACTTCCCATTTAAATTAATCTTTTCGCAACTCGAGTCTACGCACAGGCCCTGCCTATGTAGACTTTTTCCTTTCTTATAGAATGTATTTTTTTTACACTTTTATTTAATTATTTCTACAGTATATAATTTTTGTTTTGTTATCTAGTTAGTAATTTTTTGCCGTATCATATTTAAGTAAAGAAAAAATTACAATGTACTTATCTGTAAATAATTAATGGGAAATAAAATATTATTTAATTTCATTTCATTTCAAATATAGGGTAAGGGCTTAACAGACAATTTCTTAAATATATGCTTACAATGACTACGTGGTAGAACATTACTTAACAGTCTAATGGCTCCAAGACATTGGCATGGCTGCAATTAGCCCAGAGAATGGCACTATACTGACAATAAACATAACTAAAATACACAGTTAACAAAACATCTAGAGAAACAATTGATTTTAAATTTCTTAAAATAAAAATGCCTTTGGAAAGTTTAGGAGCGATAAAATCAATGTACACTGTGATGTGCCAAATTATTTGTTTTTTTAAGCTCTTTAAAATGGTCAAGAGATAAATTGGGAAATTTTGTTTTTTTGAGAGTCAAAAATAAGAAAAACCAATTTTTACCCCATAAAACCCCGTTCCCATAGTCTGCCATTTCGCAAACTTATTCAAGTTTATCCCGCCTTACACCTTCAAACCAAATTTTATCAAAATCAGAAAATATACTCATGGAATATTTATTATTTCAAAAAACCGTTACTTGTAGCATATCAAAGTAAGGCTAATTTCATAACAAGTAAGAAAATTCAACCGGAGAAGGGCTACGTGCGTTGTTATAGGAAACACAGAATATTAAAACAAATTGATTTTTTACAAATAAACTGCCGCCATTTTGAAACGAAAAAAGATAACTCATTTCTGTTTTTGCCAAAATGTTTGTCTAATAAATACCTAAAATTATTTATAACATGACGTATATTTTATTTACATTTGAAAATTTCAAGATTCGAACTAGTGACCCTCAGTTTTTGGCACACCCTGTATCAGAAAATATTTTTACGTTATTTCTTGGGGTTGATTTAGAGGGAAATAATTTTATTTTATCCTTGTACGTTAAGCCGTTCTTCCGTAATCAATTTGAGACACCTTCCGTGGGACATCCTGTATACAGTATATATATATAAAAAATTTTGAAAGGATGGTGTTTTTGGCCGGTGAGGACATCAAAACGGTTTTCCCTCACAGCATTATCGGCCATTATGATGAGATTAATCATCGTTTAAGAGATCGGCTAGAATAGTAGTAAGTAAGGAATGTAAAGAAAACAGCGCTTGTGCCAGATTTGAACTAACTTGCTTGAAGGGAGGTTGTTTGACCTTAATTTTTGGAAAAATCTCGTAGCGTAATTTATAATTCCAACGGTATGTCTGATTTCAGGGTTCTAGTGTTGGCATTGGGATTTATAGTAATTCCATTTTTGCCTGCTTCAAATGTTTTTCTACGAGTCGGGTTTGTCATCGCTGAAAGAACCTTATTCGTTCCGTCTCTCGGATTCTGTTTACTGGTTGCTCATGGAATGCAAAAGCTTTCTACTCACAGATCGTTATCTAATGTAAGTATTGTAATATACCATAAATAATATTGGATGTAAACGTTAGCCTACATACAACCATTTATGTTTAATCATTTCACCAGTCCAGATTAGCCTTGGTAACACACATACCCTTGTACATAATAATCTTGGTTTCACTTTTTGTTAGAGAATGGTATATCTACCACAAAGTAAGGTTCTTATCTTTCGCCAAAACATTATCGGATGAATGCCATCAACTACAACACAAACCACCTTAATGTAAACGCATTAAATAATATTTTTAGGCTGTCTAAAAGCTAGGGTTGTCTTTGAAATGTTTACAATATACTAATTTGTCTCTAAAATATTCATGAAGATTCTAACTGTAAAAAATAATGTACAAAATTCAAACTGGGTTGAATATGAAAACTAACACCTTTTTATGTAGGTGCTAAAGTATCTGATCTCTATTAAAAAGATAATTTTTGTCACCAGAACAGACTGTATATTCAGTCTTCACTTATCCATATCAAATTCAGACTATGTTTTTAGGGGAAAAAACTTAGCTTGGATTAATGAAATATACAGGATGGAGAGGACACAGCTAACTCACCTGAAGAAAGATTGCAGACAATTCAATGAACAGATAAAATATACAGGGTGGAAAAAAAGTCCCGGGACAGTTAAATATTTCAAAAAGTAATAAAGATAGAACTTTAAAACTTTGTAAACAGTTACTGGGCATTAAGATAATTTTAACACATTATTCAAAGATGCGCCACCTCCTCAGGGGTATGGCTCTATAGGAGTCAGAAGAAAATTTTAAATGTAAGCATAGGTTGATATGTCCATCAAATTAAAGGCCTTTGTTAGTGAAATACAATGCCGCAAACCTGAACTCAAACAGACAACCCTGTCAAAATGACAGGTTTTCAAAGATGCATTGAATTTGCATTGCCGCCTGCTGGAAGTTTATAGAAAATAATAAACGTATGAATAGGTCGATATGTACATCAAATTAATAGTATTTAATAGTAGAATACGATGACACAAATTTGAGCTCAAAAGAACAACTGAGGAAAAAATGGCAGCTGTTCAAAGATTCAAAATGGTATATTCAAGAAATCTTTAAACAGCTGCCATTTTTTACTCGGTTCTCCGTTTTACTTCAGGTTTGTGGCATTATATTCTACTAGTGAAGACCTTTAATCTGATGTGCATATCAACCTAGAGACTGACTCCTAGCGGGGCGGGCCGTCCCCCTGAAGAGGTAGTGTATGACTGAATCATGTGTTAAAATGATTTTAATGCCCAGTAATTTTGTACAACATTTTGAAGCTCTATCTTTATTACTTTTTTTAATATTTAACCATCCCGGGACTTTTTTTCCAATCTATATACACACACAAAATACTTGACATTTCCCCTCTTTCAGAGGCTTCTACAGAAGTAGATGGCAGGTACAAAAACAACACAGTACCTCCTCTTAACCGACCTCGCATTAACCGATAATCGGATTATCCGCCCTCAATCGTAAAATATTACAGTTTGTTTTAACTTGCTTTGGGAGCAGTTCGGTTTAACCGCCGCTCTCTAGGAATCTCAGCCTTTCCGCTCCAACGAATGGGAACTATGATACTCTTATCTACACAGGATGTGAATAAAAATAAGTTATTTTGTATTTATCCCAAAAAAATTATGTTTCTGGAAACAGCTGCCATTTTTGTAATATAATCTAGAATTATCTTAACGCTAGAGTAAACAAAAAAACTTGTTCTGAGGGGTGGAGAGGTTGGCTAACGACTCCAAGGTCAAGATAGAATAACTGCGTAATGTAGGAGGCGAGTAGCACAAAACACCGGAAGCTTATTCCTAGTTCCAAAAATGTGCACTAAGGTCTGATGGTCCGTGAACAACGTAAATTTGCGACCATACAGGAAATGAAAGAATTTTTTGACTCCCCATTAAATGTTAAGGGCTTCTTTGTCGATTTGTGAATACCTAGTTTCGCTTGTAGTCAGAGAGCGGGAAGCAAAAGCAATTGGTTCAGAGCCGTCTTGCATGATGTGTGACAAGACTCCACCTAAGCCTACTGGGCTTGCATCTACTGACAACACAATTGGCAAGTCAGGATTGCAATGGGTTAAAACGCGGTCAGATATAATTTCCTGTTTTATTTTTTGGAAGCTGTCTTCACACTCTTGAGACCATACAAATGGCACACTTGACTTTGTTAAGTTGTACATTGGATGAACCATAGTAGAAAGGTTTGGAAAAAATTTCCCGTAAAATGAAACTAGGCCTAAGAAAGATTTAACCTCCTTAACATTGGAAGGCGCTAAGAAATTCAAAACAGCCTGTATTTTGTCCCAAGTTCTAGAAATACCATTGGCATTGATCTTATGTCCCAAGTACGTTACTTTATTTTGGAAAAAATTGCACTTGTCAAAATTTAAATGTAAGCCTTTTTCTCGGAACCTCTCTAGAATTTCCCTTAAAATTTCCAAATCCTTCTCAACAGTTTGAGCTGTAACGATTATATCATCGTGGACAACATAAATGTTAAATATGTCTGACAGGACACTTTCAATGTATCGCTGCCACGTAGCAGGAGCAGCACTTACTCAGTACATGAACCTTTTACAACGGAATAGGCCCTTATGTGTATTTATTGTGAGAATATGTGACGTTTCCTCACTCACAGGTAGGTGTAAAAAAGCCCTTCGTATATCTAGCGTGGAAAAACGCTGGCCTCCACTTAGCTTAGAAAACACATCCTCATAACGAGGTAAAGGGTGTTGTGGCACTTCAATTTGCTTAATTACTGTACAGGAATAGTCAACACAAATTTGAAATGATTCATTTGGTTTTACAACAGGGACTATTGGGGTAGCCCAATATGATGCATAAACTTTTTCAATAGTATCTTCTTGAACTAAGTTACTTAATTCCTTTTCAACCCTTTCTTGTAATGCTAAAGGTAAATACTTTAATATTTTATACTTAATACTTAAATACTTTACAATGAAATGGCGACCATACAAAGTAGGTATTTTAAGCCAAGTATGAATGGAGATCAGTGTAGAATGAGTGGCGCTATCTAGTAGTCTTGTTATTGACTAAGGGCGACATATTTCTTGGACACAGCTGTTAATTAATAGCCCATACAGCTAATGGCAACTAAGGGACCTACAGTTTATAGTGGAATCCGAACCACATTTTTGCCTTTGTATTAATGAATTGGTCTAATTATCAGGATAGTACTGCGGATAGTCGTAGTACTCACTAGTGTCGACGTTAATCCACACCAGGGAGTATCACATCCACAGTGCATGCCTATAAATATCCACAATTCATGACCTTCTAGTAGCTGAATTACAGGACGACGCCACCGTCCAAGTTTGTTAAAGGACGTGCTTTTTAGCAAAGCACGGCTTATCATCAGGTTTTAACTTTAGGTAACAGATGTAGTTTTTTACAGCTTCTATCTTTTCTTCAAAAACTTCTTTGTACTCCTCAAGTAGGCTAGTGAGTTTTTTATCAGAGTCTACATCAGTCAAAGTTAGGTTATGTTTAAAAAAATAGAGTTCCTTGATGGATGACCAGTCAATCTGGAAGCTGCTGAGCCAATCACGTTCAAATATTGTTGAGAAATCTTCTTCAACAACATATAAGGTCAAAAGTTTTACCTGGTTATTGTAGCCAACCTCGACTTTGCATTCACCCAATGGAGTAGATTGTAGTTCTACGTTCACGTTGCATACTGACTGGAAATCCCGAAGGCTTACTACACTGGCGGCACTTCCAGTGTCTAGTTCCATTGACAAAGGCATATTATTTACTGTAACATTTACCATAATAGGTGGTTCTGATTTTCCATGTAATTGGTGAAGAGGCAATGTCTCCTCAACTGAGAATTATAGTACTTGTACTTGGCTTTACAAAATTCATAAGTTTTACATTGACACTTTTTTAATTATAACTAGGCCTACTACTAGGGGTTTTTGGTTGGGCTAGGCTATTCTACTTAGTCCTAAACATACTAAACATACCCGAACATGACCCTGTTTCTTACAATGCTGGCAAAATAAATTGTTTAAAAACATTCAGGGGCTTTATGACCCATTTTAGCACACTGCATACATTGTGCTGGTTGACTTGAGGGACTAGGCTTGAAACTAGGGTTTTTACTGTTAAGTGAAGGCTCAGAAAAATTTTTGTTTGAAAAGTTTCGCCTACTACCAGACTTATTTGGGTCAAATTTTATTTGATTGACAGGCCTATTAGGCTTATATAAAATTTCACTTGCACCTGAAGTAGCCTTTTCTAAGGCTAAAGCTATTTCGACCGTTTTATCAAAGTCAGGACCAGTACTTGTAAAAGCCTGTATTTTGTAATTTCCACAATAACTGATTGTAATTTCAGTCCTACCGACTGCGCCAACTTTTAGGTTTTTCATCCGCACTAAATAAAATAATAAAAGTGGGCCTAGACCTAGAATGTATAGAATAAAACTTCTGTAAAATGCTTATGATGTTTTCTGTAAGAGTAGCCATTCAAGAAGAAGGCGTTCTCTCCTCTTGTCTCCTTCTTCGCCTTGGTTGTATTAGGGCAGGCTCATTGTACTTGCATGTTATTCTATATTTTCATGTAATTAAATGTAACTTAATAATTTTCTCATAACTAATAATTCTTCTTCTTGTTGATTCTTCTAATTCTAATTATATTTACAATATTTACATAACAGACATATATGTGTTTTTCAGGTTGTTATCCTTCTTTTAGGACTTCTTATTGTAGTGTTAAGTGTAAGATCAAGTGTCCGTAGTCGTGAATGGTCCTCAGAAAAAGAACTTTTTCTGTCAGCTTTGAGCATTTGTCCTTTAAACGCCAAAGTTCATTACAACCTTGCAAAAACATCATCTAACCTTACTGTGGCTGTTAAGCACTACAGAGACGCTTTGAGGTAAGTTTCCATAAAAGCATATTTAAATTTTTATTACATGTAAAATTTTAAATTATTATTATTTTAAATCTTACATTTTAAATTAAACCTAAATAGGCTATGCTTTAAAATCTGTGTTGATAGTAAACAATTTTTTTGACTAGCCCTTCTATTTTAATAGTATTGTTAGTGAAAAACATGCTCAATGATTGGTAGACTCTCTAATTGTCACTTAAGTAAAGGATCCTGTCAGCTCTTTTTAAATACATTCACGTTTTGATTTTAAACACATTTGTATAGCAAAGGATAAATAAAATAAACAAACAAATCAGCAATCAGTAGAATGGATGTAACGGAAAAACCAACTTCAAATACATCATTCTTCTACTTTTAACTTTAGTTTAAGTCTACTACACTACTTTAAAACAATAATGCAACTGTTGCAAATGAGGATTTAACATGACTAACTTCAACAACTTTTTAAAATTTTAGGTTGAATCCAGACTATGATCAAGCAATGAATAATCTTGCAAATATTTTAAAAGATAGAAATGATCTGGTTGAAGCAGAAGAATTACTCCGCCGAGCTCTCCAGTTAAGGTGTGTATTCATCATTTAATATTAAATTGTTTTTCTAATCGTTTTAAACTGACTGCCTTGAAAAATATAAATAGGCTATACACAGCAATTGAACTTTGCACGACAAAATATTATATTTCATCACTAGGGCCTAAAGTGGCTCTTTTCGACACAAGCTCAAGTTAAAAGACCAAGGTGAAACCAAGTTTGCAAAATAAGCAAGGGTTGAAAAGACATTTTGGCCCTCTTTTGAACTATACAGGGTTAGTAAAAAGTGTGGAGACCCCCTGTTATTTTTTTATTGGTCCATACTAGAAAAACTAAACTCGGCACACCTTTATGGCATGTTATGAAGTACTTTTTGGGCATAACCATCACTTGGTGTATATCCCCGAAATGGGGGATTTTGGGGGAAACTCAAAAATTTCAAATACAAAGACCTATCGAGTGACCCCTCATTTTGAAGGTCCTGGTATAAGAAAACAAAAAACGCAAATTAGAGGTCTTTATCTCAATCCAGTAAAAAATGGCAGCCAATTGAAATTCTCAGAAGTTGAATTTAACTTGCAGCTTTCCAAGTCTGGAGACCCCCTGTAAATTTTGTAGCGGCTCACACTAGGAAAACTAAACTCTACACACCTTTTTGGCATGTTATGAAGTACTTTTTAAGCCTAATAGCTACTTGCTTACCAAACCCAAAATGGGGGATTTTGGGGGAAACTCAAAAGTTTTAAATGATAAGCACCATCAAGTGACCCCTCATTTTGAAGGTCCTGGTAAAAGAAAACTAACATAGCAAACTAGAGGTTTCTATCTCAATCCAGTAAAAAATGGAAGCTGATTGAAACCTTTAGAAATTGGAAATAACTTGCAATTTTATATTCAATTGGCTGCCATATTTTACTGTGTTAAGATAGAGACCTATAGTTTGCGTTGTTAGTTTTCTTTTATTATGACCTTCAAAATGAGGGGTCACTCGTTGGGGCTTATCATTTAACATTTTTGAGTTTCCCCCAAAATCCCCCATTTTGGGTTTGGGACTTTCAATGAGAATTTCAATTGGCTGCCATTTTGTACTGAACTGAGATAGAGACCTCTAGTTTGCGTTTTTTGGTTTTCTTTTGACCTTCAAAATGAGGGGTCACTTGATGGTGCTTATCATTTAAAACTTTTGAGTTTCCCCCAAAATCCCCCATTTTGGGTTTGGTAAGCAAGTAGCTATTAGGCTTAAAAAGTACTTCATAACATGCCAAAAAGGTGTGTAGAGTTTAGTTTTCCTAGTGTGAGCCGCTACAAAATTTACAGGGGGTCTCCAGACTTGGAAAGCTGCAAGTTAAATTCAACTTCTGAGAATTTCAATTGGCTGCCATTTTTTACTGGATTGAGATAAAGACCTCTAGTTTGCGTTTTTTGTTTTCTTATACCAGGACCTTCAAAATGAGGGGTCACTCGATAGGTCTTTGTATTTGAAATTTTTGAGTTTCCCCCAAAATCCCCCATTTCGGGGATATACACCAAGTGATGGTTATGCCCAAAAAGTACTTCATAACATGCCATAAAGGTGTGCCGAGTTTAGTTTTTCTAGTATGAACCGTTAAAAAAATAACAGGGGGTCTCCACACTTTTTACTAACCCTGTATATTTTTATATATGGTACTACACTATTCCTTCAGCCAGTGATCTCTACCCTTTTTTCTTAGTGTAAATTATTACTTTATTAGACAACATTATTTTATTCATCAATCTAGTCCTTCCTCTATCATTTTGTAGACTATACGCAGCTTTCAATGGGCTGTCGATCTTGGCATAAAATCGTCGTTGATTTACTTAGAATATATTCTTCAACATATTCAATGTAGAAGATTACGTTTAAAAGTAAATCATTGATTTTTTTACCAAGAAAGGATTACATTCAAGCTACACATCAACAAAATGGACTTTAGAACAATTTGAAAAATTCCTAGAAGACCAGAAACAACAAATAGATCTTTTAATTCTGTTGTTTGAGCAACTAGAACTAAAAATGAAAGAAAACACACCAGATTCAACTTCTCCACTTGAAAGTTACAACTCAGAAAAGAAAAGATTTTACGCCTATATTGAACAATTTGAAAGTTATATCAGCATGAAGAATGTATTAAACAAAACGAAAAAAGCTCAAATTCTATGTGCATCAATCGGTTCTATCCATTACAACAACTTAGTTGCATTTAAAGGACCTACAAAGAAGATCAAAGACTTGGAATATGAACAGCTAGTTGAAGCCTTTAGCCAGATGCTATCGCCTAGAAAGAATACTGTAGTGTCGCAACATCACTTTTTTCCACTTACCAATCAGAAATCGAAAACATACCTGACTAGTGACTATGTTGCAAGTTTGCAAAAACGACTTGCTGACTGTGAATTTTACATAAAATGTGAATGCTGAGAAAATATAACAGCTCACATTTTCTTAAGGGCTCAATTCATTAGGGGCATTCATGATAATAGTATTAGAGAACAACTTTTACGAGGAAAGGAAGAGAACTTTGATGAAATAGTCAGGAGAGCTATGGCTCTTGAAGCAGCCCATATTCAGTGCAACGAGCTTTCGAACATTTTAAAACTTCTGACTCCTAGCTCTTCAGTGCCAGGTATAATGAAAATTCACCAGTGACCACTAGACACAATCATCTCTCCACTCAGACATCATCATCATCATCATCAACGTCATCTCCCTGGAAAGAATCATCATACAAGCATCAATCAAGCCAAAGAATCGATTATGAGTCCTTGGGAATCAACAATCTTTGCTTCAGATTTGGAACATCTAACCACCGATCAAACCAGTGTCGAATAAAGCGTGAAAAACTATTCTGTGAAGCATGTAAGAGGAATGGCCACATTCAAAAAGTTTGCATTAGTACCATGACCAAGAAATAGGCATAAAGTAAACAAGTTAGACGATTCTCTGACAATGATACGTTCAATGACTCACAATCCGATTTTTCATACGGGGCATGCAACATAATCAGTGGAGTTTCCGGAAAAGATCAGGAAATCATCAACCTCTACGAAATTGAACCTGGACATGGTAGAGATAGCGATAAACCACAAGAAACTGAAGATGGAAGTAGATTCTGGTGCACGTTACCATACTTGGGAATAACGAATAGAAATTCTAACAAACAGCAGTATTCGTTAGTTTTTTTTTTGCTAACTTCTATTTTATTCGTTAGTTTTTAAACTAACTAGGCCTAACTAATAACTTCTATCAGTTACTTTTTACGGGACTAACTAATAACCTCTAACTAGTTCGAATTTTTATCTAATTTTCCCATTTATGCGGAAGCATCTCAAATACGGGTTACTTATTTCACATGATCAGTGAGGGTTGCGTGCGGCCGTGAGAGGTCAGCGTACTTGGGGTGACCTGATTTCTGATTGGTAAGTGGAAAAAAGTGATGTTGCGACACTACAGTATTCTTTCTAGGCGATAGCATCTGGCTAAAGGCTTCAACTAGCTGTTCATATTCCAAGTCTTTGACTTGGTTGGTGAACAAACAACGCGTGGGGTGGGGAAAGAGAAAGTCAAAGTCCAGTTGCTTTGGAATGCGGTGGGCCTGTGGAAGGGCAGTGACGGCCATTATCAACACCCTAAGCTCTGAGAGGTGGGAAGGGGGAATGTTTGTTTGGTGATTGATATATCATCTCAAGTGTCAAAACATTGTCTTCAGTTGATGTTCGTTATCGGACAAGTTTTAACTAATTTGTTTCTGTTGTAGTAATGTAAAATGTGACAATGATTGATTAAAACACAAGTACCAGGGGACCCAGCTTGCTCCGTACTTACTCCGTACGCGCCCTCTCTCGTAACACCGACAGTGATACCTTTAAATAAGTTTCTGTAGGCCTACTAGAAAATTACTCAATATGTTGATTTGAAATATTACTCATTTTTAGATTAATGTTATTAACAATGAAATTTGGTTCCTAATTAAGTAATTAAACTTTTAAATATAATATTGCTTTATAACAACAAGTAAAATGGCTTAAATTTGTGCTATTTAGTGTTGCGAAATAAAACTCTGCATGCGCCTGCTCCTGTTTCACTGCTGAAGCGCCTGCTCGAGGGTTAAGAATAGAATTGGATGCCATATTTCCTATTCCAAAGAATGAAAATAAAGAAAAAGAAGGTTGACAAACCATGTAAGATCGATGAAAGTAGTAGAGAGAGCCCAAGTTCGCCTTTACTCTGGAAATGTCGAAATCTGGGCATATGGAACCATCCAATCCAAACTGGGCTCTCTACATTATACATGGTATAGCTTGACTCTGGACGCTTAATCAAAAGGCATATGAATCAACTCCTAAGAACAAGAGTACCGCCTAAAACGACAAATCAACGGAGAGAAGATAATCAAAGACGCTCCACTAATCAACAGTCAGATGATATTTAAAGACATACTGTTAGGTTCAATATTCCAGGGGTACCAGCATTACAACGTTCTACAATCGGTGGTTCTACAATTGCGGGTCATACCCTACAACAACGTTCCACGACTGGCCAAATACCAGTAGTGCAGGCTCAGCATCCTGAATATGACACCCAGATTCCCTGGTGAAGTCAGAATTGAAGATGAATCACCTCAGTTACGCAGTTCAATACTTGTTCTGTTCTACAACCGCCAAGTTACCTCAAAGTTTATGTGTGAGCTCAAACTTATGTGGGGAAGATTGTTATAATTTCTAATAGACTGCATTTTAATCACCAGCTGATCATATGGTCTTTATTCTTTGAATTGTTATGTTAGTTTCCATTCTTTTCTGTGTTAGGCTGGGTTCACACTATCCGTTTCAACGCATCCGTCAAAAACGGATGCGTTTTAACGGGAACACTGTTGCGCGTCTACATCCATCCTTCACCAGTCATCCGGTTGGTTATTCCCATGCGCTATTCTCGGTCGTGAAGTAACAGAGAGTAGACATGGCTGTTCAGTTACATTTTCTTACTTTTTGTTATGCTGCAAATTTGGTTTTAGAAGATAACAGTCATGCTGTCTAAGATAAAACTTGTGTGTGTAATGGAAGCAAGTGGTGTACTAAGAACAAATAACAGAAGTCATTGGATTCATACTTTTTGTCGTGAACGTGATGCAGGTGAACGTTTCCTTACGTTTTCCAATAAAATCAGTTTTTTTTTTTATACTATCGTCTGTCAGTCCAGTCATTCCATGAGCTTCTTCAGATCATGAGACCCCATATAAAAAAATTAACACGAAACAAAGAACACATTTCTAGTTGATTCAATACCACCGCACAACACAACCGGATAGTGTGCACGCACCCACAAGACTGAATGTGTGTTTTGTCTTTGTCCGGTTGTACCGCACGTCCTGTTTCGACCGGACAATGTGTACGCGCCAATTCAATACAATGTGTTGGCGTCTTCCTTCAAAAACACTCCTGTTAAACTGGACCGTTGAAAACGGATAGTGTGAACCCGGCCTTAATGAAATATTAAAATAATACACTTTTTACCTGACTTAGCCTTTATTATTTATAAAGAGTTACAACAAAATATTGAGGTGTATCTAACATTTATTCTCACCTGACATTCTATATTGTTCAAGGCCAAACTTTGCTGCTGCATGGATGAATCTTGGGATTGTTTTGTCGAATAAGAAAAACTTTAAAGAGGCTGAAGTTTGTTACTGGAACGCAATAAAGTACAGAAGGAAATATCCAGATTGCTATTACAACCTTGGAAACTTGGTAAGTAAAATATTTTTAATGGTGTTATAAATTTAAATAATGAATCATTTACTTATTATAGTGCAGTTTCAACAAATTATTGTTGAAACTGCATTATCTCTTGTCGCACATTTTGTGATTCAGTGGAGTATTATTAAATTATCCAATGCTTACCGTTACCATTCCTGCAGACTATGAGAGTACTGTAATATACCTTAGAGATTTCTTTACATTGTTATTTACTCTTTATGTGATTTGTGATGATGATTTCAAATAAAAAAATAGGCCTAATTGTCCTTGAACAAGTTTAACCACAGAGAAAAAAATATTAATTTAATGATTTTCAACTTGTTTACAATGGCTTATATCTATTTCCGTGCAATCCAACTTTGCCACAACTGGACTTTGGATAACTGGAGTGCAACTGAGACTCTCTTGTACCCTGCGTGAAGAATTGTTTTCTTCTCAACTCCAAGGCATTTGCAACTCAAATACGTATTTGTGCAACTTTCTTTTGAGTGCTAAAGCAACAACACTCGTTGCGTTTGATCTAACAAGCTGGATTGATAGTTAAGATACATGTACTCCTATATTTTTTTTTCTTCTAAAATTAAGTTTTAAAAACCTTTGTTATTTGTTGCTTTAAAAATACAGCTCTAAGAACCATCGTCATATGTTGTTTTAGTATCTTGAACAAAAGGAACATCAGAAAGCATTTGAAAGCTGGAGACAAGCAACATTACTGAATCCTCAACATCATGCGGCATGGAACAATCTAATAATAATGCTAGACTCCATCGGTAGGTATACCTATGGTGTCATCAACTTGAAAAGGAAATTGAGAACTTTCAAAAATAATTGTTACTAATAAAGTGGAAGAGTTTTCAAGAAACTTATGAAATAATTGATAGACTCTGTAAATGTTGGTTGTTTAGCACACGGTATTTAATTGTTTTTTGGCAAATTTTTGCAATTATTATTTTAATTCTTAGTAATTTATCATTAAATGTCTTGGTGCATTCAGGATATAGGCTGTAAACTTTTCATCAGTTTTTTTTTACCTATGTAAAAGTTTCTGTAAAATTTTTGTTGAACATAGATAACATCAATAAAATATAAGATTAATTGAATTTATTATACTATACAAGCTCAAGGGATGAAGCTTAAAGTCAGAAAATTTAGCTGTTTTTACGATCACGATCGTGGTTGATAAATTTACGCTTTTGCCGTGAATGCAGATGCCATCAATAACGTTTCTGTAATCGTAATAGAAAATGGTAATCTATTAAATGTAATCTACACAACCACAGGAGATATCCATGATTTTTCCGTGATCGCGGAAGACTATGATGACATATCCGTGACCACAGGAGACGACAATGATGTGTACAACACCGCGAGAGATCTTTCTTATTTTACCACGATTGTGGGTGACGATGACAACATGTCGATTAAACATTTTCATGATCGCGGGAGACGATAATAATGATCACATAACCGCCTGAGATATTCAGGATTTGGCCGCCATAGCGGAAGACATTGATTATGTTTCCGTGACTGATGAAGATAAGGATTTTACCGTGATCATGGAAGATGATAATGACATTTTCGTGATTTTAGGAAATGATTACTATATTACCGCAATTACGGATTATAGTCAACATGACGTTGTGATAAATACAAATTTATAAATCTATGTTAGGTACGGTACTAAATATAATACTTTGTATTGATGACTATATCGGACGTTTGAGTTTAAACTTGAGGAATCTTTTGTGAAATAATCAGATAAGTTAAGTTCAATAATTGTAAACATTAACTACCTGACTAAACACTTTAGCCATTTTTGAAGGTATAAAGGAAGTACAGGCATTTACATTTTTATGCAAATAAACGTATTCATCCTGTAATGAATATTTTCTAATTTTGATCAGAAAGTATTTACCTATGCATATCTTTCAAATAATAACCTTAATGCTGATGCTATTGTAAATTACTTTAAATAAGAAAAAATCAATAAGCAATTTTTTTACTGTTGGAATAGTTATTTATACTTCAATATTAACCTTAGTTCTACGTCTATGACAACATCAATTTTAAGAAAACGTTGCCTTTTGAAGGAAATAAAACAAGTGACATTTGTTATAAACTTAGTTTCTTATTTTATCTACTAAACAAGATTATACTAAACGTCATCATGACATCAAATTGCATTTTAAATCATATGTCTTTAACTTAGTTAATGTAACTATGTAGAATTTATGATAGAAAAAAGGTCAGCTCAAAAAAAGCTTGCGCTCGACTCGATCAAAAATCTCAGGCTCACACACCTTTAATTTTACATTTTTGTGTTTTGCTTTCTCCATTGAATAGTTTTTTACACATTGTAATTCATTTTGTCAGAATAAAGATTTAATCCATCAATCCATTCTATAGAAATATGTCCAATTCTCGATTGTTTGGCTGTAAAAGCAAACTTTGTGATGTTTCAAAACTACAGTACTCAATTAGTATTAGTTGTTCAGCTTTAAAAGAAAAAAAATCTTGATCTCAATTTAATTTATTGACTGCATTGTAGTTGAACCCTTTACGATCGGGAAAGCTATTTTTAGGTCCTCTTAATTGATGAGGTGACCACCTGCAATGACCGCTGTTTTTGCACAACCCCTCGCATAATATTTGTTTGATAATATAAAAGAACATAAAATTACAAATTTGAGTAAAAATCATACTTTTGTCTATAAATAATCGAAAACTGCATGTTTAATTTTTATTTAGAACCAAAAGTATTTAAAACCAGGCTTTCTATTTTTTTAAATTTACGATTCATGTATCATTTCAATTCATAACACGAATATTAAAAGTAGGCCTATTCATTTTAAACCAGACTTTAAGCAATAAATTCATAATGCTCACCAATAATATTGTACTTGTTCAGGTAAGCATGAAGAAGCAAGTACGATAGCCCAAGAAGCACTCTCAATATTCCCGAACTCTTCGGCTATTCATTTCAATCTCGCCAACTCTCTTGGAAAGATAAGTAACTTCACTGAGGCTGAGAAACATTTCAAATTAGCCATTGACATTTACGCCAACAATCCACTCTACTTTGTTAACCTAGGTAAGATATCTTTGGAAATATCTTTCTTTCAATATTGATTTTGGTCTTAAATCTGAAGTCTTTTACATCTATAAAAACAGTAATTTTCCTATTCCTCTCAGAAAGTTGTTGGGATTTGAATAATATTACTTTATTTATACTGAAAAAAATAAATTAGGTGTACCTATACAATGAATAGTTTAGTTGGAGCTTCATTTTTAAGGAGTTTGGACAAATTTACTATGGGGTGTATTTTTATAAAATTCTTTAAAAATGTATATAAATCTTTAAAATTCCTGAAAAAATATAGCTAACTAACTTTACCTTCCCACTTTACTACTTCTCTATCATACTGAAACCTCCAGTATGAGGAGGTTGCTCTCAGGTTTTTTTGTTCAACTTTTAGATTTGATACAAGTTTAATTGAATTTTATTAAAATCAATAGCCAATCAGTAGGCCTACATACCTTTTGACACTTGACAGACCTTTTTTACATTGACTAAAGCTGGATCTGGTCAGCAGCCGACGTAAACACTAATTTCCTGAAAAGTGGCAGGGATGAACCGAAGAACTCGGACTACCCTAAGAACCCGAAGAAATTGGACTGCATTCCCCAGACGATGTAAACAAGGGACTGTGCTATGATAAGTGTAGGCAGTTGGCTGGTGATGCTTGGTGGTTGCCGGTCCTGTCATCCCATAATTTATTTTGCTTTCTTAGTCGGTCTCCGTTATTGTTTCATTGTCTGTAAGTTTATATTTCAGCACAAACAAAGAATACTCTGTTGGTTTCATGTTGTTTGATTAGATTGCACGAGTGTACAGTAATTTGGTTTGATTGATTGTTTTGGTGTTATGAATTAAATGGGATTTTGTAAATTGAATTTATCCTGAATATGTTGGTATGGTTTTTTAATGTCCTATTTTTTTACTAGATAGAAATAATAAAAATAAGGATGATCAATTATTTACATGCATACTTTCACTATTTTACTTTATTTACTTGTGCTTCCATACTTTCACAGATACTTAAAATGACTAATTATTTTCTTTGTTAATTGGAAATAGTATCTAAGAATCTACTGTATAATCTTGCTACAACTTTTAAAATAATGAAAAAATTAATTTTAACATTAGATTTCTGTTAAAAGTTTGCCAATACTTGCGTTTTTATCACTGAAATATCAGGAGGGTATGAATTCCATACCCCATTCCCCCCAGTAAGTTTAAAATCAAGAATCCATGCCTTCCCTACAAATAACCTCTACTTCCAACATGAGCCAAGAATATTTTGGCTCATAGTTGTCAGATAAATCTAAACACAATTATTATGAATGAACATAAGTATCAGTTGTATTTTTCTTGGTCTAATTAAGTAAAAATCTATTAAATTATTGTCCAATTTCATGTTTTATGGAAGTTATAGGAAATATTTCACGTGTAACTGGTGCGCATCATATTCACTTTGAACACTTCACTTGTTTAGCAAGAAAATAAAAATAACTCTTGCCATAGTTAATTTAAATCTCATGCTAATGTGTACCTAACAATTATAGGGGTTCTATACCACCGGTGGAAGAAGCTGGACCTTGCAAAGAACATGTATTTAAAAGCATTGAAGCTCAACCCAAATCTAAAAAGTGCAAAAGACAATCTTCACCTTCTACAAAACTAAACTGATTTTTGTGTGTGTTTTTCTATACTTTGTCTACAAATGACCTGATCTGTAACTACAAAGTATTTTAATTTTTCTAAGTACTGTGATATTTTTAATAAATAATTTTTTTTACGTCAGTGTGTTTTTATTATCTTCAACATTTCCTAAACTTTTCTGTATACAGTAGAACCTCGATTAATCGTCACTCTTTGTTATCCGTCACTGCGCTACAGTACTTAGATTATTTAAAAATTTGATTTTATTTCACTGTATGGACATTGAACAAGTAAAACATTAAAAAATCACAGTTCTATATTACTCTTTCATGCAAGTAGTTTAAAGTGTATTTTTCACTTGTATAGGATTTAATTTCTTCCAAGATCTTGTAAATCAACTTAAAGACAGATTTTTTCCACCATTGTTGCCTTCTATTAGGTATAAAAAGCAAACAGAGAGTTCCCCATTGATGGTGTGTGCGGATTTGCCACTCTGCTGGTTAAATGAAATTAATCATAAAATCATTTCAAAAATCTGGATAAGAAATTTTAATTCTTTCTTACTAGTAGTCTAATTCATTTATAAAAAAGTTTTAAAACAGGTTAATCATATATTAATGCATTTTGCATGAATACATCTAACACAGTATACAGTAGACTACCTCTTATCCGGACACCTTTTAACCGGACATAGGTTTAACCGGACTACACTCGGCAGAAATGACATCTCTTTAACCGGAAAATTTTTATCAGCACATTGGTTTAACCGAACTAGATAGGCAGGAAGTGGGTAGTACTGAAACTACTGTTCTCGTGGGCAACGATATAAAACACTCCTGGATTGCGCCCGACTGCACAGTAGTGGGCTTGGTTTTCGGTCAGGCTCCCCCCACTACTGCATGGCAACGGCGCTGTCGCGATTGCCGTCTGACGCCCTGCGTCTGTGCACTCACTGGTTGATAAAGTGATATTTATGAGTCTACTTTTAGAAAGTTTAAAGTAATTATTATTTTGTAAACCAAACCGAAATATGGAGAGTGAACAAGGTGAAAAAGGTTAGAAATACAATAGTATTATTAAAACCCAATATTATTAACCGACCAGGACGAAGCTAAAGAGAGGCGTTTTATAATGGTGAGTGCAGGGCAGCAGTGTCTTTTGCCATGCAGTGGTGGGGGGAACACCGGGCGAACGCAGCCGGCTCAATCCAGGAGTGTTGTATATCGTTGCTCGTGGGAAAGATTTGAGACCAGTGATCACGTGTCTAAATACAATGCACTCCTAAATTTAAGTCGAATATAAAACAGTAAACAGTCCGTTTTAACGATTTTTTGGGGACGTTGCTTTTACCGGAAGACCCGTTATCCGGACTGTCCTCAGTCCCGAGGAGTCCGGATAAGAGGGAGTCTACTGTATTATGTAAACTAAACATAACTCACACAGAATATGTTAGCAATAATTCTTAACTTAATCTCTAATTTTTGCGTTTTTCACAGTTGGCCTAAGTTTTATTAATTTATGTTTATACTTAAGGCAGACATGAGACATAGCATTTAATTATTCTCCATAAGAATAACATGGGGACTGAGTACGCAGGTTTGCTGCTAAGGGAGCCTTTGGCAAAAATTATTTTTTTCTCAAAAATATCAATAGACAACAATGAGATGAAGCCAGATACCAAGTTTCGCCAGTATACGTTGATAAATAAGCAAGATATACAGCTTTTCTCTTCTTTCATTAGGAAAACATTATAGAACGTACTATGTTTAACACTTTCAATAACTCCGTAACCAATTGACGTAGATAAATGATAAAAATACGTAATTGTGTGTTTTTTTTTAACTGAATCCGATGGTAAAAACCAAAATTAGAATTTTTCCAAAATTTAATGTAAAAAGTCAAAAACCCCTTTTTTGGGGTACAAAGCCCCCCCCCCCACCAATACCCCTTTTGTTGAAGCGATTTCTGGCCGGTTTTCCAACTTAAAGTTATAAATGCTGCTTTACACGTTTGTACCAAATTTTTATCAGAATCAGACTATTGTTACGTGAGTAATAGTTTCTTTCCTGTAGGAGAAATTTGCTATATGCCGTTAGAACATTTCACAAAGATTCTGAAATTTCCGCACACACAATAATTGAGGAACTCTATATTTTTGTTCATCAGACTAAAGAAAAGCGATCCATGAAAGAAAATACCAGACTTTAATTTTTTCCTAGTCAAAACCTATATTTCCTGGAGTATTACAGTACTTTACAGTTGTATCGCAGGATTTCTATTATCCGTCTAATCACTTAACCTTCACACTCCCGGTCCCGAGGGTGACGGTTTATAGAGGTAGTTAGAGTTTTTTTTTTTTTTTTTTTTTTTTTTTTTTGTAAACTTCCCATCTCTATAAATTAGTATTTGTTGTCTAATAAAACAAATTCAATCACAATGAATGATTCGTTGCTTGGTTTTTTATCCATCATATTGTCTTCAGTATTTTAATTTTACATGTAAGCGTTCAGTATCAGTTTGTTTTTCTATTCCAGTAAAAATGTTTGTGATGGGTGTTTTGCAATTAGAACTGTATGCAGGATAAGTTTGCACAATGATTAAAAGGGGCAGTTGACGTTATATATGTTAAGTAGAAAAGTTAATTACATAAATAGTTGAAGTGAACATTAGTGCAGTAAAAAACTTATAACTTTGGGTTTATCTATAATTATTCTGGAAGTTTCTAATTTAAGTTAAAGGGAAAATAAATGGCTTTTTGTAGATAATTTGCTTTATTTATTCAAATGATGAAACAGCAATGAAACTCTTTACAGAATGATTGGCTACTAGTTAGTACTACTGTTATTGTCAATTAAAGCTTATATATTGCATGGCGGGTTCTAGGTGAGAAGCAGACACTAAAATTTCTAATAATCAGCTAGATTACACTTCTGTAGTTTAGTCTTGATTTATACAATTTACAGTTAATGAATACAAAATTGTCGGCTAGCCCAGTACATTCATATGACACTGTAACAAGATTTCAACTGTTATAAGCTCTTAAGCAACTTATTCAAAGCTAAGGCCGCATTTGAGTTGCAATTTGTTTCAGTATATCTAAACTGTTGTTTTCTAAAACCACGTCACTGAGGTCATACCAAATATTTGGATACTCCACAAATAAGATCGCAAGGTCAAAAGCTTGCTGTATTCTTAAAGTTTGTTGCATGGAAACACAATAAAGAGCAAAATTATATTTAAAAACATTTTTGGTAAAAATATCACCACAATTGATGAGTTCAAAAAAGAGTTGTAGGTCATGAAAATAAATTATTTCATTTTTAAATGTTTCATGAGTTTTCAAAGTAAATTTTGACTATCTTGATTAATAATAATCTCTGACAGAGATTGTTTAAACACTGAATAAGTAAAACATTTACTGGGAAAACTGTAATTAATTAATTTAGCTCTCTCAACCTTTTTTACCTTCCTTAGTATAAATTGAGAGATTGTTACTCTCATTCTTTTTGAATTCCCATTCAGAGTTTATAATTTAATCCTTATCCCATGACAATATAATCAATGCTAAAACAATAAGAGAGCAATCAAGTATACATTAGCTGCAACTTATTTTATACATGGTCCTTTACAACATTCATGCAGTGCACTTTTATAACAACTGCCCTTACACGCTGAACATCACATATCACAAATGTAGCACCACCAAGCTAAAAATATATTATGTAACAAAATAGCAACTTTAATTTTACTTGTGGTACTTGTCTCAAATATTATCACCAACTGGAAGATTTATTGATATTCATGCAAAACCTAAGATTATAATCTTGTGATTAAATCAACCAAAGTCCCTTCAACTAGATGATGACATCCTTTCAATTATATCAAGATATTGAAGCGAGAAGTCAAATTTTATACATCACCATTCAAATAATAATTACAATGAAACCATAATATAAAGACATTTTGTTTCAAGCGAATTTCACAATGAGAGACCTTGTAAATGACTACTTGGTTAAATAATTTTATATAGGCTACTAAGTTAATATGAAATTAAACACGTTTCTTTGAAGGAAAACAACAATGGTTGTTAAAAATTACACGGTAAAATAATTACTCGTGAAGAAATCCCCATATCAGACACATAATGATTAGAACATGAATCGATTTTGAAAATATTAGGCTACTATAGATCATAATCAGTTTTGGAATATGTAAGGGAACGATCTGTAAAGAGGTGAACAACCAAATAAATTGCATGTTAAGAATAACATATAGCGTTTAAAACAATTCTACTGGTGTTTACAGACATTATATTTTGGCTTCTCTGATAGTTTTTCTTCTTGTCTGAAGCCATTATAACTAGTGATACTACAAAGATCTGTAGAATTTTAAATATTACCTACATTTATTTTTATGCAGTCATGGGTTTAAAATAATTCACTGGATAAGCTATTAAAGACATTAAATTTGTTTAGAATAAGATTGGTCAAGTGGTAAAAAAGCATACCACTATCATGCAGGTTAAAACATTAAACTTCAAGTGCATTAAATTATTTAAATATTTAAGTTTTTGCTTGAGCCAAATATTGTTTAACACGTTCGTTGTGAGAATCCCTTTGGCAGTACAGTCGGGAATGCGACGCAGCCTCGGCGCGCCAGTGAATCAGCAAACGCAATAGCATTAAAATATTTCAGTCTTGACAGTGGCAAAACAGCGGTGGTGATGGTGCTGTGTAACCCCGAGAGTGGACGTAGTTCACTGAAAAACTCACAGATAGCAGCACTGCCTGGATCCGTAGCCAGTGTTTTTGTAATGTGGCTCGAAGAGAGAAAATCCCTGAAAACGGGACAAAAAGCGTTGCCAGACGGGATCTTACGGGAAATTTTACTACCAACCTAAACCCAACCTACACCAAATTAAAGTATAGGACCAGCTCAACATGGTGACATAGTTTAGTTGATCCCCGATAAATGCGGAGGTCACAATAGACCAACTTGTATAACACTGCACCATTACTCCGACTGAAGTCGACGCACGCTGTGCCAGTACGACATGACTCCGATCGGAGTCATCAGCAGCGAACGTGTTAATACTGTTGTAGAACGTAATAATAAACAACCATTGCCCAAGATTTCTGTTGTGATCTAGTGTAATTATAGAAGATTGTATTTCTTTGTTTTCCACCAAAACATTTTTACAAAGTGTAACATAAGCATAATCTAAACATTCATGGCATTGAAGGAACAATGTCTCACTTTTCACATAAATATATGGTCTATATACAGACATATCAATGCTTCAACAAGCTTATAACACAAAATAAGCAATATATGTATAATCATTTAGTGTGTTCCGAAATCCTAGTTCAATCTAAATATTTAACTTTGGAACACCGAAACAAATTACCATTCATTTTCACTGGAAGCATTAAAAAACTACAACAGACTCAATGGGGTTTTGAAACATGCAAGGCAAAAAGACAACAGATAAATTCCGAAACTCTTGTCACATTATAAACTATTTTACAAAACTTTTTCACAAAAAACTATTTCTTGTAATTGTGAATTCCGAAATACAAAACTTTGTGGATTCAGACTGCTAGAATAGGTATGATAAATGAGTACACAACCATAACATAAATCTTTTCAAATATCACCATAAACATTGAAGATAAGGTGTTAGATAGATGATCACACTCAACATTTAGAGTTTGGCTATGAAACGTCTAACGGGAACCCATAACTAGCATTCTCTGATAGCCCCAATCAAATCGTCTTCCAACTAAATTTGCGAAAGATTCACAAATCCACTTGTGTTTGTTTTCATACCTTTTTTTATATTTATATTTGATGTGTGGAGAACACCCCAAGGTCCTTTTAAGATTAATGTTTCCACTAAAGCAAGCCCGAGAGCGTGAGATAGTATATGAACTTGCTGGGATACGCACCAGACGATTTCCATTTGAATAAAATTAACTCATGTGGGATTTGTTTAAATAGAAACATACCTTGAGATTTTCTCGAGACTGCCAAATATTTACCCGACATAGCAATTAGCAACATTAATGAAATATATTTTTGGAACTTCTAATCGTCAAATGTCAAGTCTCAAAGATACCTAAATATTTATCTGGACATGAAAATTAAAGAATCTTATAATAAAAAAATAAGCCCTAAAATGAATGTGTAAGCCATTTCAAACGTCAAATGAAATGTTCTGTTATTTCTGTGCTTGAAGGATATTCTAACCCGATGTAGCAGCGCCCAGGAGGATGGTTATTGGTTATCTTGTGCTGTGTTCATTTTGTGGTTCTGGTTGTTACAGTTTCTTGTACCAGAATAGGTAATGCTCATTGTCCTGTACTACCAGATCATCCACCCCTGTAAAACAAAGAGAATCCATTGATATCACAAGGATTCATTTGTCTGTGTAACGTAATTGCAAATGTGATGAACTATTCTAAACGCAAGAGTAATATTGCACTTGCACTATCACTAGAATTTCTAAATGACACTCCCTATTTTAGCTTGTTTCAGACTTCAGCAGAGCCAGATTACCAAAATGTTGGAGTACTGAGAGCTTTTGAAAAATTGCCAATAAATATGCTATGAGAATAGTAATAACAACACAGCTAAAATAGAGTTAAAAGTACTATTAGAAGGGAAGGGGTTTACCTGTTAAACTTATTTAGATTTAAGTACCCTTGGACTGTTGCCAGATTATTAAACGTGCTGGATTATTGGATGTTGGATCTGTCGAGTTTTTCTAAAGTAGTCAAAGTAGTTTGATTGAAAGTTTTAATGGCATATTCTTTGAAAGTTCAGTTGTTAAACATTAGAATAGAATGAATATTAATGAAAATGTTTACTAAGCAAAGGTTTAGGGTTTTAAGGAACTCACCGGTAGGGGCGACTAGTTGGTTTCCTGGTGGGTTGTTTAGGTCTGGGAGACTAGGCAACCGGTAGAGCAGCCAGTAGTGGTAGCTCATAGGCTGCTCCTTGAACCCTGCTAGAGTGTGCACGTAGTGGCCATTGGGCCATTCATTGGCTGAGAACCTATGAAAGAGGAGAACACGAATCAAGTCAAACTATGTAAATGGCTATGACTAAGACATCATGTGCCCAATTTGAGTAGTCATATTGGACTGTGTTTGAAGAATACATACAATCTATCCTGATACAATCCTAAATTAGGTATGGATTGTGTCTATTAGGATGGCGTATAGGGAGGGATGTGGGATTTGTGACACAGAATCACTCTACTAGATGTGGTATTGAATGAATCAAACAGCGATTAATTGTTGAGATGACTAAATAAAATTACAAAAGTGACGGTGTTAGGGGAAGAGTTCTTGGTTGCATGCGCATTCCGCTTGCCACCCTAATTGAAAGGATCTATTCTTTATTGGCGTACACGTATTGAATTTATATATTTTATTAGTTATATATTTGTTTGAAGATTACAACTTATTTTCGTGGACATAATTCTTAAACTTATTTTAAATTGTTAAATAGATGTTTGGCAACTTTAAACTCTGTGAATCAATATACTATGTATAATTTAAAGAAACCTCCTCTCTTCAGATATATATTAGCTCACAAATTTAAAACTAACAGCTACCACTAATGCATTGATCAACAGTGAGTAGTAACGAGGTTTCTATAGGCCAATTCGTTTCTGTGAGCCACATTGTATATCACATTAAACAATAAAATTAGCCGTTCTTTGATTTTAGTGTGGCCAAAACTACGTTACCTGAAGAGTACAGACCTCTTTATAAAACATATAACATTTGTATCTAAAATAAATCATCCAGCATTTCTATGGTGTTAGACATATCAGTTCAAAGTCACCCTACTACTTTATAAATTCTAAAGTTTTCGACCTTGTAAATTACTTACGCATAATGTGGGTCTTTCTGTGCAGCCAGCTGCATAACGTGGTAGAATGTAGAATTGTATTGGACGACAATACTAATTGTGTGGTTTTCCGTCACATTGCTGCCAACCCACAGGGTGTAAGTGACTGACACTCCGTCTTTCTTGTCCTCTTCTATAGTTGTCATCGGCACCACAGTGTTGGTACTCACTGCCGGCTTCACCTTCTTTGGAGTGTGAATAACTTTCAGATGAGGAATAATGGCCGCGGCAAGTGGTTCTACTTCTAGAAATATCAAATTATTGTAAACCTAATGACAGTTAAGTAAACTGCAGGTTTTGATCAAGAAATGTCTTGGGAGAATTTTTAATATTTTCCTAAAAGAATAACAAACTAAAACCTACTGCAAATTATGCATCAAAGGTCAGGTAAACCTAACCATAAAATAAAGAAAGAGCAGATTGGCCAAGAACCCTGAAGGTAGTGAAAAAAGAGGGAGACCGTTATCAACCTGAATATCAGATCGGTGGACAAGGAATGACAAAATGAGAGTAAGAGTTGAAATCAGGTCTAACAACTGGCACAGAATCATTATAAGAACATAAAAATGTTCATTTTTAAAGGATTTGTGTTTTTGGTGGGTACCCAGACTTCTCACAGAAGACCACAAAGAAAAAACGTTTTCACGTAGGGACGTTGCAATATTGCCAATCTTCTGATACGTGGTATCGATACCGTATCAGAACTGCAGTATCGATACCACAGGAATATCGCAACAAAAGTATTGATATCGTAGGCCTTTAGTATTGAATTGCTTTGTTGAAAAGTTGAATAAAGCCAAGAATAACTTAAGAAATGTTATTAGTTATTCGATTACATTTTCCTACAGTTACCTGACAAAGTGGCCTTCCAAAGAAACATATTTGGACCTGTTAGAGAGGGAGAAGGATGGAGAATTAGGCACAACCAAGAAATAAGAGACATGTACCATCCCCCAGACATAGCAGGAGAAGCAAAGAGCTGAAGAATAAGGTGGGCTGGTCGTGTATTTAGGAGGGAAGATGGCAGACTAATTAATGAAGTTTGGAGGCAAAACCCAGCAGGAAAAAGACCCTGACGAAGACCCAAGAATCGAGGGACGGACCAGTTGGATAAAGATTTACAAAAATTGAGAGCAAGGGAGGAAGATTCATAGAACAGGAAGAGATTGAGGCAACTTGTTGGTGAGGCCAAATATCACATAAGGTATCCATGGCCATGGTAGTAGTAACTAGGTACCTGACAAAGTGGGCTTCCTTGCACTGATTATAGCGCGCAAAGTAGCTAATTGCTGCATTTACTTTCTTTAGCCACACTCATTTTCTTTTGCCGCACTCATTCTTTTTTGCCGCACTCCAATATTCCAACCAAACAACACAAAACAGTGTGCTTTTATTAGGAACGTAATACATTTATGCTTGAAAATAAGTTGGAAACAATTAAAAATGATACTACGACTAAGATCAGCTCAGCGTTCAGGTGATCAGGTGCAGCGTTTCCCATTTTGTTCAACGTTTGGATTTAACCTAACATAAAAGTAGTGTTTGAAAGACTAATTATTTATATGATTTATAGTAACTGTAGGAAAAATATAATGTGTAACGCGAGTGCAAAGTGCCACTTTGCACACTAGTTATTGACCCTTGGATAGTTAATAAGACTCTAAACATTTTATGTAACCCTAAGCTACCCTTAGTTCATGTTCACAAAATGCCTTTGAATATCTTGAATAACTTTTGGGATCCAATCAAGTTTTTTACTTGGTTAGGCTTTAAACACTTATAAATCAATAAATGGTGGTAAAATAATAATACAGATTTTAATGCAAGATTAAATGCACGTTTATTATATACAATTTAGATTGCTTTTTAGTGCTTAGGAAGAGTGAAGTTATTAACGTATGTCAAATGAAACAGGCGATGTGAAAGGATCTGCTGTTGACAATGATGGTGACTGATGTAAACTCTACTCTAAATAGTATATGTACATTAAATTAAATTGAATTCATTAGCCTTATTTTTCAACAAACAAACTTTTGAAGATATCCGTTTCCCATTGTATTTTACAGTAGGCCTAATTAAGTTTTAGAGAAAAACAAACTACTGTATACTTTCTTAAGATACCTATACTGCATATTTTCTTTCGATACTGAGACTGATAATACTGGTATAAAAATAAAAGTATCGCAACGTCCCTATTTTCACGGCTATTTTACACTCCATAACCCATTTCCTCACTTTACCCTCACTCATTGCATTAGGCCTACCGCACACGAGAGACTTTTTGTCGGCCGACTGTTGGCCATCTGTCTGGCTGGAGTCGGGGGGGACAATCGAAAAGTCGTCAAGACTGTTTGGTCGTTGACTATGGGTGCGCACACGACACGACTGTTTAGTCGTCTTTCGAGTGTCAAATGGATGTATATGACAGAAACCGCTGTCATATGTGCGTTACTGACAAGATTTCGTGGAAGAAAACTTAAGAGAAAATACTGGGTGCATCTAATTTATAGTCCAAGAACCTTGAAAGGCCAGATTTATCTCTATACTCGGATTTGAGGAAATATCCGGACAAATCTTTCATGTGGTCATGAATGAGTGTTGATTACCCCAGCTTCAAATACACACATAGTGTTTCAAAAACACTATCCGTTCAAATTCACACACACACATATATACTGTATATATTTGTTCGTTAGCAAGATCGAACAAAATTATCCGATTTTGATGAAATTTTGTACAAAAGTGTAAATCTACATGTATTTTATTCGAATGAGTTCGCAAACCAGCATGACTTTGGGAACGGGGGTTTATGGGGGGTTTTATAGGGTAAAAATGGGGGTTTCCCATTTTTTTTACTATAAAAACAAAAGATTCCGCAATTTCTTTAGAAAGCATTTTGCAGAGCTTGAAGAACTAATAATTTAGCATGCTAATTGTTATCATAATGGTTACAGGGAAATTCCAAATATTTAATGTTAAAATTGTCATGTAATTTATATGTAGAACAAGTAAACTGTTGTAGTTTGCTTGTTTATGGATGTATTTTGATAAAACTTGGCAAATCTATTTATTTTATTCTCAGCTATTAATGTTTTACTAAAACACATCCTGAATACCCTCCCTGTAGCAGCAAACCTAGGTACTCGTTTATCCTAATTTTATTGAAATAGATTAAATAATAAATTAAATCAGGCAAATGGGAATTCACTTAGTCTGCAGGTTTGCTGCAGGTTGCTATTTTTTTATTATGACCAAATACTCTTTCAACGCCTTATTATAAAGGAGGGGACCGTGCCTCAACTTCATTGATAAGTTTATCAACTTTCTCGTCCCTCAAAACACATGCACTGGTGGTTGTCGAAGCCATAATAGTAACAATAACACACAAATAACAATACTTATCACAATAACAATAATAATACACATGATAACAACGCACTCGACTGCCAGACAGACAGACTTTTTAGTCGTCAGTGTGCGCGCTCAAACTTATCTCCGTGCCTTTATCAATAAGACACGGCAGTTTAGTCGGGGAGCAGTCGGCGGGAAAATCGGTCAGCACCAAACCTCCCCGATAGTCTGAAGACAGTCTGCCGACTGTCTTGCTGCTGTCGGCCCGTGTGCGCGCTCAGATTTACCACTATGGGGCCGACTTTGACTCCCGACTACGACTAAATAGTCGGCCGACAAAAAGTCTCTCGTGTGCGGTAGGCCTTAGGGCCATAGCCTTCGGTCATCTGGTGATGAATGTCAACATCAGATGTGTTCCTTGTAATAAAAAAAAAAACAACTTAATTACTGATCTTATCTCACACACAGAGAGTGATTCAATAATCTAACAAAAATTTAAACACACAGCGGAGCATACATTAAAGAGTTACAGATCTGCAAAAATTCTGGCATTCTGTTCACAAATTAAGCCAGTAAGCGATGAGGAGCCTCGTTAAGGCGTACTCGCGAACTACAGGGCCATATGCAAAAACGGCCTTACTTTAAAAAAACTACCCTCATAGATTCAATCACTCAGGCCAACAAACTGTACAAAGTAAACAATTTCATTTAATTAACACTTTGTTTACTGACATCTTATATTTAAAATGTTCACTTATTATAGTAACTTTTCTATTTTTTTAATTATTTTGTGTTGTTCCATCATAAAAACTGTGTTCTTAGCCAATATGAAATTCCCCCCTAGCTGAACTCACCTTGTGAAGGACTGTCACAGTCCACTTCACTGACTGACATAAGACTTTTTCTGGTAAGAGCCAAAACAACTTCGGCTGTTGTTGGTACATCAAAGAACGCTCCATCAGGATTCTGATGGCTCAGAAGCCAAGCCACAGCCGCACTGCGATTCCACGACTCACTCTCTTCTTGCAGAGCCTGTAAAGTAACAGTAAAACCCTATTATAAGATTGACAAGATAAGATAAATGACTAAATACCTTTTAAAATCTACCATTTCAGGATTTTCCAAAAAGGAAAAGAGCATTTAATTTTCTGAGCCATCCATATTAGGCCAGTCAAATCGTACATAAAAAGAGGCTAAAATCGCAAAGCGTGATGTATTGCTGCATTTTTAATATGTTGTTGGGACCAGTTAGGGTAACTCAAAACCAAGTTTGCAGCTTCGAGATCCCTGTGCTCCCTGCGTAATAAGTAAAATATTACAAAAGAATGTATTTTTTAAAAGTTTTTGGTCTATAACTTATTAACAGTGTATTTTTCTTAATACTACTCAAATGTAATAATTAAAGTACATAAAATTTCTAACAATTTAAGCATAGTTTCATTTTTGAGTGTCAAATAGTTTTTTAGCAATGATTTTTCAAATATTACAAATTTGTTTAAGTAATTACAATAATTTACATTTTTCCTGGGTTTGACCCACAAAAATCGTGTAATTGTGTAATTATGGCAGAATTCTTAAAAACTGATTTTGTAGTAAATTTTATTGGCTTTCGTTTTATCACAAAGCCAAGTCTCTACCTCCAACACTTTTCTGAAAACTATACAAATAATAATTTATGAATATTGTGATTTTTTCATTTAACGAGTTTAATTGTTTTTACAGCATGTGTTTAAGTTATTAAGAGTTAGATAGATAAATATTACTATGCTTTAGCAAATAAAAAAAAAATATTATATAAATTTGTGTAAAAACAACTTACAGTAAATATCCCCACCGCAGAAAATGATCAAATATATCGGTCTCGGGACTAAGCCTTAACGTACCACCTATGGTAATAGCTACTTCCTATCAGTAAGTAAAAAAGAAGAATATATGTTAAATTATTGTTTTATTTCTATTAGACTTGTTTTCTTTATGATAAGTTTTAGATATAGTTTTTGACGCCATTCCATGTACTGATTTATGTACAATATGAAATAAAGACGATTTGATTTGATTTGAACACAATCGTTGCGTAAACTACTAGGCCTACGGTATATCATACTTTTTTTGCTGTTTCAAATATTTTATATGATGCATTTTAACTGCAATTGTACAGGTTCTACATCAATAACACTCATGCTGATTGCTGATGTACTTTTTCCCGCAGTACCTTTTCCGAGAGCCTGAAAGACGACCTCCTGTTGTTGTGTCAACCTTGTTCACTGGTTAAAACGACAAGGACGTCACTTGCAGGATTTTGATTAAAACAAATGGAAAAAGACTTTGTTAAGATAAAATGACAGAAGATAAGCTGTATTTTAACCTGCTATTTATATCTATAGGGTGAATATTAATGATTTTGTACTGTACTGAAATCTGTGCCGATTTTAAATTCAAAGATTTAAAATCCGCGCCAGGCAATGGACAAGTCAGTCCAACATGACGTAACGCGGAGGAATACTACACTCGAACCGTGTCGCGTGCAAACGTCTCGTCGTCACTCGTGGCTCAGTAATCGCGTAGTCAACATGTGAAGTCCCGTTTTGTCGCTGGTGTAGGACGAATTTATTAATATCTTAATTCGTAGCTCGGAAATTAGCGTTCGGGCGGAAATTGTACGTGCATCAAACGATCGCAATTGTCAAAATTTCGCCGAATTGCATTTGGGGGTGTGTTTTATTAGTATTAAGTCGAGACAGTTGAGATGCCGGATTGATTGTTCGCGTTCGTGATGAAAATTCGTACATGCATCATATCGATAGCAAATGTCAGTTTCTAGCGAATCGCGGGTCGTCGTGAAGGTATTTTCAATTGAATCATTAAACGCCAGCTCGAAAAAACAAGAATTAATAAGTCCTACACCAGAAAAAAACCGTGTCGTGATGTTCCGCTCGGTCAGACAAAAAGTCACAAATTACCACGAGTCAGTTTTTAAATGTTCGGTACGCGTGAATCTTCGTCGGAATGAATGTGTATGTGTCGACATGTGTACGTAAGTAAATGTTTGTGTTATTTGTGTTTTAGTATTAAAAAAGTCTTGCCAATCTGCCATTTTTTCACATGTTCCACTAGCTTTACAAGTCAGAAATCATGTCATAGCTGGTCTGAAAATTTCATGTTTCATTTGGTATACCTTGAGCACATGGTCGCAATTCAGGATGAAAAATGTTTAATTGAATTTTATCACGTTATGCAAAGAATTTAAGTTACATTAGTAATTATAGTCAATTGAAAATTATTTATTAAATTAAATTGAAATGGTCTATTATTTTTAAGAACAATGATTGTCTGTGATATTATTATTTTGTGTTCTATGCAAAGGTCAAATTCTATCATCATCAGTATTATTATTTATAACGTTTTGTATCTCATATAAGGTAATAATTTTGAATAGAGTGTTACATTTTTAAATAGTGAGAGTTTGATTGTGTAACGTAAATGGGGGTAACAGAGTGCTCGGTCGAAGGCTAGGGTTGACAAAAGGTCATGAGGATAGACTCCCATTAAATTCATAAACATTAAATACTTAATAAAAATTATCAATTAATCGACTCAGTAGTCGATTGGCCCCGTTGCATTGATCAGCAAGGAGTGATGTAGATCACAAACTACATAATAGTCCCTGTTTGATTAAATTGTAAACTGGCCAGTTTGATATATACGAACATCCTTGGGGAGTCTGGTGGCCTAAACTAAATAAATAAAATCGTCAAGGCTAGGTTTTCCCGAGACTCTGCAGTGTTAAAATGTGGCAAACCACCAAACAACTACAATCAATTATCTCACTCTCTCTTTCAAATATTAATAAATTGTGCATAAAGTTTATTACATTGTTTATATTCAATATTCGTATCACAGCTCGTAATTCTGATTCATTATACAGTATTTTTACAAATCATCATCTTATCATTATCCTGTGTTTTATATTATATTATTAATATTATACTGGTAAATTTAAGAGTATTGGTTTAACTGAAGAAGTATACAAAGTATACACAATGAGTGTTGATGATCACATTTTTTAATATCAAGTTGGTGAATTCATGAATAATCGGCTTAACCGAAATCCAGTGTATACAAACATCTTGAAGTCATACTTTGATAAATAGTTTCTGAACAAACAGTTTCATAAATATTTTCAATCAATATTTTAATATGTTATTATTTGCAGTATTACAGTTTTACAAAGAAAACAATTCACATCACAATCTTTTACCTGAACTGACATTTCAATTCATAGAGTGTTCAAATAAACACATCCATTAGTTTTAAGAAGTGTTAGAATTAAGCTGAAGAAGGTGTGAAGGAGGACAACATATCAGACCTCTCACGGTCCATAAATCGGACTTCTGGGATGTTTAATTACAGGGCCCACACTTAACATCTTTAACTCCACTGCGCAGCTCTGTGATTGTAATGTCCTCAGTAGTTCAATTAAAATTAAATTAAATTCATTAAAACCCCACCAGGGGGCAACTTTTTGTTATACTCACACCTGTATGAAATACCTAAATTGTATTACATAAAGGTGTGAGGTGATTTTGCTTGATGGAATGATCAATTAAGTAAAGAGTATATTTTGAATATAAGTAAAGAACTTTTATTTTTTCTTTACAAATCGATTCCAGGTCCAGGTCTTATCACGAGTACTACGGTAATAGCTCATTCCCTATAGGTATGGGAAATTTGCTAAGCCATGCTAAAACCTTATAATTTTGTTTATACAGACTTCGAAAGAATATCATTATTTTTACACAGCCGGGACTGATATACTTTTTCGACTTCAAATTCCTAGAGGTCAAAAATGCCTACCGTTTAAGTTCATGTAAATGTGTGTGTATGTCCATCAGCACATTAATTAAATAGAGTAAAACTCATCCAATTTTAATTAAATTAGAAGCAAATGTTATTCTTACGTCCGAACGAGTTCGCGAACCAGTATGATCGTAATAAAGGGAACGGGGTTTTATGGGATCAAAATAGGTTTCCCCATTCTCACCCTAAAAATTCCTCCTAGGAAGCTGGAGAAAAGTGCCTAATTGCTTTGCATGGTGGCAACACACTCCACGATGAATTATAATACCTTCGGTTCCGCCTGTTTGTAAAGGCAGCAGCCAGCGCTAAGGTAAACTTATCATGCTTGCCCACCAAAGATGCAGCTTCCTTCCACTCATTTCGAGCATACCACCAAGTGCAAAAATGGTTAGGGATTGAAAAGGATCCCACAGAGTGGGTTTGGCGAAATAGCACAGCAGGATTGGTTCCAGTGACAACCTCATGCAGTCAAGCTCCATCCAACCTTCTGAAACTAATTTCATGTAGGCGCAAAAAGGGATGCACGAGTGCTTGCACATGTCGGAAGGCTGGGCTAAAGTGTTCACCTTTATGTAGTCCTTGCCTTGCTAAGAATTGCCAAAATGTCACATTACCATTTACAGTATTGAAGAGGATGAAGATGACTCTGACGATAATATGTCTTTACCCGATGAGTTTGAATCAGGACACATTTCTAATACCTTGCCTTCAGTGTCCAAAAAGCCAATATACTAATTGTAAGAATGTTTTGTCATAATTTATCTTTAAATATAACTTTAAACCTTAAATATGTTTTTCCTTATTTCGTTTTTATCACTTAATGGTTAGGGGACATTATTTCAACTAATTAAATTTAAAAAAATCGTGATATTCTTAAACTATTATTTGTATAGTTTTCAGAAAAGTGTTGAAGGTACAGACTTGGCTTTGTGATCAAACGAAAGCCAATAAAATTGACTACAAAAGCAGTTTTTAAGAGTTCTGCCATAATATGGGTATTACACAATTTTTGTGGGTCCAACCCAGGAAAAATGTAAATTATGGTAATTACTTTAAACAAATTGTAATATTTAAAAAATCATTGCTCAAAAACTATTTGACACTCAAAAATGAATCTATGCTTAAATTGTTGGAAATTTTATGCACTTTAATTATTACATTTGAGTAGTATTAAGAAAAATCTACTGTTAATAAGTTATAGACCAAAAACTGAAAAAAATACATTATTTTTTTTATATTTTACTTATTACGCAGGGAGCACAGGGATCTCAAAGCTGCAAACTTGGTTTTGAGTTACCCTAACTGGTCCCAACAACATATTAAAAATGCAGCAATACATCATGCTTTGCGATTTTATTGTCCAATTTGACTGGCCTATATTCCAAGGAATTAAAATTGTCAACCTATCTTTGATGTGTTTACTTTTTCCTGCATCACTTCAAATCGCAAAGAGTTCTGCCAGCAAAATTTTGTATTACTGTGTGTTTTGAACCATCCTATTCTCTGAGTTTGAAATACCGATTGTCTTATAAGGCATAACAAAACTTTGTAACAGCTTTGAAGGGATTCTCAATGAACTGAGCTTTTATTTTAAATGATTGAAAGTTTTGAATGAATGACTAATCTATATTAGAGTACCAAATGTTAGTTTTCATTTAGTGAGTAACTATTTTATTGAAGGTAACATTAGTAACTTACTTGTAAAGCAAAGGCTGTTCCGTGTAGACTCCCGAATCCTCCGTCCGCTTCTTGCAATCTTGCCAATGCAAGGGTTGGCTTCTCTAGGTAGTGCTGCATGTTACGATTTTTGTGTACCTTCATGATACATTGAACAGCCAGAACAACCCCAGCAAGGGAATCTAGACAACAATTGGAAGTATCAGAATCAATCTTTACAAGATAATTGTAAAGTAATTGATTTAGAACTTATCTTTGATGATAAATTACAAATGAATAGTTATTTAAAAACTAACCAGTTGTCATAAATTAGAAGATTTTGTTCTTTTGCAACATTTGTAACTGTACCAAATTGTATAGTAACTCACTTCACATCATGATCACACATTGGCTACTTTTCCAGAAGAATTCCCATTGGTTGGTTACAAATAGTGGCAGCAATTGACAATTGAAAGTAGGGGGTGTAATGTCTTTATTATAGTATCAAAAACTGTGCAATGTAATCAATAGCTTACTGTAACCTACTCTATATCAAACAATAAAGCCTATCCCCACTCCTACTGGTCCTGTGCGGCCAGTCCACCAGACTCTCTCTTCCCTAGTTGGTGCTGCTGCTGCTCCCCTTGGCCGGACTGTCATTTTCTGCAGCTTACAGCTGATGTCTGCATTGGCTGAGATTGATGCTGCGTATTACTCTGATGTCTCGAGTGAAGCTATCATCGATACTGCCTTTTCGAATGATAGGCCGGTCTCTGCTAACAACCACTGTTTGTATGCTCATTGCGAATTCCGCCTACTACTCTGTCTCTCAGGTACTCATTTAGTCATTGTTCTTAAATTATTGTGGACGGACTCATCAGTTTTGATGTTTATTTGTTTTCACGTCCAGTGCCTTTGGATGACTGAAATCTGTCATCGCATGCTGATTGGTTCCTGGAATCTGGAACCCAATTTCAGCTGTCTCTAGTAGACATTTCTGAATTTCGATATGACTAATCAAAGTCATTTTAAACTTAATTGAGGTATAATTAATAATATACATAGTCTCTGTGAAATCTTGAAAAGTAGGGCACTCTTGACATTGTGGATTGCTAAATTCTTCCACTGTCACACAGAGTTTGTAAAAGCGAGTCGAACGCTCGTACTGCCCAGTGAATGCTGGAATCTCGTAATGAACACGTTCCACGCAAATCACATTTACTGTTGTCTCATGGTGGTCTTCGGACCTATCCATGACTGAAGAGACTAAAATAAAGTCGAAACAACAGAGCACACTTCTAATCCTGAAAGATGGATTAGTCGTATTGGACATAGCGCAGGCTCAATCAAATTTCGAATCTACAAACCACACACGAACATGGATCGTACACACCCGAGACGGTACGTGTGACAATCTCAATACTCGGAGAGGTTGAGATTTTGGTTTTGTAATTTGAAAGAACATTCAAAAGAATGTAATTGAAAATTGGCAAGGGATTCGTCCCATTTACCTTCAAAAAGATTAACCTGTAATGAAGCGCTTGTCTTATCCCCTCACAATAACGCGTAACCGGGTTTTAGACGTAGGGCAGATGCTGATCTTAATTGCAGCTATCAACCACGAAAGCTATACGCTGTGGGAACCCTCACGATCGCCGGATAGGCAGATGCCGCCCACACGAATTGTGTAGAAGAGCCTAAACGTGCTACTGTTTGATGATATCAGTGATTCTAAATTGCAGTCTGATTGATAAGACTGACCAGCTCCGCTGGATTTGCCTTGGACTCGCTTTTACAAACTCTGTGTGACAGTGGAAGAATTTAGCAATCCACAATGTCAAGAGTGCCCTACTTTTCAAGATTTCACAGAGACTATGTATATTATTAATTATACCTCAATTAAGTTTAAAATGACTTTGATTAGTCATATCGAAATTCAGAAATGTCTACTAGAGACAGCTGAAATTGGGTTCCAGATTCCAGGAACCAATCAGCATGCGATGACAGATTTCAGTCATCCAAAGGCACTGGACGTGAAAACAAATAAACATCAAATACTCATTTAGATTATTACCAAAATCACAATGAGTTGAAAGTGTTTTCAAACTTGCCACATACCGAGCTATAGTATCTCCTTCACGCTGATTCCCGCTGGCTAAACTTGTAGCACTTGGTTATGGCCTTCGGTTTTGGATACAGGTGGTCACCAATCAATTTCACAAGGTTGGTGTAGGTCTTTGTTGATGGTTTATCAGGCGTACATAAATCCCTTAGCAAGTTGAAAGTCTTAACTCCCACTACTATGGGGGAGCAAGCTGATGTAGTGGACTTCGGTCCCTGAGGTCCCGGGCTCAAATCCCGCCAAATCACCAATGGATTTTATCTAAGTGATAATGCTGCAACCCCTAGGTCTAGCCTGAAGTAATGTGAAAAACAATCCCAGACCCGTGCCTAGTGTCCCAAGGACAAAAAAAAAAACACAAATAAACTCTTACTGTCAAGATACAGGTTAAAACAGTTTGAATCTCTCGTTATATGCTTCTCAGGTTTCACAACTGGAGTCAAACTCACACTAAGTTCCAACTATTCCAGACATTTTAGATTCTGGTCCAGGCGTCAACGCGGTTCAAAATGACAAGGCGTCACTCGTTCATCTTCTTCTTGACTTTGGTGATCCGTATACGTTGATCTGTCCACTGCACAAAATATCGCGCTACTTACAACTTTACTTTTCGTCGGCGCTAAACTTACCACACAAACTTCTTGACTTACCTCATCGCCATGCTAATTTTGGTGGTAAACTAGGTCAAAATAACCAAAACGTTTAATTTAGACTTGTGATGGTCCAACATGGTAAAGGAAAGAGAGATGTTAGATGACAGAAGAGATAGTCTGATGGACTGGCCTCACAGGACGCTGGGTAGGAGAGGGGATAAGCTGTTGGCCAATCACATTCATTGTGCGATATAGAGTACTGCATGACAGTTACTTATTGACAGTAAGTTATTGATGATTATTACATCGTACAGTTTTTGTATACATTTTTTAATTACATTACAGGGGGGGGGGGCAAATACCTTCTTCGGAAGACTTGGGGTCATATTATGAATAATCATTTAATTAATTGATTGATATATCCCTATAAAAGTGGGTGGGAGGCTACCTTATTGTTTCCATTGGTCACAAATAATTTTAATATGAATTTACTTTACATAGAAGTTGCATCACATTTTACGACATACAGAGTCATTTATGACATTGAAGAGAAAACCACCACCAGGTCATTTATAACATAAACTTACCAACAGTGTGTTTAGAATTTGCTATGTTTAGCAATCGCCTGAGAGGTTTCTTGCGAATGTGAGCTCCTGCATTGCACACAGCCAGGGCACACAATGTGAACTCTCTGTCAGATTCTGGTTCATGATGTAGTATTGAACCTGTTCAATGGAAACAAAATACATTATTGAATTTTGTATGGTACTTAGAAAGAGAACTGGTTACTTTGTCTTTTAGACTAATCTGCTTTTATGTTTTCTATAACTATATATCACTACTCTGTGGTGGGACCCCAATAAAAGTGTATTTATCTTGATTCTCAATTAACTAAGTGTGGGTCAAGTAAGTTTTTGTAGTACAGAGAGCAGCTGATTCTTTGGCCATGACACACAATTTAAATTGTGATGATCAATAATTACTTTCTTAGTTTTAACCAATATGACTAAATCTTTAAGGCCTGGATTAAATTTTAACACACTAGATAATGGTTTATGTTAGGTGAAAGTAGGGTAAAATCCTGAAAGCAAGAAAGCAACAACAGTATTTGAATCCAAGCATTAAAGGTATAAAATTTTCATTTTTTTAACGCTAACCATTGGATAATTAGCTGGGCTTCATATTCTTTGTCCTAAACTTGGATAAGAGATTATTTCTTGAACTTTGTTTGCCAAATTCAAATCTGCAAGATTTCATTGAGACAGTTCAACTCTAGCCATCTAGTAATATGTATTTATACATACCATCATATTAAAGCAAGGAAAACCTACTATAGATTAAATTAAAATTTATGACAACCATAAAAATGTACAAATGCAAATGGTTAGTCAGTTGGTTTTAAGGTATTGATTTAAACTGTTTGTGTACTGTTAGTTATAAACTCCACTAAGTTTGTGGTTATGAATCAAACACTAACAAAATTAATTCAAAATCAATGAAGTTTCTCTCCATATACGGCCATTTCTTGATTGAATTAGGTAAACGGAGTGCAGTAATATTATCAAGATCTCAGGTGGAAGTGAAGGCTACATGTTAGTGGTTTGTGTGCTGTCGGTTGGTAGGTCCCTTCATTATAAATTAATTCATTCTACTCCATTTGTACAGTTCACTGCACAAGGTATTGATCAAGCAACATTTTGGGGAGAGTAGTTTAGAAAGTGGTCAGTTAAATTGATTCTTTTTAAAATCTAAGCATATTTTCTTCATACATCATCTGTTTTTTACTTTTAACAAATCATATTGTCTTGTACAAAGATGAGGGTTAAATTAAAAGTGTTATCTTTTTGCTATTCAGTGGTTGTTATTGTTAGTATTAAAAATATACTATGTAAATTAAACATCCTAAATTATTTTTGTGTGATTTGCGAATAATGCCATTATAATTGTTATGTTTATTTATTGATTATAATTTTTTTAGATTGTAACTATTTTTATGGAACATATTTAGGCAGGATTCAAACTCCTATGTAGTTTTACACCATCACTGCCTGTAAGAACCTTCATCACTGTACAATCTAACATAATTTTGGTTTGCTGAGGTAACTCATGACTCATGAGTACCTTCAGACGCCACTATGAACGACTTGGACAACTTCTATAAGTTTTTTATGGGTTTTTAATTTGTTACTTAGTAACCTTTTTTCTAACTACTGTGCATACTTACTGATAGTAAAATGGAAAAAAGCAAAATGCCCTCGCCACAGCAAACCTGCAGACTATGTGAATTTCTATTTACCTGGCTGAATTTCTAATTAAATATGCCCTAAAAATTCAATTCAGATTCATTTCCTATTTAATCAGCATTAATTTTATTGATTACTTAGGTTTGCTGCTACAGGGAAGATATTAAACGTGTTTTTTTATTGCAATGTCAATAGCTTGGTATTGAATAAACACAATTTCCAAATTTGGTTTAATTACATAAATAAATAAACAAACTACAACTGTTTATTTATTCTCCATAAGAATAACTTGGGAATTTTAAATTAAATTTTTTTTAATTACCTCCGTAACCGTTGGGAATACAACAGCGCTTCAATACACAAAATTATTTCTTTTTTTAAGCTCTACAAAATGGTTTGGAGAGAAATTATGAAATTTTGTGTTTTTAGGGTCAAAAATGGGAATAACCCATTTTTATCCCATAAATACCCATATTTTAAGGTTTTTAGCCTGCCAAAAGTTGCCCCGACCAAATATTGGTGCTACCATTTTTATATTTACTTCCTAGTACACATGTATACAAATTGCAAAAATAATATTTACTACCCCACCATTTGCAACAATCAACTGCTTTACTGACTGGTCTAAGGGTGTCAAATGCAGTCGATCCACAGCACTCATACTATAAAAGAAACCTTAAGAAAGTAATATTGTTAAACTTTTTGTTAAGAGGGATCTGCAATCCAAAGACAGTTATCACTGCCTCATGTCCTATTGATTACAAGGCTTCTCTTTTATTACTTGATAGGAGGACCTACAGTTTAGGGTGATCTGTAGACCACAGAGTCACTCTGTATTACTACATAGCAAATTGCCATGTATGGTTGATTATATGTAAATCATCTTTCCCAGGTCTTCAGGCCAGACGTCCCACACTCTAAACCAGCCAAGAAGATACTTGTTTTGGAAAACATAATGTTTCATAGCATTCTTCTTCCTGACTTTAACTGTAGGTCCAATGCTCTATTCTAAATTGTTTTCTTACCTAAGGAATTGTGATTCATTCTCATTCAATAATGGCTTGAAAATACTGAAATATAATTCTATGGAAGGTTTACCTATGAGGTCGTGACCATGGAACTGGCGAGGGTCCTGACATATGGAGGTGAGAGCCATGGAGTAGAGTGCCATGGATGCGGGAGTCAGTGCAGGACTCTCTCTGTTCCGCCACAACTGCAGCACTAGGTCTATCTCCATCTGTTTGGCTGACAGTTGCCGCTCTAGAGGACTGCCGGTGTCTGTCAGTTGTAGGGCCAGAAGAGCCTGAGGGGTGTCGTACACCCCCCACCCCCAGTCCTTGTGTCTCTGCTGCAGCAGCCACTCCAGCGCCTTGTTGGTCTCTGTAAAGATATCAAGGTTATTTAAGATATGTAATTTTAGGAATATTTAATTTTTGCATTTTTTGCATCAAAATTAGTAAGAGTTTCACCAAATTTTGGTATCTGGAATCTGATCCTGTCCTCAGGTGAGATAGTAGTAAAAAAATAGTAGGATTACTAATACTACACTGAAATGTGGTATAAATCCAGCCTGGATTTTGCCGAGTTTCTTTACTACAGCAACCTCTTTTATGCTTTTGTTTGTTTCTTACCTGAGGATATGATGCGATTTCAAACTCAAAATGTCATGCAAACTTGTCTTTCACTAATTGTGATTGAAAGTGTCTGAAACAACCCTTCAATTAATATGAACTTACCATGACCAAAAATGAACTTCAAAGTATTTGAGAGATGTTAGCTACCTATGTGCTTGTGTTTCATGGACCACTGAGAACGAATAGTGATCAAATGCCTCGTCATCAGTTTAGTATTGATCAATATTTGAGAAACCCTAAATGTTGACTTAAACAATAAAGGTCATATTAGTCTATGATGAGGGGCAGTTAGTAGTCATATGTGAACATGCACAGACTCAACACACCAATTATTAGAGTGCTGTAAACATCTGGAGAAGAAATTGAATGGCTATCTCTTAGATCACTTTTCTGCACCTTTTGTAGGCTTGTAAATGTGGTGTGGAATAAAACTACACTTACACAAAAAAATTTCAATCTGTGTATAAAATCATAACTCTAAACTATTATCAAGTAGAACTTATAAACATACTCAACTCACAACAGCCTCGGTTGTCAACTTAACAACCTATTTTACAAGAACCATGTAAACAAGAGTCAATTGTAAAAGATCTGAAGATTGTAATTGGAAGGATACCCCAGTATTGCTTGCTATTCAAGAAACCTTGTTGCTCCCCATGAACAACCAAATTACCAAGGTACTCTAAAGTTTTAATAGTGTTAATGGTACTCTCGAAGGAAATCTCTTCTGATAGGAGACTACATAATATAAAAAAAAAAACACATACATTTCTAAAGATTACTTGGTTTAGATCAATTGTTTTAATGAGCTAACACACTTTCTCTGGACCAGTCTGGGTATATGTTTGTTGAATATTGTGATTTAAACAAATACAATGTTTTTGAGGGAGATCTCCAATACCTTCGAGACAGATCTTCTCACATAAGATATTTATTTTTTTTACTCGATTGTTAAACGGTGGTCTATCTCTACTAGGCCAACGCATTATCATGTATCAAACGTTTACTGATGTTGGTGGGATTTGAACCTGTGCTTCCAGATCAGAAGGCCCACAAAATAATAATATACTGGATAAAAACCCGCAAAATTAATTTGGTATACATATTTATTCTAGTGTACTCAAAATATTGATTTCCCTATCAATACCAAATTTAATTGTTTAAAAAAAATTCAATGTGGTGTGAAACTATGTGTTGTTCCTTATTTATGTCAGTAAACTCTGATGAAATGTTATTCATATCCAATAACAAACTAGGTAAAGTGTGAATACAACACTAGATCCTTGTGTTTTTCGGTGAAAAATCACTGTCATCAATAAGAAGAAGAAAAATATTTGTGCCATTGCAAAGTCTCGACTCCAGGTTGGCCTTATATGTCATTCACGCTTCCATGACTTTTCCCGATATGTTATTTCACATCAGAGTGACTCTCTATTTCATCAAGTGACTTACAAGTTTTGAAATTAGTTTTTATTTTGATTTGTTTTTGTTTTTATTTCAATCTAGTTCTCAAAATCGAATCTGGATGATAAATATTTTGGTACTAATTTTAATATAATATTATATTAAAGAACGTTAAGTACTGAATGCATTTTGAACTACTTGCATGTGCTGTATACAAACACCATAAAGGATTTGCAGTTCATGCTTTAGAGAAAATGAAGGAATAGTTACGGGTCTTAAACCATCTCAACATTGGTTGTCAATATTGTGTTAATTTAATTACAAGAAAGATAAATTCTATGGGTGAACCAGTTATTTAAACTTTGATCATTGTAGCTTAGTTGTCATGTGTAATATGAACAAACTTCCTAGAATGTCAAAGTTTGAATCATTGTGGATTTAATGTGAATAGCAAATGATAGTTCAACTTAATTAAACAATTTACCTAAAATCTGAGAGAAATTCTGTATATTTTTGGAGTTTGATAAATTGAATCAAACGTGATAAAATTAATAAGAAGATTTAGTAAGAAATAATGAAGAGTGCCTATTTTTAGATATAGAAAAAATATTAGGAAGGTAACAGGAGTATTCTTTAGATAAACAATGATCTTATAATGGTCAAATAAGTGATTTATCTTACAATCAGGAAAAAAAGCAATACAAATAAAAATTGGATTTTATTATGACAATTCCAATTTTGTATATTCTTTTTAAGCTCTCTCCAAAATATTAATTCATATAAATTTAGATAGGTACAGAATTTTAAATTTTATATTTTGGAGTGCAATCAACATTTAACTTTTCATGACTTGGAGTAGTTTCTAAACTGTATAAATTAATATGTGAAGGTAAAGATTTCTTTATTGCCTTTGGTAGTGTATTAGCTGATTTATAGGTTGTTTAATCACAGATCTTAATTTTTTTTATATGATATGCGAGGTTTGGGTCGCTAGCGTACTGAAATATTTTTTGTGTTAAGTGGGTATTAACAAATCATAGAAATCAATGTTTTTCTATTATTTCCATCAGGTGATTATAAAATCCCAAATTTTTTATAGTTTTAAATATTTCTCTTCTTTAAACTAAGTAGTTTAGCTGCAGTAATACAAAACATGAAATCTTAACTTGTGCCAACAAAATTAATTTTACTATGTACAATGTTCTGCTTAACATTTTTGGAAATTTCCCTAGTGGCCAATTTACAACTGAATAATAGCCATAGAGAAATTATATTTTAAACTGGTGACTCTCAAGTATACACAACAACTTTAAAATACACCACATCCCTTTTAGGCTCCAAAAAGCTTAAATTCATTATCTTTTATTTCTCAATATGATACTTTATAATGTCAAGAGACAAACTCCCAAGTGAAATTCATAAGCCTTAAGGTTGTGGGGAGTTTTCAAGCAAAGCAATGGTCAATACCTTGCAATGCACAGGGTGGTACTTCCAATATAGTCGGTTACATATAGATTTATCAGTGACAAAACATGACACTAACAATTTCCCGTGATAAATATCATCAGTGTGTATTTCCAAAAGTTTCTTCATAAGTAAAGCTAATTGAATAACAATTTATCCCTTTGGGAAAATAGTTTCTCTCTGAGAGCATATATTTTAGGTTGGCATCTCAAAACATCTGGTTTTACAGTAAATTAACTATCAAATACAAAATAAGTTAAATGTTGCATTTAATAGCTATGGGTTATTTGTAAAGAGTAGATTTAGAAAATTAACAGCTATTGATATTTAGTACCTTGTTAAATTGAATACTACCTATGTAGTACCATGGAAATTAACAGCTATTGATATTTATATTAAATTACAGTAATTATACAGTAATTCAATATAACTGTCCGAGGTTAAATTATTTATTTATTTTATAGAGTGTATAGCCAAACTAGTGGTAGGGCGTGAGACTTTAGTCCCCTTGGTCAAGGATTCAAATCCCACCATTTGATAGAGTCTTGACCAGTTAGTTTACATATAATTTTAAGTTTTAGGTCCACCTCATCATAGAACCGAGGAGAGGTATTTCAGATAAGGAGCGATTTCTCTCTGGTGGAGGACTCCAACTTTATGCTACTTATTGTCTCAGAACATCAATAAAACATTTCCTGACCCTGATTTGGATTTAAAAACCTTGAAAATAATTTACCCGAATATTTTTAAAATTAGGCCAAAAGTCTCTAAAAGTATTACGTAACTTGATCATTCACATGTTGAACTTCTCACAATTTATTCTTGTTTCCGAATAAACCTAATACATTGTTTAAGTATTTGGAATCACCTAATTTCATAAACCAACTTTGTATATAAATTAATGTTCAAACATCGGTGAACAATTTCCTAATGTTTATTTTTTTAAATCAAAATTTAGCTTAAAAAATCTTTTCCAAAAACAAAATTATTGAGTCATAAAAACTATTACTTCATTTGTTTAGTTACACAATGAATATGTCATCATTAATTTTATCTCACGAATAAACTTAATTAAAATCATTTATTAATTGACACAATCTAACTTTAGAAACTGTCTTTATATAGTTATTCAACCATCATTGAAAACTCCTGCTGCCAAAAAAATACCCCCGCCGCAGCAAACCTGCAGACGAAGCGAATTTCCATTTGCCTGATTTGATTTTCACTAACATATCTCATTAAAAATGTCTTATTTATTTCCTAATTAAATAACATTAGTTTAACGAGTACTTAGGTTTGCTGCTACAGGGAAGTTAATGAAGTGTTTTTATACTTAAATGTTAATAGTATAGTAAAAAAAATTTTTCCCAAATTTAATAAAAAACATGTTTGTAAATAATTAACCTAACTTACAACAGTTTGCTTTTTCTCCATAAGAATAACATGGAAATTTTAAATTTACAGTGTTTTGGGAATTTTCTCCTTAACCATTAAGTGCATCACAACCCTTCAACATTCTAAATCATTTGGTTTTTTAAGCTCTGCAAAGTGAAGAAATAGAAAGGAATTATGAAATGTTTTGTTCTTATGGTAAAAAATGGGAAAACCCATTTTTATCTCATAAAACCCCCGTTTTCAATCATGCTGGTTTCGAATTCGTTAGAATAAATAAATGTAGGTTTACACGTTTATGCCAAATTTCATCAAAATCGGATCATTTTTGCTTGAGTTATCGTTCTAACGGACACATATATAAATATTTATATATATACCGTATATGAATTTGAACAGGTGGTGTTTTTGGTCTATGGGGACCTCTAAACGGAAAAAAATCGGTCCCGGGTCAAGGTCTTACCATGAGACCTAGGGTAATAGCTTTTTCCCTATAAGGGAAATTCGCTAAAAACAAGAGGTTCACCCACAAAACCCCTGAAGATTTTCAAAACAAAGCCATAACCCCATAAAAGTATTACTTAAAAGTTAAATCGGTCGCAGACCACGTCATCATTGTCAAGTGAGAACGTTGCGGCGCTGATAACGCGACTTAAATTACCTACTATCGGAATAACCTAGCATTATCAGCTTCAGCTGGTCGTCGTCTCGCCGTGTAAAACCGTCTTACACTACTAAGCGCACACGTTGGGGAAAGTGGGTAAGTAGAACAATAGGATAAGCTTAATTAGAACTTAAAAGTGGACTTAGTAAAGTCTTAAATCAAACTTAGTCAAGACTTAAACACAAACTTAGCGAAAACTTCAATGTTCAAAAGTTATATCCAGCAGTCAGCACCTATATATTACGTTTGTACCTACCTTGACATAGTGAGGATCACTGAAATCGCATGCAACTATAGCTACTCAACTCCACCCGATATTTTTATTTCCCACGCATAATTATGACCAGTGTATTAAATTACTGACGTGCTAAAATAATTTGAACTCCATTTATTTTCTTAAATTCAAATTGTGAACATAGGCCTAACCTGATACGTTCAATTTACAAACATTTTGAGGTTAGGCGCGTGAGTTAAATTTATCTTTGCTGATAAGCAGCTGATTACATTAAGCGCTATATCACGACTTCAACTTAATTCTGGTGTTACGAAGCGTTGATATTGTCTTACAAAGTTGATTATAATGCAAAATTGCCGGTAATTATGTAAGTGTCATTATTGCCGTTAACAATCCATTTAACAATACAAAAGTTACATGCATCCTATAAAATCATTGTTGAATACAATTATAATAACAATAAGTCTTGTATTAACATCGGCTATATCTTTGATTATGTGTATTATTACTTTTCTCTTTGAATATAAGCATACTATTTAATTCCATTAAGTCTTTATGCCTCAAATCCATAGTAATACATTTACTTCGTTGGACATAAAATGTTTTATAATGCCAACACACGCTCGTGCTTGCAATGTTTATCATAATGTAGTTCAAATTAGTTTAGTTTGGCCTACGATATAGAACACGTTTGTTTGGGTTCCAGTTATAATTATATAATATATGATTTAAGCTTATATGTTTATTTGTGCATTTGATTTATTTTTAGTCATCATGTCTACGATAGAAGTGTTAATGATAGAGAGCTGATTTTGTTTCACTGATTGTTCTGTTATAGTTATTTATCTACTAAAACATTACAAAGGATTGCTACCTCTTTGAAAGTTTCTTAAATCTAGATTAATTTGGTCAAGATCCGATTTCATAGCCGTCTTAGGATATAAATTTGCAAAATGTATTCGGAATCATAACTAGTTTAGTGAAAATTGTGCACATATATTGTTTTAAATCACATTTCAACTCTTTCAAATTGGAAGTCTGTTAAGACGATGATGAGATTTTTTGAGTGTCTACTGTGAGTATCGCTTAATATTAAATGAGATTATTACTATATTTGCTATTCTGGAAAGAAAATCCTTAGACAATCGTCTAAAGAACCAACTTAAATGGATAATTATGATTACTTCATCTGCTGACGAAATCGACAGTTACTTTTTACTCAAAGTTTTAGAATACCATAAAAATATTGTACGGTCGTAGTAAACCTTTTTACTAGACTACTGTTACCAGAGCCGTTAATTTTAACTGTCGTTGTCTTTTATCACGTGATGTAAATGGCAAATCTTACTTTACTTGATAAGGTGACAAGCCGTAGAAATTTGTCCCGATAAGCTAATAATTTTAGGACTTCAATTGATAAAGTAAAGGAATGAGGCATGAAAAAAAGGAAATGGGTCTTAAAATGAATATTTTTGTGATATTTTCTGATGTACTGACAGAATATTTATATCGTATACTACAGTTTCTGTATGGTGCAGGGATTATAATTTGTTAACAAAATCTAAATAGTATAAAGTTTTCGATGGATGATTTGTTAAAAATTCAAGAAAAAAGATCAGTGGGATTGTGTTCTAAAAACGTAAGTTTCGGTGATTCACATCGATTTGTTGACTAAAATTTTACCAATTAAAGTTTTCTTTGTCAGAGTTTTTAACTAATATTTTCTTTTACATTTTTCCTACATGATCAGATTTCGATTTTGCACAATGTAACATTATCTCCAAAAGCAGTAACGTCGGTTACTATTTTTCAAACACAAAGAATTGCCTGTTTCAAACGAATAGGTAAAAGTTTAAAAGCATGATTAAATAATGTTTAAGAAGTAATACTAGTTAATAATAAAGTTAAACACCTGCACACCTCTATCAGTTACCGTGAGTTAGAGTGCCCAAGAGATTCTTCAGCAGAAGTAAAACCAGATGCTACACTTTAGGTAATTGATCATCCCCGCCATATTTTAACTGTAGGGTGTGTTTATTAAAGTACTGTAAGACCAAATTTAAAAAAAAGTGTGTTTTGTTTTACGTTTATATCTATCGAAAGTTGTGTTAAAAATTACTAATTTGCTAGGGAAGGTTTTTGACGATACCCCTAAAACGAGTTATAAATCTAGAATCTTGCAGATTGTGAAACATTATTTTAATTGAAATGTTAATTAAATTTTGTTTTTGTTTAGTCTTTGTATATGATATAGTACGACTTAACATATACACCGAACACAATGGTTTTACAATGAATAAAAATTTGGACTTTTGACCCCTTTCCAAATGATCCAAATGATGATTCTAAATATTGTGTATCCATCCTAGTGTAATCGATGATAATCATCCCCTCTTCAGGGAGCACCATTTGCTAAAGGTAACCCTAACAGTAGAGGTTTTCAGATCTTACAATTAGAAAGAGAGGGGAGTGTGGTCACTATTTTATAGCGTATTAGCAAACCAAAATTTAAAAACAAGGTAAAAAATAGGTTAGTACATTATTTTTGAAAGGGATGTTAACAGGTTATCTGGTAGACAGGCAGGCTTAATTTTTTATATAAATTTTAACTGAATACCTCTAAATGAAGGAGGCCGATCATCCTTGGGACTAAAACTATGTGTTCAATGAAATGACACTGTGTACACCAGAAACATTTTTGAAAGTCAAATAACAGCCAGAACCAGAGGTAATTTTATATTAAATTTGAATCCCCTTTGTTAGACTAATATTAGTGGGACCCACTGAATCGAGTGTAAGAACAACCTACCCTTACAGGGTAAAACAGCCACTGGCTTCAAACAATGAACTATTTAAATATTCCACTGATTTACCATGATTTTCTATTTCAGATTTTGCCTGCTGATAGAATGACGGACTTCTTGAGGTCACCGGTTTTCCAGTTAAAAGCAATAGAGCTGGTGAGCAAACCTGGGGCCTAATAAATATTGCCTTAGCCGTATCTCGCCTTTATACACGTTGTATAACTCATAAGCGTCTCCAGTAGTAATTGCGGTGGACTCGTAATGAAACTCACAGGACAGTTTCGTTCAAAATCACGCTTAATTTCCAACTTCATAATGATCAAGTATGTATCGTGGCCACGATAACTGTTCATTATATACTTTAAATAGAAATAAGGGAAAACACAATTTTAGCAAAACGATTTTGAACGGTTGGCCAACACTTGTCATACATTATTTAATATACTATTTTTAATAAAACTACCGTAGTAAAGTAAAACAGATATTTTATAGAAAATATCTTAAACATTTTTCGTCACGATTAGGTAAAGACATAACTAATCGTGATGGAAAATTCCCGCAATGATATCTTAAATAACATAAACTCATCATTGCTAAAAGTGAACTACAAGAGTAAAACTAATGATTGGTTAAATTAACTAAGTTACAATTCGCAAAACGTATATTAATGTGCATTCCTCGGTTATACCACGGATGGTCTATGGTTATACCCAAGATGTTTTCTTGATAGTTTTAGTTTGTTGTTGAGTTCATTTTTTGGATTTAGCGAATTTCCCCATATAGGGAATAAGCTATTACCGTAGTACTCATGGTAAGACTTGGACCCGGGACCGATTTACTTTTTCGTTTTGAGGTCCCTAGAGGCCAAAACAACCATCCGTTCAAATTCATTTATATATGCTAATACATGTAAGTCCGATACCACGATAACCTAAGCAAAACTGATCCGATTTTGACGAAATTTGGTATAAACGTGTTAACCTACATTTATTTGAACGAGTTCGCGAACCACCATGATCGGACTATGGGAACAGGGGACTATGGGAACGGAATAGGGGGTTTATGGAGGGTTTTATGGGGTAAAAATGGGGTTTTAGTGAGTCGGTGGCTCAGTCGGTAGCGTCACGGACTTCGGGCCCAAGGCAGCGATGTCGTGGGTTCGGATCCTGGTCACTGCCAAAAACATTTTATCAGTACAGATCACATTTGTACTGTACCGGCTCACTCCTTGCTTTGCTGTAAACGATCCACGCACGGGCCGGGTCGTTAATCTATGCGGACGGGCAAATGCAAAGTTAAAAGAGGCCACCAACCTCTTAAAAAAAAAAACAATGGGTTTTCCCATTTTTGACAAAAAACCATAAAATTTAGCAATTTCTTTCCAAACCATTTTGTAGAGCTTAAAAAAACAAATAATTTGGTATATGGAAGCGATATTATGTACCTAATGGTTACGGAGAAAATTCAAAAAAATTGTAAATTTACAATTCCCATGTTATTTTTATGGAGAATAAGTAAACTGTTGTAGTTTGCTTGTTTATGAACATATTTTAATCAAATTTGGAAAATGCATTTTTTTTTTACTACATTATTAACATTTTACAAAAACACTTTTACCCTCCCTGTTGCAGCAAACCTTAGTACTTGTTAAACTAATTCTATTTAAATAGGGAATACAAGTGATATTTTTAAGGAGACATTTTTCATTTTAGTGTAAATCTAATCAGGGAAATAGAAATTTGCTTAGTCTCCAGGTTTGCTGCGGCGGGGGTATTATATTTTAAGGTAAAGTAATGGAGAGTATTTTAAATACTGAATTTTCCCACCAATAAGTACTGCGTTGCCTATAGTCCATTCCGAACTTTGTTTTTTATTACCAACAAATGTGGTTACCTCAAAATGAAATGTATTTGAAGTGGGAGTTCGCTGAGTCTTAGCATTCTCAAATAATTATGTAGATAAGCTTTCCGCATTTCAGAAAATTATAATAACACAAGTTTTAATGGCATCATCACTATACTGTACATAAGAACACACTGTTTAAACTTTTATTCTTTACAAGTTTCGCGCATTTATTGCCTGAACTGAGGTCAGCAAGAGGCACAGTTGGTGACGTGACGGATCACGACACGGCAGAGATGTCCGAATTCTCACGCCAGGTGCTGCCTTCAAACTTTTATAAGTACAACTAATTCTTTTTCTGTCTGCTCACTCCCTTGATATGTTCCAAACATAAGCCTTAAAGTCTATGTTGACGAATAATTCAAGGTCATAACATACCCCATATAACATGGGGATCAACAAAGCAAGCAGGAGTCGGCCCGGTACTAGAGTCCCGCTCCCGCACGGAACACTAACCCAAGACTTATCTACCTTGTCTGTCACAATATCGACTCAGTCACCTAATGAGCTAAGATTAATTACGATGGTGCAGAGATGTTCTATACCAGGATTATTTTACTGTTCGTCTTAAATAATACATAATTGGAATTCTAAAACTGTCGATAAAACAATAATAATAAAATGTTCTCCCAGTAAGCATATTTAACTCGATTCAGTGTTCTTGTGTTCTGTAACGTCTATTGTTTATTTCAGTTGCTGGGGCTAGTAGGGATCGCATTCATTTTTACAGCTGCTCTTCCCTCCACACAATCGGTTTTCCTAACCGAGATCGTCCACTTCACCCTCTTCAGTTACTTGATGCTAGATCTTCTAGTAATCGGGGGGTACTTCCTCAGAGAGCCCGTCTCCAAATTCTTGGTGAGAAAAGTAAAAAATGCTCATATAGTGTGTAGTTTTACGGCACATTTTTAGGTTTACGTTTGTATGCTGTTGATATTCGAATTCAAATTCTTTATTCACTCACAAACATCTTAAAAAGTACAACGTAGAAAGATAGGAGTGTTGTCGTCATAATAAAAATTAGAATAAAAAAACTATAAATAATAAACGTACACAACTCAAAATTATTACTAGTGACATCAAGTAAAAGTTACCATAATAAAAAACAACAAAAAGATAAAAATCCTGCTAAAATTAATGAAAGCCATCAGGTATGTATTCAACATGAATTTAGTTTGTAAAATTAAATTAATTCTTGTCCGTTTATAAAACATCAGAATAGAAATCTTCTATTTTATAAAATGCTTTTTCAATTAATAACTCGTGTAATTTTCCTAGGAGTATGTTTTTTGGATTGTTGGTGATTCTTTATGGTAGTTTATTATAAATTTTTATAGCCGTGTATTTTGGTGTACGTTCAAAAAGAGTGAGTCTATGTATTGGGAATTGTTATAAATGTTTCTGACGTGTGGAATAACTATGTGTAAATTTAAACTCTTCGAAACTGTCTATATTGTTAATTAATAGCTTAATAGTTTCAAAAATGTGCATACTTGTGATGGTTAAAATCCCTAATCTCTTAAAAAGAGGTCTACACCTTTTTTTCTTAGACACTTTAACCATGGTACGTACAATTGATTTTTGGGCGTTAAGAAGTTTTTTTGTTTGTTTTGGAACTGGATCCCCATAGCTTATTACCATACCTTATTATAGAATCAATATAGGCACAATATACTAATTTACATACTTCCAGAGACGTTGCATCAATTGTAACACTTATTGCATAGCGAAAAGAAAATAATTTGTTGTTAGATATTGAATATGATCTCCCCAATATAATTTTGAATCAATATGTATTCCTAATACTTTGTGTGGATCTTTCGGGATTAATAGAATTGTCTATTTAATGAATCTGTGAATCTGTCTATTTAATGAATTTGAACAGTTTCCCCCCTTAAATTGCATAATTTGTGTTTTTGAATTATTTAACAAAAGTCCATTTTGAGAGAACCATTCCTCTAGTTCTTTTATTGACTTCTGAACAATGATTTCCAATTGATGTATTTTTGAGGTTTTAATATAACATTTGTGTCATCTGTACAAGAAGAGTTCGCCTGATATGTTACGGTCTATATCATTAATAAATATTAAGAATAGTGTTGGCCCCAGGATGGAACCTTGAGGAACACCGTACCTGATATTATTCCATCCGGAAAAGAACTTGTGGCCATTTTTATAAACTACTGTGTGTTGCTTTCTATTTGATAGGTAGTTTGAAAGAAGTTGCAATACCTGACCACCAATTGACTTTCTTCAGTTTGCAAATAATTAGTTTGTGGTCAACACAGTCGAATGCCCTGGATAAGTCACAGAACACCTCAGCAGTACTCTGCTCCTCATAGTATGTTTTCTGTGTCCTCATCCAGCGCCTCAGAGACCATGTTGACAATTTTAGTTAATGCCTTTGTGGTTGATTTATTTTTCCTGAATCCAAATTGTGATTGCGAATATAGATTGTTCTGTTCTAAGTAATTTGTCAAGCGGAAATTAATTGGTTTTTCAAAGATTTTTGCAAAGTTGCTTGAAATAGAAATTGGTCTGTAATCAATAATATCTGTTCTTTTTCCTTTCTTAAAAATTGGTTTTACTGTAAAAATTAGATATTGTATGCGTGTTGTCCGTTAGTCGTTTCTAGGTTGCTATGTTGCTTGTTTGTATAATATGGTTCTTAGTTTGTACGTTTGTTTACTGAATGTTTTCGTGCTACTTTTGTATGTATGTTCTCACGCCCACGGCCTCAAAAATGCAAATTATAAAAAATGACTAGTACCTTCATTTCTTAATATATTCAGTCTATATCCTTTAAAACAGCCAGCCCGCAATCTTATAGTTTATGATAAAGTGTTCTGTATTAATTCCTCTTTGTTATTATATTAGTCGCACCCCTTAATATTGCTGGATAAATAAATTAACCTTTATTTTCATTTTGAATTTAACCAGTAGTCATTTGATATCCTAAAACAATGAATTCAATTTATGTGGTGGTGCTTCAATATCAGTGGTTAAGCTACGTTTGACGTGGATTAGAAAGGTTTAGATATAAATTATACGATTGGCGTTTATGTATATTGCAATAGATGCTCTCTAACGATCGTTCCATTTATTTATTGTTTGAGTAAACACTTTAACAAAACAACTAATATAGTACCTATGCTGAATCTTTACTATATTTTATGATTTATAACTCTCTCTTAAACATTCTATAGACGTTTATAATAGAATGAAAACGGGCTGAATCTATCTCTGTGAACTTTAATGAACAGAAAAGTTGAGAATAATGCTGTCAAAAGTTGAAGCAACTGCAATAATTAATTGTCAAACTGTAGAGAAACTTGGTTTTACCGAGTTTAAGAAATCTCTCTCAGTTATCTGTTCAGTGAGAAGGTTTGACATTGTCATTTTCAGATTTATTTTGAGAAACCGATATACAATCTGTCAAACTTGTTTAGTCTTAATATTTTATCACATCGATTTAACTCAACCGCATATCATTTTTTGGTGTAAAGAACTTATGTCCAGTCTCTAAGCGTTTGTAGGGTGTCATGTTTTGTCAGCCTACTCGTGGTTGTTTTCAGCCCTCTTGATGTAAAGCCCACTCATGTTAAGTGTGACTGGGAGCGGGGACTGTACACAAGACCCTTGTGAAAGGACAGAGGAAAATAGTTTCATATTTTTATACGGATAAACTAAAATACGTTTTCCAACACTACCTAATAAATTTACACTTATATTGTAAATTATAATTGTGTTTCGACTTAATAGGACGGCGAACGTAGATAAAATATGGTACAGTTCCATCGTACGTGTAGTAAAATAAACAGTCAAAGTTAAAAATATGCAATTTTATGTACCGTATTCGTGTAGTATTGCCAACACGTATAATGTTTGACATAGAGGTATATTTTTTTATATTGAATTTCTTATATTTTGTCTTGGGGTATCTTAAATAAGAGTGAATTTTGCTTCGTCTGATTGGGAAATAACGTCTAATAATCAAATACAAACTCCATATTATAAACACTTTTACAGCAAGGAGTGCCAAACATAAAACATCCGTTCTAACACATTTATTCAATTTAATCTCTTTTCAAATTATGGGCAAATAGCTTCTAAAAGTAAATCATAGAAATATACTTGCACTATTCACAAATAATTCGTTCAAGGATCATAAAAAAATAATCAACATCATCCCAATACATACGGAAAAAAACAATTACTTTATAAATACTACCAAACTTGCTCTGAAGACTATGCAATTTAAACCAGTCGGCTATTTATTAACAGCCATTTCAATACAACATGTTTTACGTTCTTTTTCTATATATTTTTACAATTTACACAAGTAAACATATTAATCCTTAAAACATTAAGTAAATTATTATTGAATATTGTAATCAGTACAGTTAAAATTACTAATATAATACGTAAGCATGTAATTGTTTCAAATGCTGCATGAATATTTAACATGGACTTCTAACTTCCAGAACTTGTAGAGTTGAAAGTAACTTTTAATTTCCATAGTCTTAGTGTAAACCTTTTTGGGAAAGTAGTTAACAGAGTCCCAAATTGAAAGTTACTTTATACTTAAAGGCATGCGAGAAGGAATTTTACATGCCAAATCTCCTTATTGGAAATAGATTATGCAGCCTATCATTTGGAAAAGAAATACCTGGTCCAATTGTAAACGCATGGATCTTCTCGATAGGAACATATCAAAATTATTCACATACTAAATTCTAGTTAATTTCTTAAACCGTTACAGATTTCTTGAAATTGTTCAATATATGATACATAACCTTTACTATTTTCTTTTTCCATATTTCACAACGAGGTTAAAAGAAACCTTTCTCAGTAAATAATTCGTTTAATTTTTTTGTCCCTTTTGTGTCTTATTTCGATCTCAATGTTTAGAAGGTCTCTTATCTACAAATATTTATTCGATAGGCTTTCTAAACTAAGCTCGAAATTTCACCAATATAAAATATACAGGGGTTTGTAAAACTAAATCCATATCAAAAGAATTTACGTTTTACATTCTGTCTGGTTATGTTTGATAATTATGGACAGCTGAAATTCCACTCAGCAATTCTCGTATTACTTGTGTAAAGCATAAAGCATGTGTATTTAAATATCGATATATGCGATATCGCAAAAAGTAATTTAACACAGGCCTTTGAGAGGTAATATCCTATGATAAACTACACAACGCTTAAATCAATGTATTGATATGCATTTGAAACTGCCCTTGGTTGGTTTTATATCTGAAGTTAAATAAATGTTCACCTATTTTAATTTTGATGCAAGAAAGAGTTAACTAAGGAAGAAGGACTATTTTAAATATGTATTATATTTTTTAACTATGACATTATCGTTAAAACCATTCGTAATTTAAATTAAAAGCACTAGTTAAAAATATGCTAATCAATAGGGATATCCACGGAATACAATTTAAAGGTTTTCCCCAGGTGAAGAACTTAGAATTTAGTTTATCAACATGTTCGTTTCGATCCCTAATCTATGCAAAATTTTTAAAACGTTCTTTTAGAACATTCAATTGTCAGTAGGCTAGAACATTGTATAGGCTATGCATCAACTGACTAATTGGTTTCTGTTTGGTTATCTTTACATGATTTGAAAAGTTTTAGAACCATGTTAACCGGATTAAACAAGTCACAATTGATTTGACAGTACTTCATTTTGTTTCTTGAAGCGTAGGTCCGACCAAAGTATATTCAAAGTAGTGTTTTTCTCCTTAAAACATTATTTTGACGGTTGCTATGTGTTGATTATCGGTAGTTAATATGAGGTTTGGTAGGGGGAGGGTTGCGTTAAAACAAACAATTCCCTCGTCGCGTCCGTCGCTGAGTCATACTTGAGTCAGCTGTGTGATTGCACCTTTCTGAAGGGGGATCGGGTGATATTAATAATTTTATATTGTCATCAACTTCAAATCATTGAAAGTTTCGTATAATAATTCAATATGAAGAATCGTTTAGGGCGTCTAGGCAGAAGAAAACTCGTGTTCAAATATCTGCTTCTAAAAATATCAACTTTTACAAATAGGATCAGCAGTTTTTGTTGCATCGTTATCATTATACAGTATAAATAGTTCATGTTTATAGACTGGTTAAAATTCACAAACCCACACTGAATTGTTTAGCTTCAAATTAAATGTGATGTAACCGTAACATTTTACACGTTGTCAGAAATTGTAATACATAGCTACACTGACTCAAAACGAAGTGCCATTTTCCAATTTACATGCTATAATTAAGGTTTTATTTACTGAATTTATTACTTATAAAACCCTTTGCTGTTAGCGTAGTTGTACAATGAACACAATGATTCAACAAAGAGAATATGTGGATTTTGTTGATTTAATAACCAGGAAATTGAAAATGTCTGAATACTTCAAACTGATTGCATAACATTTATAACAGTTAGTTAACATGTGCGTTGATTAATAGTAAAAGCCATCCTCGGTGAGGTCTAAAAGCTAAAAACGATGTATATGTTTTGTAAGTATTTATACTTTAAAATAAAATAGCCTATATTCGTTTTTGAGCATTAATATAGAACTGCAATGAATAAATCAAGAACTGCTATTCACTTTCTAAAAGAGCAAAGCTTTTAAAAGTAATATTGCAAATGAATCTTCTGAGGAAATACCTCAAATGCTAAGTCAGTCGGTGGGTTTCACGAATGAAATCCACTTCGTTTTCACTGTTAGATACTGCAAAGGATTTCTAGTTCTATAGATACTAACTACACGGCATCTAAAATATTCCATATAGCAAAGTTAAGTTACAAAATTCCAAATCCAAAATTTCTCAGTTGTCAAGCTCAACTGATGAAATGCTGCCATCATATTTGAAGGCTGCAAGGAGTGATCACGTAAATGGGAGATATTCTGCACCTAATTACTAATCTCCTTTAACAGATTCAAGTTGTATAAATAACTTTAACTATATATACATACACTTAAGTGGAGTATACATTCTAAATGGTATGTTTAAGTTGAGAATGTAGTAGGATTTATCTGAACCATACGATAGAGTATGCTGCCCTAAAATAGTTTTTTGTGCTATTTAAGTAAACTTTGTATCATACCTAATTGATAGGCCAACTGATTTTGAACTCATTTATTGAATGCACAGGGACAGACCACGTCTCTAAGTGCGTCAGTCAAACATTGTGAGCTTTTCGTGCTACCCGTTTCCTGCTTAATAGCACGAAATGATGCTAGACGCCACCAACGGACGCCACATTCACCCGGTCACGACGCATCATCCTTAAGTTACCATTAATTCGTCTTATTATCGTTGTAAATGTATCTTTTTTATGTAACTATGTCCGTATTCGTGTGCGTGTTTGTGTGTGAATGTGCCATAATGTGTATCGACAACCTTCTGATGAAGTGATTATTTTGACATCCACTGGACGCCTGAGGATGACTTCTTTATGAAGTCGAAACTAGTTGCGTGATAGTAATTGCGACTACTGGATTACTAGAATCAGGTATTTAAACCAATTTATAAATTTAGTACACTGATTGTTTGGTTCTCAAATGGGCCTACAGTGAATTATGAAGTTTTTGAGGTCGCTCTGTCATTTCTTCGGCGATTTTACGTTTTAAATAATTTCTTATAACCTTACGATGGAGCTGGTTTGGAAAGAAGATGGTTTATATTACACGGTCCACGAGAGTCTGCAGTTGAGGGAGGAGCCTATTTACCACGTGACTTCGAATGAGCCAATGAGGACCATGCGTGGTTGCCAAATCTAATAATACCAGCTGATTTGGAAATATTGTTTAGTATATTTTAATTAGTCGAAAATTAGTGAACGGGTGATGTTGCAACGTCGCGCTAGTCCAGCCATGCTATTGGCTGCCGCCAACTGCAGACTCTCGTGGCCCCTGGTGTAGTTTTAGGTACAAGACATTAACTTTCATCCGTCGATATAATTGATTTGTACGATCTTTCAACACATCGCCAAGTGACTCCCGCACACGACTTCCTATTGAACCGAAATTTGTATCCTTCGTAACTGACAATGGTTTGCCATATTTAGTACGGTACGTAGTAAAGGCATGGGTCTCACATTATTTCGTATTCATATAAAAAGGCTACAGATGTAGTTAAGAGATGGTACGTCTACTCCGGTATCCAGAGTCAGTTTTAGTAAAAAGATCGGGAAGTCTTTATTAAGTCAAAATGTCATTCTTCAAAATAAGAAATATCATTATCAGTATAACTAAATCAAAAGTAATATTACATTCACTCTTGTAACATAATTTTAGTAGATCAAAAGTTAAAACGGTGGTAAAAACTTAGAATGTTATCTTAAATATATTGTATATAAATAGTATGTAAGTGAAAATCGCATATAGATTATAGGTTAGAGCTCTTTGTTGACAGTTTGGGTTCAGAAACGATTGAATAGTTTCCCAAGAGCACATAAATACCAATCCTGGTGTAAAACACACAAAGACTGAAAAATGAATGTTTTTGAAGGTCATGTTGATCAACCTGAGCGGTGCACTCTTCAGCCTAGTCTCCGGCATTGTCCTGATCGTGGGATGGTCTCAACAAGACTTGACACGACTACTGTTCTCAGGAATCGTAACCATCATCAACGCATTGGCCTACGCCGCCGATTCCTACTACATCATCAGGTTCAACACTGACTGATATTCCACCTGTGTCCTTTGTGTACATACTCGTATTAATGTGTTCCCTAAGTAATTTGTAAATAGAATCAATAAATGTATGTTTCTCCCACTATTTGGTATTTACTCCATTATGAAAGTTGCTTTTGGATTACCTCATGAGTAATTTCCTGATTGATATTGTTTCCATTCACATATTTAAATACAAAAGCTGTTACCATGTATTATAAAGGTTGGGCAATAGTATGGTCGCCCGCTTTTAACTTTTTAATGAGCTACACAAGGAAACCCAAATCTGCACACCTCCATGTGGCATGAAAATGCACTTCTTTGCTGGTATCCCAATTTCGTATAAAACACCAAAATGGTTATTTTGGGGACAACTCAAAAACTTTTAATGTAAAGCACCATCAAGTGTACTTTTCAAAGTGTATTTTTTATTTATCATAATATTTATCACTATCTTAGTTTTTTAATTTTTTAAAGTATGCTAAAATATGCTATGGATTAGCAAAAAATAACCGGCCTGGGGAAAGTAGTATGACCTAGACTACTCGGGATTTAAGAGGAGGCCATTAGTTTAAAAGAATATCGGCGAAAACTAGAGGTCTCTATCTCAACCCAGTACAAAATGGTGGCAGTTTTTAGTTTTCGGGCATTATATTTAATATTTTTGAGCTGCCCCAATATGCTTCATTTTGGGGTTCCCAGGGGAAATTGTGATACTAAATAAAAAGTACACTTTTTTTGTGAAGGGATACAAAATCTTATAAGCTTTCCTGGTACAACCTGATAAAATGTTAATATTGGATTGGGTCTCTGAGGTTGATGAAATCTAAAAACCGTCACCATTGTGTATTGGGTTAAGATAGGGTCCTATAGTTTTCACCGATATTCTTTTAAACTATTGGCCTTCAAAATGAGGTGTCACTTGATGGGGCTCTATGCTTGAAACTTTTAACTTCCTCCGAAAAATCCTATTTTGGGGACCCGGGCAAAATTGTCATCCCGACCAAAACGTAGTTCTTAGTTTCTTGTTACAGTAATAATGAGTTTGTTTCCCTGGTACAACCCATTAAAACGTTAAATAGGAAATAATTATGTATATTTTTACATGGGTTTTTTTCAGGATAGTGGAAAATAAAAAATGCCGCTATTCTGTAATGTGTTTAGATAGAGAGCTCTAGTCTTCGCCGATATTCTTTTAAACTAATGCACTTTAAAATGAGGATTTTATTATGGTGCTTTACATTTAAAATTTTTGATTTTCCTCTAAAATAACCAATTTGTGTTTTCGGACAAAATAGGGATTCCAACAAAAAGTGCACTTTTACGCAATATAGAGGTGTGCTGGGTTTGGTTTTCCAGGTCTAACCCATTAAAAAGTTAGTAAAAATAGGGTGTGTCCATACTTTTGCCCAACCCTATATAATATTAAACAATAAATTGTACTAATATTGGTATAAATTGTAGCTCAAACCCATAGATTTGTATATTAGACCATTCTGAGTGTAAAAGAGCCCTATATTTTAACTATTCCTCTTTAATGGTTATCTCAAGTTATGTTTAGTGTACTTGAAATGCCTCAGTTTTACATTTACATTTTACGTTTAATCCTATTCGGCAAGGCATAAGAATTTATGCTATTTTTACTTCTAAATTCAATGTACGTTTATAACTGAGGTATTTCTATACCTATTTTCCTTGACTGATTGTTTTAATTTTGTTGAGGCTATAATGTTAAAGTCCCATTTCTACAGCCTTATCTGTTTAATTATTAATTTAATTCGCTATTTTTGAATTTTTGAAAGAGGGAGATCTCTAACATGGCAAATTTCCTCCTCTCTTCATTTATCTATTAAAAATTTATTCTTGATAAATTAGACTACAGTTTTAACGTGTTTTGACCAATAATTTACAGTATAATATGGTGAAATGCCGTTTCCTCCCAAGGAAAAGCGTTCAAAAGAACACTAGGCTAGACCTTTTAAACTTGCACTTTTATTCAATATCAATAAATGTTTGTATTGATAAAAAAGTGTGGGAATGGCATAGATTAAATTATTAGCTGTGTACAAACCCCTAATTTTGAGCCAGTACGATCGCATGAAAATACAATTCCGAGTGTTCTGTATCGACTAATATTTGGCAACTTACAAAACAACGCAGCCAACAGATCCTGCATATTGAAATACAATGCAAATAATAAACCCCAAACACAGGAGGCCTAACTATCAATGTGTATTATGGTTCGAAAATCAAATGCAAAGTCTATTCCGTGCTAAGATATTTCATTTATGTAAGGTTTACTTCTGTGCCAGTAGCTTCGTAGGTATAGTATTTGTATGGAGTCTTCGAGTTGTAAGGGGTCTGGAGAGGAGAGTAGTGATGGTAGTGTAAGAAAGTTTTGATCCGATTAACCCAGAATCCCCAGGAGTAGCCTAATTCAATCCTCAGCCACCACTCTGAGGCAATGTTCCGATCGACGTATAACTTAAAGTTCCTTCTGATCTTATGGTCAAGCAGCCATTTCCAAATTATGTTTACTTTTTTAACAAATATCATTGTACAAAAATATAATCCCCGTTTGTAGTTCCGACTAATAGCTGGGCCCATGTATTTTTTACACCAATTGGCTATTAGCTCTAGAGCTGAATAGAATGTTTCGTTCATTATTAGCTTCAAATCTAAGTAAAATCTTTCATTGATTATTGGCTCTACAATTAAATACAATTTTTCGTTGATTATTGGCTCTATAACTAAATAATGTTTTGTCGAGTATTGGCTTTACAGCTTAAATAAAATTTTCCGTTGAATAGGCTATGGTTTATTTTTGGTTGGCTCAATTTGATTTTTCGTTTACTTAAATTTGATATATTGTTAACTGAATATATTTGTCATCCTTGTGGAACAGCTGAAGCAAATTTTATTGTTAGTTCTGTACGTCCAACTATAGAGGTTGTGTTTTTTTACAATTTGTTTCTTGTTATTTAAGTAATTTAAAACCTCATTTAACCGAATAAAACGATATAACCATAAACAATAACTGGTCTCCTAGTTATACAGGGTGAGTTTTAATTGTCCCCCCCCCACTTTTTTCTATATTTTTTCAAATATCAATCCCAGACCACTTCTAAACATTGTTGAGTAGTAAGTACTTCATTTTGACAAGGTGGTCATTTCCGGCCGCCATCTTGGATCCGCCATATTGGATGCAAAATATTTTTTTCAAATGTAAAGGTGGGGTTGTGATCCATTATTTCGAAATAGATTTCCAACCTGATTACAATGCCGCAAACCGTTAAAAAAAATCTTGACTCATTCTAAAGTTATGAGGTCTTTTTAAAACTTTATTTTTAGCCCATTTTAACTTTAATTGTGCTTGTACAAACTAAGACCATAATCTCAAAATAGTGCTAGATAACTATAAGTATACACTACCAGTCATTGCCAACCTATTTTCACTTGGTTATGAATGATGTATTTTTTTCGACCGCCATCTTGGATCCGCCATTTTGAAATGTGATAAATTATTTTAAATATAAAAGGGGTGTTGTGGCCCATCATTTCAGATTACTTTTTTAAGCCGAACTCAATTCCATGGTCCATTTTTCATTTTCATATTTTGATTTTGAAATATTAACATTTTTATCAAAAATATTGCAATGTTTCATAAATAAAACTTGATAACAAAAAATGGATTGCGGCATTGAGTTTAGCTTAAAAAAGTAGTTCAAAATGATGGGTCACAACACACCCTTCATTTTTAAAATAATTTATCCCATTTCAAAATGGCGGATCCAAGATGGCGGCCGAAAAAAATACATCAGTCATAAATAAGTGAAAATAGGTTTACAATAACTGGTATTGTATACTTATCTTTATCTAGCACTATTTTGAGATTATGGTCTTAGTTTGTAAATGCACGATGTTAAAATGGGCTAAAAATAAAGTTTTAAAAAGGCCTCATAACATTAGAATGAATCAAGATTTTTTAAAACGGTTTGCGGAATTGTAATCAGGGTAAAAATCTAGTTCGAAATAATGGGTCACAACCCGACCTTTACATTTGAAAAAACATATTTTGCATCCAATATGGCGGATCCAAAATGGCGGCCGGAAATGACCACCTTGTCAAAATGAAGTACTTACTACCCAACAATGTTTGGAAGTGGTCTGGGATTGATTTTTGAAAAAATGTAGAAAACAGTTGGGGGGGACAATTAAAACTCACCCTGTATAACCAAATAGTAAAGCAAAAAACCTTGAAAATAACCCTGAAATAATACCAACAATATTTTGTCTACCCCAGCGATGAACATGAACTACGTTCATGAACTAGACACAAAATAACTAGCTTCATAATTTCCATTGGGATGAGGAGTCTACTTGTGTTGCTTAGTCTATGACTGAACATTATACTTTTCCAAAATATATTTTACTACACATCAATAATTATTACAACACTAGAATGTTTGGGCTGTATACGTAAACGTTACTATACAGCCAGAACAAATATTTTAAATTTTATTAAAACAAAAGAATTTTCTGCTTCCAACCTCTAAACCTTAAAATATAATAATTTCTGAAAAAATTCAATCAACCATTTGCTTGGGACTGAGAAATACTTATTACTTACTTTCAGGAAAATCTTATAAGCCTTTGGTTTACTTATACATTTTATGAGTATGATGCTAGTGTATATAACACTGGTATAACACTCTTTAATCGTTTAAACTGAAAGGATTAATACAATTAAAAGGCAGGATAAACGGACATCCTCAGTGTTATTTATTTACGTAAACACAGTCGTTACTGTGGGAGTAACTCTTCTGTCGTCGGCGCCCTAACCCCCCCTTACATCCCTTCCACGTAGTGTCTGCGAATTACCACCTTAAAAGTGATATGTCAGAAAAATACAGAATTTAAAAAAATCGAATTGCTAACTTTATATTTACTAACCTTTTTCATTAATCCTTTCCCAGTAAAACCAAAATTGAGAATTGCTCACATTTACCGTTAAATACATTTACGTTAACTACATTACATATATATATATATATATTATTTTCTAGTATAAATTAAAGTTCATAGTTGAATAACGATATAGTATTGTTCAAAATAACACTACTACAGTACTAGGATATGTGTAGAATCTTCACTTATTTTGAACGTTATTAGTAGTTTTGTGATTCCTTCAGGCTTTAAGCTGCAGGAGTATTTTTGGCATTTTGCTATACACAACCTAAAAATTCTAAATTGTTTTGCAAGCTATAGCAAATTTGCTACAAATAAAATTGATGATGTAATGTTCAAACATGTAGTATTACTGGAAAATTTTATAAAAATGATAAACAAAATTATTTTTGCTACAGTTGTCTGATAGTTTGTAGCATTTTTGCTAAAACAAATTTCATCCCAGCCTATACTCTGGATTCCTTTAAGCTCCACTAATTGTTTAAAGACTTGTCGAACACGACTTTAATTCATCAAAAATACTTCAGCTGAGATGACAAAATCATAAACTCAAGAAAAAAACTAAAGCAAGTTGACTTTCTCTTCCCTATCATCAATCTCTATTTGCGATTGACATTAGAAATTAAATTATTGATATTTTATCAATATGAAAATATATTTATTTAAATTGCATCACGGACTGATAATAAAACGCATCTCTATATAAAGCTATATATATAATGGTGTACAAGTACAAAAATAATAACAATTAATTGCTGAGAATAAATTTTTGACAGTGTCTGTGTCCACAGGTAACCAATTATAAGGGTAATTGTTCCTGGAGCTCTGAACATTGGCAATATTTTGAAGGTCAAGATTAGTTTTGTTATAAAAACAACATTTTATCAGCCTGAAACTAGTATTCTGCATAGTAGCGGAATAGTTACACAGTAAATTAGGCTTAAAATATAACACAGATCAGTGTTGAATGAAGCGTAATGCTAAAATGTAATGATGTCAAAGACAGGAAGTAATAATTCAGTTTGTATGTCTACGTATTATTTTATTCCTTTTGCTTAGTTGAAATGGATGAGCTTGTTTCATTGTCTATTTAAAAGTAAGCTCGAAGCTTAGTTGCTAAACGGAAGGATTCGTCATAAAGAGGTATTCTATTAATTATAAATGCATTAACTTTGCATTTAGAAGCTACTAGGTTGCATACAGTTGTCATCACAATATTGTAAACTGCTTTCACGACAGACTTTCAATTTGTTAGAAATGATCTAATATAGAGTGGTGAATAGAACAAATAACGGATTGGCAAGATTCGCTTGGGGCAGTTCGCTACTAACAAAGTTATATTTTGAACTTTTGTACTTTGATATTGCATAGCTCAATATAAATTGAACATGAACATGTGTATAGTGCATATTGAATGTTTTCTTCAAAATCCAATATTTAAAGATGCTTTTTTTAAAAATGTTTAAAGGTATAAAATGTTAAGAGTTTGATACAATTGGGGCTTTACAACTTTTAAATGCGACTTTTAAACCCCGTAGTTACGAAAAAATACTCATATTTTATAAATCCATAACTCGGCTTTGTGTATTTTTATAAAAATCTCACCAAGCAAGATAAAAAGATAAACCAAGCAATGAAGTGTTACAATACGACTTTGATGAATATTGTAAGGACTTATAACCCTTGAAGATTTTAACTACCCTAATTGTTCTTAACAACTGTTCAGTTGTACTTTTATGTATTAGATAAAAGACAACTTTCATTGCCCATTGTAAGTAAATAAACGATAAAATGCCGGGTTTTTAGTTTAAAATTGACTATCAAATAATAAATAAGGTGATAGTTTTTTTATTCACCTTTTAACCATTCCCCGATTTATTCACTGATTTTACTATGCATAACAACAGCAAAGGAAGTCGATTTCGATCGCAACTTCATAATGTGTAATAATGTCGACAAGTGTATGCCTGCTTTTTATAAATGTTTGAATAGGTTTTTTACATCAGTCAAATTCAATTTTTTTGCTACAAATGAGATTGTTGTCTAAGAGAACTATTGTAACTACAATATTACAATAATACTAACAGCATTACAATAGTGGTGGTGCTCTACTAGCGATACATACATTTGGAACACTATTAAATTAAACTATTAAACACTTTGTGGGCGTTAGGAGTGGGTGTAGTGATGCCTTGGAACTTTGATGTTGATCGTTATTTAGAAGAGTTATATAGCAGTTATGATAACAAATATGCAATATTATGTTTATAATGGATCACAATCTCATACATTTTAATAGTGTATAGCCTTAATGCTGTAGGCCTACATATGTTGTGAATATCAAGCTGCAGATTTCCAAATTAATTTATGGTAATATAAACAACTTATTTACTATATTAATGTATCGAAGAAGTATTGTATGGAAAAGTGAGTGATGTTTTGGAGCCCATCATCATAAATCATTGATTAAATTATTAAGATAAAACATGAAACGGAGATTTTATATTTGCCTTACTCTATGACATGTCCAAGAATTGTCAGTGAAATAATAGTTTTAATGAATTCTCTTAGCCTATGAATTACGCTAAATGGCAAATTGTATAGATTTTACTGAAAGTATTTTGTTCTTGGTGAAGGTTATCAACCAAAATATGTACCTTTCTAGTAAGGAAATATGTTAAGTAACAGTATTTGTTTTTAATAATAAACTAAACGTTACAGTATTAGGCTGTATAAGTCGACATAATGGTACTGTAATAGGGTTAAAATGTCAGTATTCACCCATCAACTATTTACATACGTATATATTTTTATGTAGATGAATAAAAATTGTCACTTATGTGTGAGATACTGTATAACTGTTTGAAACCTCTAATTTATTTATGAATAATTCCCTTGTTTCTTTGAATACCAAATATACCTATATCCTACTGTACTTCGTTTTGAATTTTGATACAACATTGAAGTATGGGACTTGAAGTATGGGGATTGAAGTATGGGGGTATATTGACTCGTCTCGACATTGATTACGTTAGTTTTGTCAATATTTATCAATTCCTCTGTCAATTGAATTATCAACCGACATAATCTGTTACCTATATCAAAAGTACGAATGTTACATTTAAAAATTAATTTTAAAGAATGGATGAAAGTCAATTGTTGCTCCTTCACAAAAGTGGCGTACGATCCCATAACCTGTCAGAACCTTCTTGTAACCCCTATAGATTGGATTGACTGTCAAAGCCGGCAAATATAAAGTTCGATCCTGCAGTAGTCATTACCTTAACCCAAGGACATTTGGTTCAATGTGCTCGTAGAGGCGTGGAGGTTAGCTCAGCCTGCTAACTACTAACTCGGGAGTTAAGTTAACAGTAACATCGGGAACGTAACTAAGACTATTAACGACTAGACTATGATAGTTATGTTACCATTGACGTAGGGGTTGTCGCCAAGTACAGTGGAGACGATGGCCAAGAGGAAGGCGAGCACAGAGACCTCCGTCATGTCACCGTCGCCGTCGAGTGTCGAGCTGTTGTGGGTCGATAACAACACCCTGCAAACCACCCTAACCCCTCCCCTCTACCAACCCCCACAACCTAGACACACTACATGTGTTTATGGTGACGTATTGCGACCAACTCAATTGTCTCGTCAAGTTACGATAGGTGGAATAACGAAAGTGTTTTAAAATGCTAGCAAGAGAGCTCTTGACTTAGAATACGATTTTCTTACGGAAAACTATCCACGACGGTGTTTTATGAGTTGAAAGTGTAAGAGGTGAATCCCAAATGTATTAATAGAATGTAAATATGAGTTAATAAACAAATCCCAAAATACTTGGTGTAGTTAAGGAAGAGTGCTATACATATCAATCAAATATATATAGCAAATATATATATAAATAAAAATCTATATAAATAAAATTACAGTTTTGTCTGTACATTGCTTGGAATTATGCAGTTTTTGGTTATTTTTACGTTTCATAGCCTAAGAAAGCCGAAACGAGTCTTATCTCAATTTCTGTCTGTATGTCTGTTTGTCTGTTTGTCTGTTTGTCTGTTTGTCTGTTTGTCTGTTTGTCTGTTTGTCTGTTTGTCTGTTTGTCTGTTAGTCCATTCTGTGACACCTTCTGTAACGCCAAAATGTCATTTTACGCGGCCTACTCCTAGAAAACTAGATTACCTATCAAGGTTCTAATCATTTTTCTGTATTAACTGTATTGGTGAGAGTGTCTTTGGCTATAAAAACATGGCCTCGCTTCTTTGAAAACAAAATAACGAACCACCAAAAACTCGATTTTGTTCGATTTTTGTCAAATTTTCTCCCAATGTTTAATATTACATTTTATGAAATAACGATCAGCTGTTTGGATTAGTTCTCACTTCTGCCTGTCACTTTACAAATACCGCAACCATTTCCGATCAAGTTTAGTCAGCACATCCAAACCAAGTGAGATTAAAAACGTTGTGCCTTACTTAACCGGTTTAATTAATCGCAAGTGCAACGATTGTTCTTGAGTTTTGATAACCGGGGAAAATACCGTGAATCAGTGTTGTATTAGAGTAGGCGTCGCGCCCCGCTGGCAGAAATTGACCTTGAGATGATCTAGGTGTACTCTCTGCTGTTTATCTCGAATGCGCATGATCAGCTGGTCTAACCATAGCTAACCACAGCTGACCACGTGACGTCAGTAGGTGTTTGTATTAAATAAATTATTAAATTATTATGGATAAAAAGTGTTGGCCTGACCGGGTTTTGAACCCCGCGTTAGCTAGTTGAGCTACAACAGCAGTGTTATGGGTATAGGTTTTATATTGGTAAATGACACCTTGAACCTATATAACATATGTATATATACAGGGTGTGTAAATATTGGAGGTTTGATTTTAACATGGTTTAATGCTAACCTATCATTGGAGGTTCACGGGTTCGAATCTAACCTATGTTAGAGGTTCACGGGTTCGAATCTAACCAACCACTAATGGTATTGTATTATAGTGGGAGGTTTATGGGTTCAATCCTAACCTATGCTAGAGGTTTATGGGTTCAATCCTAACCAATCACAACTGTTTATTTCAGCTGATCATGTGATCTAGTTTAGAGGTTCATGGGTTTGAATCTAACCTAATGGTATTGTATTATAGTGGGAGGTTTATGGGTTCAATCCTAACATATGCTAAATATGTAGTAGTTTTAGAGGTTTATGGGTTCAATCCTAACCTAGGTTATATGAATTTATATATGTAACCAAAAGTTAAACAGGTCTATTATACTAGAGTGCTAATGGTGATGGTATAATTATAGTAATGAATGTATAAATATATAAGATTCACTATAATGGATTACATCTATATATTACATGTACTATATTTTAATATATCTTTTAAACGTTTTAGTCTAAGTTGTTAGAGCTTACAAACTTTTTATCATGTAGCAGTGATTCTTACTATCTCGGCTGATAATGTGACCTCAAACCAACGCTTTGTTAATCAGTAACAACTGATTATATGACTTTGGATCGTTTTCTACAACTGTAGCTGTGTAGTTTAGTTTGTTCAGAGTTGGCATCAGTATTACAGCTTCTATTATGGGTAAGTATTAGAAGTAACTATTTATTAAAACTAATACTATTTTGAATTTGTATTATAATACAAATGTATTAACAATAAAGGGTTTTTGAGGTTAAATAAAAACAGTAGATTTTACTCAGAGAAATATACAGGGTGTCCCGGAACTCTCTACCAATATTTTAGGGCATTGTTCCTGGGTAAGAAACATATCTAAATATCAAATTTAAATTGTCCGGAAGTCCTTAGTTACTCAGATAGCCGCCATTTTGTTTTTTTCACTTATTATTTTTTTTCTGAAAATTGGTTAAACTGATGTTAAGTTGAAACTTTGCACAAACATTTATGACAACTAGACAAAGCTACAAAAAAATTATGACGATTTGTCAAATTCATAAAACAAAATGGCGGCTGTTTAAAATTTTGTTTCTTAAATTACTCGAAAACCGTAGATTTTACAAAAATTTTACAAGAATAACTTTTTAAGGCAATTTTATTACAAATCGATCGACACCTTAATCTTTAATTTTTAGTGGGCAGTTTTAGTGATACGTGACCGCCGGATATTAGTTGCAGCGCATGCTGAAAGCGGTCACGTATCACTAAAACTGCCATATCTAAGTTAATACTCGTCCGATCTTAAAGATTAAGGTGTCGATCGATTTGTAATAAAATTGCCTTAAAAAAGTTATACTTGTAAAATTTTTGTTAAATCAACGGTTTTCGAGTAATTTAAGAAACAAAATTTTAAACAGCCGCCATTTTGTTTTATGAATTTGAAAAATCGTCATAATTTTTTTGTAGTTTTGTCTAGTTGTCATAAATGTTTGTGCAAAGTTTCAACTTCGTATGTTTAACCAATCTTCAGAAAAAAATTAATAAGTGAAAAACCAAAATGGCGGCTATCTGAGTAAATAAGGACTTCCGGACAATTTAAATATGATATTTAGATATGTTTCTTACCCAGGAACAATGCCCTAAAATATTGGTAGAGAGTTCCGGGACACCCTGTATATTTAGTCTATCGGCTATAAATTTTCTACAAAAAGGACATCTATACACTCTGTACGCGCAATTAGGGCACAATGTATGTCCACACGGTTGTAAAGCAACCGTGGGTGCATTTTCCAAGCAAATTTGACACGTTACCGAATTAATTGGGGGATTTGATGGTCGTGGGACTCGTTCTGATATCATAGTGTCTATTTGGTTGGTAGTCTGCCTCAATACACCTTCTAAAGTGTTACGGAGATCCTCCCATAGAGCTGATATAACTGCTGGCTGTAGTCCACATGCATAGGAATAACCTTCTAGTGTATTTCCAGCTAAGTTGGCTATAGTTAGTAGTTCATTCCGTAGTGTTGAGATTCTATCAGCTGCTGCAGCAGGTAGGGTAAATTCCGGGTTATTCATAGACTGAAAGATATTATACAAGAATTAATGTTTTTATCTATTTATATAAAATAGTATAAACCATAAATCAGCTGGCTAGTCAAATTTATCACAGTAGTATACAATAAATCTCTCTCAAGTTGGAGGTAAACGATAGTTAAATTTTGTGTGGAAAGTTTATTGTAGTGTAAACATATTAATTTATTTATACTTAATTTCTCTTTAAAGGATACCTACCCTTTGAAGTAACCTCCTGCGAAAGGTTTCAATGCGAGCGCTCTGCCGGCAGCCACGACATTCACGTGTTTCAGGTATAGTTGAAGTAGAATTCTGAAAATAGAAACATATATATTAAGCTGATTTTTATTTACTTTAATATATAGTTGATTTATCATCAAGCTAGTAGGCAATATTATATTTGGATTATTTATATTCTAGTTAATTTACATCATATAAAATTAGGGTAGCTTGTTTTGTGGTTTAAAAGTTATTGGTGAAAGAATTAAAATAACTGAATAAACTTATAATATATATCAAAGATTTGTTTTATACATTCTTGTAAACTTATAAATACTTGTAGATTTAATAATGTAGTGTTTAATTATTAATAATCTCTCTCTATAAATGGAATAAAATAGATTTGTATAGGTGAAATATTTGTTTAAGTAATATATCAAATCTCAACAAGTGGAAAATAATATGGTTTGTAAACCAGGCATAGCTCACTGTTGGGATGTAAAACTTACAAGTTGTTAAAATATATGTGTTGAAGTAACTTTGTGATTAGTTAACTAATTAATGCAACTCTATTTAAGTGTAAAAGTTTATCAGATTAATAGCTATAAAGATTAATAAGTTTGATAAATGGGGTGTTTTTATTTTGTTAAATCTTTAAAAAAGAGATAAATAATAACAGAAAAAAAATTAGTAGCTGTATCTCAACACTTGTATTTGTTGTATATATGATGAAGTTTATCATTAGTAACTAAAGCAAGCTTAGGAAGCTAATATGTTTAGTAGAGTTAAAACCGTTGAAGTAATTATCTAACTACATCAGCAAAAATAAAAAGTATGTTGGATTGAATGATTTGATTTTGTTAAAATATTACAACAATTTATACTTGTTCCTATAGGCTACTAGTATTACTCTTATATGTCTTTTAATGTTAAAATACTTACTACAGGTTGTATATGCCAGAGAGATTGTGATGGACCAGCTAACTCATCACTTGTTGTTGTCTGTTGCCTAGCAACATTAGCTGGAGTATTTGATGATCTATTCACTGTTAAAGGTGTTTGGGATATAGCTGAAGTTGAAGGTGCTGAATGAAGCGCAGTAGGAGAGAACTGTTGAAAATAAAATAAGTATTAGTAATAGCTTGGGTGTTATTAAAATAATATTAAATTGTTTTGGTAACACTACCTACATGTTTTAATGAAAACACCTGTAAGAAACTTGAGGGCTCCAATATGGTCAGATAAATGTAGGAAATTTGGACTGGATATTGAAGTTGAAGGGAAGTTTATAAAGACAAATAAAAAGTATGTTGGGTTGAATGATTTGA